GGGGTCTTATTGTTGGATTGACTAAGATTCAAGCTATTCAGGAAAATCCAATTTAGTTAAAGGTGCATTATGTAACTTTTTGGTTGGGGGTCCATCACCTGCTTGTTTCTATGGATATGTCATTGCTCTGCCAGGAATGTTCCACAGTATGACATTAAACAGCTTTGCCTTACATTTATTAAATTACAGATGGTTTTATAGCTCAAAAATACGTATGAAAACAGGCGTTTTGACTGCAAGTGGGGGTTGCCTCTCCACAGATCTGACCTGTAACTTGGTCTGGGTTGGATTGAAAGATCTATAGAAGTATTCGATGAAGCTCTTCACCAGTAAAGTTACACAGTGCACCAACTATTTAAGGATTAATTTTCAGGATGGATATTGTAGAAGTGAGTAAATATTTTAGATAATAGTTCTGTATCAGTTAGTATTTGATAATGTTTTGGGGTCGAAAAGATATTAATTATATGATATAACTTTTAAGTAGATTTTCAAAGGGACTTCTATAATTAGGCTAATCTGACTGGGGGCTCTATAATTGGATTCAGACTTAGGTCACTTAACAAACTTCTCATTACTTCATTAATTTGCACTAAATTAAATAGAGTTTGTTTAGATTGCATTTGAACCACATTAATCCAGCCAATATTCTGTCCTCTCTCCTCTGTGGATTAATCGTAACCTTTATTGATCTGGTGAAACAATGTAAATTAGCTCAATTATTATTTCAAAACACGTCAATTGTTTTTTTTTTTATTTTCCTGCTAAAACTCCCTGATATAATTTCATCACAGCCTTTTCAATCTGCCCTCAATTTTCTTTTCATCCAAACTTCGTAAAAACGGTTTCAGTCACCCATCCCAGAGCACAGTGTGATAAAAATCATCAAACGCAAAGGCAACAAAAAGGTAGATTTTTACATTTTAGGTGAGTTCTAGTCTTTCTGATTCAGCTGGAAATGTGGGAGGGCATTTCTGTGTAATGTTGGACCACTATCTCCCCCTACTGGACAAACTGTACATGCACGGGTTAGTCACATGCAACCAACCATGCAAGACTGGATTTAAGAAAAATCTGTGGTATATTAGTGAATTTACTGAAGCTATAATATCTGATTTAAAGGTCCTATACTACAACAAATGTACTCCTGTGAACTTTAAACCATGTTAGAACATTATTACCTTCTCAAAAATATAGTTGAGATGTGTTTTGTTTCATTCACACGTTTGAGTAATCCTTTATTATTAGTCTGTCCACATCTCCAAAACTCAAAATGCTCTGTTGCACCTTGTGATGTCATTTAGTGGTAGTTTTTAAAGTAACAGCTCTGTTTACCTTTAGTTCAGTAGAGATTTCAGGAGTGAAATTGCCTAAATATGCAGGGTTTGTGTTTTAAAGTGTGAATGAAATGGTTTGTGATATGGAAACAACATTATAACATAGATAGAAGTAGCGTAATTTGGTTTGGTTTGGTGAGATATTATCTGTGTTGAATATTTATCATAGTTTCAAGTTTCGAGTGTCAGTTTGTCTATAAAAAAAAAATAAAAAATACAAGAAGTACTACTGAGTGCTTCTAAAACAGACATCTATTTTTGTGGAGTAGAAAAAGGATGGTGGAGGCACTCTGATTTGCGGTGTATTTATTAATAGTCATGCCTACACATCTATTTTTATTAGTCTAATTGCAATTTATGTTTTGGTACGTGTTAACATTATGGTTGCTAGGTAACAGAGCTGGAATTACCTGTTATCTCCCTATTATCACATCTGCCCATGTCCAACCAGGAAGTAAAATTATGAACTTTACTAGACATAAAAATGTTGCCTTTTATTGTAAAATCTTTAAAATAATATACGTCAACTGTGTTTTAGTGAAAGAGTACTCAAACCTGTCATATGCACTTTAAATATTTTTGACTGGCCCAAAGTAAAAAGACCTTTTTGCCATTTTGCCGGAAAGTTTATATCATATTTTTATTCGAGTGAACTTTCTCATAACCCCTGAAGCTTTGGATACAGACTATAAATTGTTCTTTTTAAGAACCATTGAACTTTGTGAATGCTTTATATCATCCCTCGTATAATTTAATGGTGCATTGTGTAGCGTAGGGTCGGGTACGACACATATTATTGCGTCTTATTGCGTTGCCTATAATGTTCCGCACTATGGCATTAAACATGTCTATTTAGCATTTATTTAAGTATGGCTGTTTTTGTTGCTAAAACTTATCTTGAAAAACATGCAGTTTTACTCTTAGTGGGCTCACCTCTCCACAGATCTGACCTGTAGCTTGGCCTGCTCGCGTCAGCTGTTTGTCTGGAAGGAGATACGAAAGTTTAATGCCAAACTATGTTCCTGCAAGCAGATGGCAGACCTTCTAGCTGAAATATGATAGTGCAGTTAAATGAGTAAATATTATATATGCCAGCTGTTCACCGTTGCACTGTCTTCCTATGACCTCTTGTATAAAGCTGTGATTTTAAATTGTATTACTTATCTTATTTTTACTTGTATATTTACATTTATCTAATTATTTCTTATCTGACACCTGTCTCTTGCTATCTTTTTTACAACTTATTTAGAATTTATTATTACCATTTATATTTTCACTCTTTCTTATTATATTATATTGTGATGTGTGAGCTTGTGACAAAGCCCCCGTAATTGCCCGTCACCCCCCAATCAGCGCGTCTTTCTCTGGCCCGAGAGCACACCTTAGCTGGCAGACCGCGTGGAAAAACTTAAAGAGGAGCTCCATTCATTTTCTTGTCTGTCCTTGTCCTAACTATGTGGGTGCTGGCTTGCTGTAAGTGCTGCTGCTGTAAATATTGTTGTAAATACTTTTTTCTCTGCTTCGTCATTTTCACTGTAAATGTTGCACTCTGCACATTGGGCTCTGGTGTGAATAAAAAAATTCACTTAAGTGAAGTTTTTTTCAGTCTTTATATTTATTTTGGATGAACCTGTGATAGAGCTACTATGTCCAAATAATTTCCCTTGTGGATCAATAAAGTTTGTCTAAGTCTAAACATTTTATTTATTTATTTATTTTTTGTTTTAAGCTGACATTAACCGACATGGGCATTGCTTACTTGGCTATATTTGGTCATATTTACAGAAATGTTTAAAGGGCCCATATTACACTATTTTCTGATCTTCTGTATGTTATGTTTTTTCATCTTCAAAAACAGATCTGGGGTTTTGTTTTGATTCATTCGCACATGTTTCACACTCAAACCCTGCAGATTTAGGCTGAGTTCTTCTCTCAAAAGGAAAACACCATTCCACCTGATGATACGGGAACTGCTCCACTGTGTTTTACACTCCATTCACTAGAATAATTTGGATAATTTCAGCCCTGGAATTGCCAATCTCTGCTGAACTACAGGTAAAACGTAGCTTTTTACTTGAAAACTACCACTTCATGACAGAACATTTTCATCTTTGGAGATGTAGCCAGACTAATAATAAAGGGTTACTCAAACATGTGTGAATGAAACAAAACACAACTCCAGGTATGTTTTTGATGAGATAACAATCTAACATGGCTTAAAGCTCATGAGAATCAATTTTGTATAATATAGGATCTTTAATTAATGCACTGATCCAGAAAATAAATAAATGAATGAACTTGCTCTCCCTCGCCTATGTCCCAGACCTGCTATTCCTCCACCTCCCTGCTCTTTAGCCTCAGTCTGAACACTGGTACAGCTCTGATCTGTGGGTTATTTCAGTAACGCTGTGTCTCTGGAGGTTCCTCTTCTGCTGACACCACAAAGGCTCACAGCTCAACACAAGGCCGGCCCATCATAACTCTTCAGTACGAGCACAAACATAGACCATGGTCTGTTTGGAGCATGCTTTACGATCATTATATTACTCACATGTGCTGTACAGTCAAGGGCAGAGAGTGCTATTTTTAAGTCTGCTGTGCTATGCTGGTTTATTTTAGACAGAAAAAACATAAGTGATCGGCCAGGCGAGTTACTTGGTCATGGAGATCAATTAAATAAATAGAAACAAATAGATATAAAATAATATAATATGAATATTCTATGTAAAAAATCCATTCTGACACATGCAAAAAGTAAGATGTACGCTTGGGGGGGGGGGTCATTGAAGACTTTCAAGAAAACGTGGGTTCCATTTTTTCAGTTTGTCGAGTCTGTTAATATTCCCTCTGTTCCAGAATGATGTTTTTCACTCTTGTCTTTGATTCCTGTGTCACTCTCTCTTTTCAGTCTGGTGCATGTTTATTGTGAGTAGGTGACCTGGTAGTTGTTTTTTGTTTGTTTGTTTTTTCTATTTTAGATTTTTTTGTTGTTGTTGTTGTTGTTGTTGTTTTGTGTGTGTGTTTTACTCATCTTTTTGTCTTTATTTAAATATTTTATCCTGACAATGCTGATATTTGGAAATTGTTATTAAATAAAGTTTGGGGAAAAATCCATTCTGAGTTAAATATGGGTGAATATATGAATAGGTGAGCATATTTACGTTTTTGCAGAAGGGTCTGCCGCATGCTTGTCTCCATGGAGAAGCCATTGCTTTGCCTGTAATGTTCCATGGTATGGCATTAAAGAAATCCAGCTCCATGTAGGCAAGTGATAAAACTCCCCCTGGCCACGTTACAAGTCAAATCTGTGGAGAGATAACACCAATAACTTACAGTAAAATAAAATGTTTTTCAGTGTTTTTTTAAGCAAAACACCTGGAATTAAATAACTGTAAGATAGATGAGATACTGTGGGACTTTACCGGCATTTGAAACACTTCCCTAGGAGCATAGAAAGAGAGAGAAATGGAGAGAGAGGGAGGTGAGAGAAAGAGGGAGGGAGGGAGAGATGAGAGAGAGACAGAGAGAGAGAAAGAGGGAGAGAGAGGTCAGAGCTGGGACTGTCCCACATTGAAGAGGACATCAGACTGAGCTCCATGTGAGAGGAGAGCGATGACTGTGCAGACTTTTCTTTGTTAATAAAGTTATTTTGTACATGCCGCGATGAGCCGCACCACCTTCTTTGAGGTAAGTCTGAATCTGAATGTATGAAAACTGTAAGCAAGGCTGCTAAGCTACTCAACGCTAACATGTAATTTTGTAATTTTATTTATAAATCTATGCGTAAAAATATCTACGGTAATTCCCTCACCATTTGGACGCACCATGTGGAGGCCAAACTTAGAGCAATGGGCAGCAGCAATAAAAATGCTTAAGGCAACAAATGTTAACTCAGGACATGTGCTGCCATTCAATTGTATTAGTACTATCACCTTGTTGATTTTACTCTTTAAATAGCTAAATTGAAACTGCAGAAAACTAAAAACTAGACTGAAAAAGGGTGTGGGAGTTTTATTTTTTGGTCTGGTGTTTGTTTTTGTTATGTTAAATTTCAAAAATGGACAAAAAAGTGGAAAAAAGGGAAAAAAGATCTATACTGAAAATGTTCTATGCATATATTTTGCATTATACTATCAAACCTTTAAGCCAATTTTATTCTAGTAGAGCAGGGATGTTTACAGTGCATCGTTTGGGTTCCTAGCTGTGATTAGTTGTAAGATCTGAATTAAAAATAAGCGTGTAAAGATATACACAAAGCATTCAGATCCTTTTTTCTGTTTAAGGCTGATATGTTTGGGAATTCAAAGTGTCCTCTGTATGTGCGCAATGGGACAGCAGGAGAATTCAGAGCTGTCAATCAAACAGCAAGGAGGCATCTCATGTGTCCTTCATCCACACGGCCCCACTGTACAGCCAAAGTAAACCAGGTCAAAGCATGTCAGGGGTGTCAAAACATGCCAGAGTCAGCAACACAAGAGGAATTTAAAGTTAAAAGTTGTGGACATAAAAGTTTACATTCAAAATCTGATCATTATCTGATTTCTGGATATCTGGAGTAGTAATCTGATTTCTTTTATTCACAATGTCTTAATTAATTGGGGAAATATATCTCAAAGGCAAATTCATGTAACAACAACAAAGTGAACATGTAAAAAGTGCAATGAATCAGACCTAGTACTAGTAGTAGTAGCAGCAGTAGCAGTAGTAGTGGAAGTAGTAGTAGTAGTAGCAGTAGCAGCAGCAGTAGTAGAAGTAGCAGTAGTAGTAGCAGTGGAAGTAGATGTAGCAGTAACAGTAGTAGTAACAGTAGTAGTAGTAGTAGTAGCAGCAAAAGTAGCAGCAGGAGCAGTGGAAGTAGCAGTAGCAGTAGTAGTAGTAGTAGGAGCAGCAGTAGTAACAGTAGCAGCAGTAGCAGTAAGAGTAGCATTAGCAGTATTAGCAGAAGTAGTAGCAGTATCAGTAGGAGTAGCGGTAGTAGTGGAAGTAGCAGTAGCAGTAGTAGGGAAGTAGTAGTCGTAGTAGCAGTAATAGTGGAAGTAGTGGAAGTCGTAGTAGTAGCAGCAGCAGTAATAGTAATAATAGCAATAATAGTAGTAGTAGTAGTAGTAGTAGAGGCAATAGTATTCCCAAACGGAATAAAGATAGCAATAAATAATAGCAGTAGTAACAACAGTACCACATTTCAATTAAATGTCCTACTCGGTGTACTCCAATAACATTCTTGTGGAGTACAACTAATCTTACTCCATGGGCAGTGTTCAGACCACTGTATCCTATGGAGTACTTTGTCTAATTAAATGTGATGTGTCCAGTTTGAGTGACCACAAAATCAAAGAAACTGCATCTTCATTAAGTTTAATTTACTGCTGAGGGCAGAGACGCACTGGTCAGCTCCAACACTGAGGCCAGAAACGAGACTGTGGAGTGCATACATGAGTGCATTACAGGCAATACATATTCTCATTTTTATTACTACTACAACTAATATCATAGCAAGTAAGATTAAAAATGTTAAAATAAAACTGCTGCTGCTACTGACTCTACCATGAAGGTCAAAACAAACAAATCTTAAAATAAACCTAATATTTACATTTACCTTCATAGTGCAGAAATTATGCGTGAAAGGAATAGTTTTATTTTATAGTCAGCTAATTATTTAAAGTCAGTTCATATTAAGTAAGTACATATTTAAGAATGGTAATTAGAGGTAAACTACATCTAAAGAAGGAGTTGTGTTTTGTTTCATTCACACATGTCTGAGTAACCCTTTATTATTAATCTGTCTACATCTCCCAAGCTCAAAATGCTCTGTTCTACCTTGTACTGTCATGTAGTCGTAGCTTCCAAGTTCACAGCTACTTTTTACTACTACTACTACTTTTTTAGTTCAGCAGAGATCGGTAATTCCAGAGCTGAAATGATCGAAATGATTCTAGTGAAGGTGTATAGAGTTTAAAAACAGAGGAGAGCACTTCCTGTATTACATAATGACATTAACAGGTGGAACAGTGTGTTTTCTGTTTGAGGGAAGTTTCTAAATATGCAGGGTTTGTATGTTAAACATGTGTGAATGACACAACTCATAACTCCAGGTCTGTTTGTGATGAGGAAACATTACAACATAGATCAGAAAATTGTAATATGGGCCCTTTAAAGTATACGTGCCATTCCATTGAGGTGTATTGTAGTACTGCTTGAGGTGCCAATTTCAGTGTATTTGTGTGTTAAAGTCCTTGTCGTGACAGAAGTGTGACCTGTGCTGTCAGCAGAGCCTCCTCCCCAGAGAGGGCGCTCCTGCTCCCAAACACACAAGCACATTTACAAGGGCACATACATGGCGCTAACAACCCACTGACGGCATCAACGTGAGCCCAACCTCTGCAGCAGCTGGAGGAGAAAGACCACAATTCCCATGATGCATTTCAATGGCATGTCTGAGCAACTAGGAGATTACGTCCGTCAAACCATGAGCACTCAATATGAACAGGAGCAACCAAAATGCCAAAAAACAAAAAAGGGTCCATATTACGCTATTTTCTGATCTATGTTATAATGTTGTTTCGTCATTAAACACCCTTGGAGTTGTGCTTCGTTTAATTTAGACATGTTTAACACACAAACCCTGCATATTTAGGCTTCTTTAAAACAAACAAACAAAACACTCTGTTCCTGTGACAAAGAGGGCCTTGTCCCTGGATTGACATATTAATTTCATTTCATTTGACATCTGTTTATCAATAATCAACTAAACTGCTAAATACAACTACCCCGAGTTTTATTTAGTTCTTGTTTAGTACCTTTAAGTTAATCACAATACACGCAAGTTACTTTAAAAAGGGTTTGTGAGTTAAACATGTGTGAATAAAACAAAACACAACTCCAGGTTTGTGATGAGGAAACAACATTATAACATAGATCAGAAATGTGTGTTATAAAGGACTTTCAATAATTTCTTGACTAAAATATCACTTCAGATTCAGAACTGGCACAATCTCACAAAATTGAACACTTTAGTTTAGTACCACAGACTGGCCTGCCCCCTCCTCTCTCTTCATCTTAATTAGCAGGTGTCACTGCGATGTGCAGTGTTCAGGGTCAGGGCGGGGTGGGGGTGGAGGAGGGAGAGGTGTGGAGCCTGCATTTTGCCCTGAAAGCCCCATCCTCTATCTCCTCCTGCTCTTTCTCCTACACCTCCTCTTCTATCTCCTCCTGCTTTTTCTCCTACACCTCCTCTTCCGTCTCCTCCTCATATTCTTTCTTGTCCCCCTCCTCCTCTATCTCCTCCTCTTCTTTTTCTTCTTCTTCTTTCTCCTCCCCCTCCTCCTCTATCTCCTCCTCCTCGTTCCCCTTCACTTCTATCCCCCCTCCTCTATCACCCACTCTTTCTCCTCTTTCTTCTATCTCCTCCTCCTTCTTCTCCTCCACCTCCACTTCTTCTTTCTCCTCCCTCTCCTCTTCAATTGCCTCCTTGGCTTTCTCCTCCCCCTCCAACTCTATCTCCTCCTCGTTCTCCTCCACCTCTATCTCCCCCTCTTCCTCGTCCTCTTTCTATTATCTCCTCTTCCTCCTTTTCTATCTCCTCCTCCTCTATCCACTCTCCCTTCTTTTCTATCTCCTGTCAACTCCACCTCTATCTCTTCCCCCTCCCTTTCTATCTCCTCCTCCTCTTTCTCCTTCTCCCCCTTCTTTTCTATCTCCTTCTCCTCCCCCTCCTCCTCTATCTCCTCCCCCTCTGTTCTATCTCCTCCTCTTCTATATCTCCTCCTCCTCTTTCTCCTCCACCTCCTCTTTCTCCTTCTCCTATCTCTTCCTCCCCCTCGTCTTCCTGCTGGGTGGGCTGCTCCTCTGTGGACACTGTAATAAGGCTCTAATGGAAAGCTAAAGATTTGCTGAGTGCACAGTCAGTTTGAATGAGGCCCAGAGCCACAGAATCTGCAGAAACACAGGATTTAAGGCCCATCATTTACCGACTCATTTACTTAATGGCGGAGGCGCTGTTCACACATGAGGGAACATTTAATCTTACCACTTTGTATTCACATAGCACATTTACAGTATGTTATAATAGAATACACTGTCATATTGTAGAGACTGTCTACATAATAAAAGGTTACTCAGACATGTGTGAATGAAACAAAACACATGTCCAGGTTTGTTTTTGATTAAGTAACAACATTATAACATGCTTTAATGCTCACAAGAGTCAATTTTATGTAATATAGCAATTCACTTATCTACTGATAGAGACTTAAAGGTGCATTGTGTAACTTTTCTGGTGGAGAATCCGTCACCCATTTGTTTCTGAAGATGTAATTTCTCTGCTTGGAATGTTTTCACAGTGACATAAAACAGCTCTACCTTATATTTATTCAGTTGCAGGTGGTTTTAAAGCTCAAAAATACCTACAAAAACTGGCATTCTGACTGTGAGTGGGGTTAACTCTCCAAAAATCTGGCCTGTAACTTGGTCTGGTTTGGTCTCCATGAAAATAAAAAGGTTTAATACCATACTGTGAAAACGTCCAGACAAAGTAATAACATTTCCATGGAGAAAAGCGTGTGACGGACCCTCCAGCAGAAAATTTATACAATGCACCTTTGACTAAATCTTTACTGACTGACAGTGAGGACACAAATCTAGATCTTCTCACTGAATATTTAAATTCACCATGTAACAATGCAGCACCTTACTCCACTGCAAAAATATATGTTTTTTGTGTTTGTGCTGTGGTAAAGCTAGTTCTAATTTGACTGAACATATCCAAATCTTACAGTTAAAATATGGTCATTGCTGTTTGTCTTCCCAGGTGGAGATCCTAGATGCCAAGACAAGAGAGCAGCTATGTTTTTTAGATAAGGTATGTATTTTCTATTATACAATTGATATTAATGTCTCAATATCATTTTGAACATTCTAAATATTTTCATTCAGGTGGAGCCACATTCAACTATAGGGGACATCAAAAGCCTTTTCCACAAATTATGTAAGTACAAGCCTATTGTTGTTTTGAGACTTTAAATCAGTGTTTCCCAAACTTTTTTCTGGGGACCCATATTTTAAAAGTCACAAATCCCAGTGACCCAAGTCAACAGACATTATTCATAAGTCACAAAATAAATCTGTGACCATTACTGAACATTAATGAGGATATTTTATTGTTGACTGAGTGATCATGTCTCTCTGAACAATTATTATTACTCAAGTTTTAAACAATGAAAAACAGTAATCAGTGTTTCCCACAGAAAATTGGTTAGGCAAGGCGGTGCAGATCGTGGCAAGGTGTGTTAAAATTATTTTCTGATCTGTGTTATAATGTTGTTTCTCATCAAAAATACACCCGAAGTTTTTTTTTTTTTCATTTACACACGTTCAGCACACAAATCCTGTATATATAGGCTCAGTTCTTCTTACAAACAGAAAACACTCTGTTCCAACTTGTGATGTCATATGTTAATATAGGAAGTGCTCCACTGTGTTTTTAAACTCCATACACCTTCACCAGAATCATTTGCACAAGCCCAGGAATTGCCTGTCTCTATTAAACAAAAGATCAGTGTAGCTGTTAACTTGAAAAATGCAGCTTCATGACATCACAAGGTGGAACATAGTATTGTGAGCTTTGCAGATGTAGACAGACTAATGATAAAGGATCACTCAAACATGAAAATGAAACCAAAACACTGGAGAAGGAGGTAACAACATTATAGCATGGCTTAAAACTCACAAGAGTCAATTTTGCACAACATATAGGACCTTTAAAAATGTCAGATTCTGCAGTTATGTCATCTGAAAACAACAATACACCTGAAGAGCACTGGAGATTTTTGTTAACAACATGTCCACAAACTTCCTTCCTAATCCTGCCTGTATTTTGTTCTGGTTATTACCTTTTCAAAAATATTACAGATTCATGTTTTACTCAGGCTGTTTTTGTGCATATCAGACTGCACCAGCTCAAGTTTATTCCATTGTGATCAATTATAACAGAGCCTGAGGCCAAACTGAGCCCAAGGCCGACTCTTCACTCCCGAGTCTGAACCTGTGTAATCCTTTCAGATCCTCACTGGTATCCAGCCAGACAGGCCCTCAAGCTCGACCCCAGTAAGTACACTGAACCCAAACTCAGCAAGTAGACCGTATCCAAACCCAGCAAGTAGACCGTACCCAAACCCAGCAAGTAGACCGTACCCAAACCCAGCAAGTAGACCGTACCCAAACCCAGCAAGTAGACCGTACCCAAACCCAGCAAGTAGACCGTACCCAAACCCAGCAAGTACACCATACTTCAGTTCAGGAAGTAGAGTGTACCAGACCCCCATGAGTATACTGTACTCAAACCCAGGAAGTAAAATGTAAGTAAGTTTACTGCAGTAAGTAGACTATACTTCAACCTTACTATGTAGGCTGTATTCAACCCTGTAAGTAGACTACACTCAAACCCAAAAAGTAGACTGTACTCAAACCCAATTAGTAGACTATACTCAACTCCAGTAAATAGGCTGCACTCAAACCTTTAATTAGATGTACTCAAACCTATAAGTAGTATAGTAGTATAAGGATTTGGCTTAGTGGTGCTCCATGTTTTTATTAAAAAATATCGATTCTAACATGCTGTACTGTAATCAATATTTTTGGTCTAAATGAAAGTGGTATCACCTAAACCAGGAACCAAATCATATGTATTGCAGGTGTGAATTGGATTAAACTAAAACAACCAAAATTAAACCCAGGCTAAACCAACACTCAAGACAAATCAGGTCTAATTAAGCCTGCATAACAATTGGTATTGTTATATATTGTTGCCCTGCAGATTAATCATTTATCATTTAGTTACATTTTTTGCTGTAGACCATTAATGCACAAAGACGCCCATCAAAAACTGGAAAAATGTTATTTTATATAGAAACTGTGTTACGAGTTACTTGATTTTAGCCTCTTCATTCTTAACCTACATGCTATTTCTGCTCCTAAAATAGATTAGATTGTTACACTTTTGTGTGATTTTTTTTCACAAACCAAAACCGTTTTGCACTGGGCCCCCAACCTCTACAACCGGCCCTGGCTGTTACTTCTTAGTAGTTTTAATTGTGCGCATGATACAGCATTTCCAGGTCTCGCTGTTCTAAAACACAATGCATTAGAGACAGAATCTGGGACAGTCACTTTTGAGAATAGTCTAAAAATATGGGCCCATTAGTAGGTTACCTCATCTATTTATTGCACAGCCCTACATGCCAAAATTAGTTTAAAATCACAGTGTATAAAAGCAAAGTATATGGCATTAGTTTAGCTGTATTAGCACATTGATAAACTTGTATTTTTTAGGAGGAAAGTCACTGCGAGATGATGAAGTCTTACAGAACCTGCCTGTTGGGACCACTGCCACAATGTACTTCAGAGATCTGGGTCCACAGTTAGGCTGGACCATGGTGAGTATGTTACCCAATATTAAATAGACCAAAACTATAGATACTTTGCAGCTGATCTCATGCACAGTTTTTCAGTTAGTCTCTCTCACCTTTTTTTTGTTGAAAATCAAACTCCTAAATAGGACCATGAATGTTTTGTCAGTGCAAAGTGTCAATAACAGAGAGCAGAATAGGTGGTTACCGTTGCAGTAGGTTTCTTGCCAAATGCTGCTACTTCGGCATACGTGGGGAGAGAGTACATGTACTTTCTAAGCCCATTTGCTATTTATAATGTGTGTACTTTGCTTCTGGTCTTTATTTTGCATTTGTATTTATAGGTGTTTCTGGCCGAGTACTTGGGTCCTCTGCTCACCTACCTCCTGTTCTACTTCAGAGTGCCGTACATTTACTCTCACAGTTATGCCTTCACCTCCAGCCCACACCCTGTTGTCACGTAAGTCTACACACTCAACTCAAATCATTATCTTCAATAAACGGGTAAATTTGGTTATTCTGACCTGAGCCACTTTTTGAAGAAGTTGTAAATTCAAGAGGCATTCTGTGAGTAATACAATAAACTGTTTGGGTAATGTTTTCAGCCTCCTGTTTATGGGTACCATTTTAAGTACCTCTTTTTACAATTACAACCATATCATATTTTGTTTTGAATTGTTCATTGCTATATCAAGTGGGTTCATTTTTCATCACTCTGAAAGCTGCACATAAGGGAGTCCAGAAGTGACAAAGGTTTTATTTGGCAATATTTCAGTGAAAAATATGCAGATATATTTTTCAGAATTTCTTTTTAAAGGTCTTATATTACACAAAAATTATTCTTGAGAGCTTTAAACCATGTTAGAATGTTACTCCTTAAAAACATACCTGGAGTTGTGTTTTGTTTCTTTCACACATGTTTAAGTAATAGTTTATTGATAGTCTGTACATTTCCTAATCTTAAAATGCTCTGTTCCACCTTGTTCCACCTTGCGATGTCATGGTTTGGTAGTTTTCAAGTTAATAGCTACTGTTTTCTTTAGTTCAGTAGAAATTGGCAATTCCAGGGCTGAAATGATACAAATGATTCAAGTGAAGGTGTAAGGAGTTTAAAATACAGTGGAGCACTTCCTGTGACTTCCTTTCACTTTCTTTCAGTTTGAGAGAAGAACTCAGCCTAAATATGCAGGATTTAAAACATGAGTGAATGAAACAAAACAAAATTCCAGGTAGGTAGATTATAACATAGTAGGGATGTAAAGATATCCAAATCTCATGGTACAATATATATTGTGATATTTTGGAGAGGCTAATGTAATTGGAGATGGAACACTTTTTTGCTTTTAAAATACCTTGACAAGATTTTGGTGTGAATTATCTCCATCATGATCCCAGGAATTTGAGTAAAAAGCATATTTCTTCATGTTGTTTGCACTGAAATGAATCATGGGATATGTAGTTTCTGATGTTTATAAGCTGTTGCTACTATAAAACCATGCATTTAAGCAAAGAAACTTGTAATACGATATATTGTGACAGTCCACAATATTATGACTTCTGACAATACGATATCAAAATATTTCGGTTATTGTTACCTCACTATAACATAGATCAGAAAATAGCGTAATATGGGCCCTTTAATCTCTACCTTTCATCCCAGTTTGAGTTGTACCATGTCAGTGTAACAGGGCTCATACTAGACTGCTGACATATTCCTCTCCACACTATGAATAACATTTACGTAAAACTAACTCACCTCTCTGTGTCCAGTCTGGCCTGCGTCTGCCACACGCTCCACTACATAAAGAGGCTGGTGGAGACCATCTTTGTGCACCGTTTCTCCCACGGGACGATGCCTCTCAGGACCATAGTCTGGGTGAGCACACACACACACAGAGACATTTACCTTATGAAAGCTACACTCCTCTGTCCATTAGAGCTGCAGTGAAGGAAGGACATTAATTGATTTAGCTGTTATGTTTCAGAACTGTGCCTATTACTGGGGATTCTCAGCCTGGTTGGCCTACTACATCAACCACCCTCTGTATACTCCTCCATGTATGTAAAATATTCTACAGATGATTTAGTGTTACATTTTAAAGGTGCACTATGTAACTTTTCTTGTGCAGAGTCAGCCACCTGAGATGTTCCACAAAATGCCATTAAATCACTTAAAACCTAACTCCATATTGCATAATTAAATTGCAGGTATTTTATTGCAAAGAAAACTTGGACTTGAAACTTGAAAAACATAAATTCTTACTATGCCAGGCTTTGCTTCTCCACAGATCTGACCTGAGTTGTAACTTACTCGGGCGATGCTGCGTGTTTGTCCCCATGGAGGTAGATAAGCTAAAAGTCATATTGCAGAACATTCTAAACAAAAATCAAACTCAAATCTCCATGGAGACAAGCCAATGCTGGGACCTCCATCAGAAATGTTACATTGTGCACCTTTAAAATATATAAATAAAAAAATGGTAATAAATAAATGTATTCTCTTATTTTCTCTTTAGCATATGGAGATCTGCAAATCAACTATGCGCTGGCCGTGTTTGTGGTAAGAAAAATGAGCAGCGTATTGCAATAAAAAATAAATAACTTACCATATTATATTGGATTAAAACAGTGTGATTTCTGCAGATGTGTGAACTGGGAAACTTCTCCATTCACTTGACTCTGAACAACCTCAAAAACAGTGAGTACAAAACATTTACAAAACACAACATCATAGACATTATTGTGACATTCTCTCATCAATGTCTCAACAAATGCAGGATCAAAAAACAGAAAATTTCCAGTGCCAACCAAGAATCCTTTTACGTGGCTTTATTTCTTTGTATCCTGTCCAAACTACACATATGAGGTAAATAACACAATGATAACAACAGCATTAATAAAGTAATATTAAAATGTACTTTACCAATCTCTTTTATTTCTTATTTTATAGGTTGGGACTTGGGTTGGTTTCTCCATCATGACTCAGTGTGTACCAGGTCTGTATAGTTAAATTAATTACCGTATTTAAAGCTGCTGTGTAACTTTTCTGGTTGTTTGGTTTAAGAAGTTTAAATGCCATACATACATACTGCGTAACACTGAAGGCAAATTAACAAAAACACATGTGACACCACTAGGTCCTTTCATAGGTTGTATGTTTTCCTATGTTTTGAGCAATAAAAACAACAGCAATCTAATAAATTCAAGATTTTAATGCCATATCCTCCTGAGATGCAGCCCATTCATTTGTGTCCTTTATAGTGAAAATCTTTTGTGTTTTGAGATACACTCTTAATGGGGGGGACTAGGTTCCTCTGTCTAAATGGACCTGGGGGATTATAGGGCACTATCATGTCCAGGATAAAAATAAATAAATAACTGAATAGGAGTTAGTTTGTGACTGCACAAAAAAAAAAAAATTAAAAGGGAGTCTAAAAACATTTTGAGGCGACTGTAGAAGCTTGTCAGAGATGTTGGTCATCAAAAAGTTGCTTTTGTTAGGTTGTTAACTTCACATGGATTTAACACCAAAATGTCCCTGGTGTCCATTACAGAGGACATGTTATAAAATTATAAATAAAAATAAAATGAACAAAATCAAAATGTTAAGTGTTCATTTACCTCCAAATAGATACAAAATTACAAAAAAATATATTGTAATACACTTTTTTCTTCGGGTCCCAGGAGGTTATTGTGGTACATCCCAGGCAATTAAATAATATCACCAATCACTATCACCTATAAATAATATCATCAATTTTTTTTCAGACAAAATAGTGAAACAAAAACACCAGGATCAGTTAGTCCAGGTTAATACGAACATTTTAAGACCAAAAATAACAAGGCTCACAGAAGCAATTACAGAGAGAGGGATGACGATGTTTCAATGTTAAGTCAACTGAAGCCAGATATGATGTTATCTGTGTCCATTTATATATAGAGTCTGTTGTTCTGATGTTAGTTTTCTTGTGTTGCAGTTGCTCTCTACACTTTGTTGGGGTTCATCCAGATGACCATTTGGGCCAAAGGGAAGCACAGAGCCTACAGCCGAGAGTTCAAGGACTATCCGTCACTTCGAATGGCCATTATTCCTCTGATTCTATGATGTTATGTATTATTAACTACTTAATAATGTTAATCCTATGGCTCTCAGACTGTTAAATTAAGACATTTTTTACTTTAGATTTTTAGTAGAATTTAAATGCTTGCTTTATCCTGGTTTATAGGGGATTTAGTCCTTGGTTTAGTTCTTGGTTAAAAGGTGCATTGTGTAACTTTCCTGGTGGAGGAGCCATCAAATGCTTTTCTCCATGTAGATGTTATTGCTTTGGAATGATTCACAGTATGGCATTAAACTTTTCTATCTTTATTAACACCAAAGTTACAGATCAGATCTGTGAAGAGCCAACCCCGCTTAGACAGAATATATGTTCTTGATATTTTTGAGCAATAAAACCATCTGTAATTGAATAAATGTAAGGCAAATCTGTTTAAAGTCATACTGTGGAATGTTCTAGCCAAAAAGTTACATAGTGCACCTTTAAGCGCTATGTTTAGTCTAGGACAGGAGCCAAGCTTTCTGATCATTTAGATTATAATAAACAGTATTGTTAATTATTTATTACAGTTTCTAGTGAGATAATCCACTAAGGTTAGACTATGCAATTTTTGTACTTAAATATTCAGTTCTATATGTGAACTCATAAGGGTCCTCATATGGTATTATAAAGCAATACGATGCAATAAGAATGTAACCAGGAGAGACTTAAGAAGACAGACAGGTAAGTGAGAAATACAGATATATTTCATTTGACAAGTTGTGAAGATTTGTTAGAGAAAAGACCTTTGTTTTTTAAAGGTTTTAGAGGTATAAGTTTACAGACAGATGTAAAGCAGCATGTGTTTGGCTGGGAGCAAAAGAAAGGTACAAAACAGGTTGGCGGTAGGAACAAGGTAGAAATATTGTCTTCCTGGTTGAATTTACACAACATGAAGTTCATATTTTATGTATATTTTAAAAGTCCTGTATTACACCAAATTGACTCGTTAGATTTATGCCATGTTATAATGTTGTCAGTGTTATCTCGTCAAAAACATACTCAGAGTTGTATTGTTTTTTGTGTTTTGTTTCATTCGCACACTTGAGTAACATAAATTAAAAAATTGCAATATTAACAACTTAAAACTACTGTAGTTCAGACTGTTAAATACTGAAAGTGCCTGCTATATGAACATAAAACAAACAACTTCAAATGTGAATGCAGAAATTAAGCGTGCACTATGTATGTCTCAGGAGAAAGTGGATAAAAACTTTATTAACTTTACTTTGAACTATTTCCTTGTAAGTTTTATAATAGTATATATTGCTATTAACAGGCTTAAAATGTAAAGTACAACAATGTAGAACAATGTTGTGTTTTTCAAAATGATTGTCAGTGGCTACAAGTGTTAAATTTGAAATTGAAATGTCGATGTTTGTTTTATTTAAATCTTTATTTGACAAAATGTTTATCATAATAACAGTGTATTTCTCTACTATTTCTTTACTTTGTTAAACATACCAAAATCATTTAAACACACATTTAATTTCGTGGCATAACAATTTAACATTTGACATTTACAGATGTAGCAGCATTTGTAGCAGTAATATTGCACTATAGCATCAAAAATCTCCTATGCTTGATCATAACATATAAATAAAGTGCTATGATAAGACTATGATTGTCTGAGTGCTCATTTGTCTAATAAAGGCATTAAACAGCATCTTAATCTTGATTGGCATCTTAAGCAGCAAAAAGCACAAATATTAACTTGAAAAAGCCAATATTGTGCTTTATGACATGTCATAGTTTAAGGGCGTTTTCCTTCATATTAAAGGTCCTATATTACACAAAATAGGCTCTTGTGAGCTTTATGACATGTTATAATGCTGTTGTTATCTCATCAAAAACATACCTGGACTTGTGTTTTGTTTCATTCACAACTCTACATTACTGGACTATCTCAGTGTAAATATTCAGAGTTTGTGTATGAAATGCGAATGACACAAAACACAATTCCGGGTATGTTTTTGAAGAGGAAACAAAATGATAACATAGATCAAAAAATTGTGTAATATTGGCCCTTTAAACTTAAGCACAGTTTAGTTTGCAAGGCCTAAAGGTGAGCAGCACAGAGCATGACACAGGCACATTAATGCTCCACCCTTTCAAAATAAAAGCCCATGAGAAATAAAATAATACATTGTAGACACACAACATGTAATTTGTCCTACCTTTGGGGTTTTCCATAATCATGACATACTATGTTTCAGTTGTAGCTGTGTATTTGCTAGCCCTATTTGCCTTTAGTCTTCATTTTATTTTGTAGAGCTTTTAAAAACAATCACTTCTTCTCAGCCTCAGGATAGGAGAGGTGATAATAATCCTCTGAGCTCCAGCAGCTTTTGGATGCAGCACTATATGTTCGTCTTCTCTCGATTGTTGCTTTGCGAAATTCACAAACACCTGGAAGAAAGACAAGCCGATAAGAATTTAAAGAGGGACTAAACACCTAAACTCTACTCACAAACACATTTCAAATAGAGCTGCTAAACTGGGCTGTGCCTGGAGGAGGAGAGTGAGTGAGGAACAGTAAATGCTATTAAAACACAATATACACAGTTTATTAGCAAAAAGTTGATTTGTCCTACTGATGTTCAGTGATGTTAAAAGTAGCCTCAGTTAGACCTGTGGGGGCTCAGCTGTCTTTACCTACTCTAAGGGGAGGCTCACATTTACCCAATTTCAAAACCCCTGCTATAAGCCAATATTCTCATGTAGGGGGCAGTTTTTTTCCAATAACAAATTATATTTGTTTTTATTTGAAATCTCCAAAAACAAAATCCCAACACTGAACTGAACAGCTTCACATTAGGAGCCGATTCATGGGTTAAGCTTAAGTGTTTCTATATGAAAATTGTGAGGATTTTTTCCAATTCAAAAGAAATAATAGTTTTAAACTGTTAATTGCTATGAAAACTGAAACTCATGGATAAAATGTTTGTAGTTATCATATACATACCCACTTATGCATTTTTACCTGGTCTAGAGTGGTCTGTGACACAGAGTAGTCTTCTATGTTGAGTTTGTCCTTGTTTGCGAGCACCATTTGAAAGATCTTGGCCAGAGAGGAGGAGTTGATCTTGTATTGTAGAGTGTTATAGTGCTTTTCTCGTTGAATGCACCCAGGGAAAGAGCTCTCCATGAAGGCCTCTGCAGGGTTAAGGTCTGGGGCACAACCAGGCCTTGCTGCTCTGATCTTCATAGTCACCATATAACCATCCCCAAACCTGTTAGTGATGGACAAATATGTAGAGACTTTATAGGCTTATGATGTTGTATAAAAGGAAAGTATTCATTAAATTAAACCATGGGCTATCTAGGGCTATCAAAACATTCATTAGACATTAGCCACCTATCTGTCAGTGGTCAAAGCTGAGTAAATTGCACAACTTAGTAAGATAATATGATAATTTAATTCAGAAAGAAATCTATACCATCTGACAGAATACATCTAAAACCTGCCATTTCTACTAGTCAGTAAATTATATTTCAAACATTTTTAATAAACAAAGACTATGTAGGATTAGATGTAAGTGTCCTACTTGTATTTGAGATGTTGGATTGTTCCCAAACATTTGAAGGATCCATTGACCATGATGGCTAAGCGAGTACACAGAGCTTCACATTCTTCCATACTGCAAGAGCAAGAAAAACAGATAAATGAAAAAATAACTATTAAAGATAATATAAATTGTAATATATTACTTGTACGGTACCTGTGTGAGGTGAGGACCACAGCTCGCTTGTCCTGAATAACACTCATAATGGAGTTCCACAGAAAGCGTCGAGACAAAGGGTCCATTCCTGTGGTGGGCTCATCCTAAAATCAAATATAAGGCCATTAAAAAAGTATTAGCAATAAGTCATTCTGTATTATTTGTATGTTTCAGATTCAGAATTTTATTGTCATTATCATTGAAAAATAACATAAACATATGAATGTTTATCACACAAATCCTTTATATATAATGCTTCTCTCAAACACAAAACACTCGGTAATACAAGTGCTCCACTGTGTTTTTAAACTCCATACACCTTCACTAGAATCATTTGGATGATTTCAGACCTGGAATTGCCGATCTGTACTGATTAAAAGGTAAAAGGAAGCTGTTATCTTGAAAACTACTGCTTCATGACATCACAAGGTAGAACAGAGCATTTTGAGCTTTGAAGATGTAGACAGACTAATAGTAAAATTATTACGCTAACATGTGTGAATGAAACAAAACATAACTCCAGGTAGGTTTTTGATGAGGTAACAACATTAACATGGCAAAACAGAGACATACAGTCAGATGTGGAGTTTTAATGTCATTTCTGCATTGAAAAATGGTTAAGGCCTCACCAGCAGTACTAGAGCCGGGCAGCCGATCATGGCGATGGCTGTGGACAGTTTCCTCCTGTTTCCTCCGCTGTAGGTCCCAGCTGTGCGACCTGCGTCCTCTGATAGACCCAGCTTCTGGATGGCCCATTCTGCCACCTGTGCACACAACAAAGATATTCACAAATAAATTACAAGCATTATTCATTATTATAGTAAAATATATGGGAAAATTAACTGCTGCATAATATAAATCAAATTACTATATCAATATCATCCCCATATTTTATTATTATCTATTGCATTGGCAGTTTTGTAGTTATTAATCAAGGTTAGTGTATTTAGTTGGCAGTCACAAACAAGCTTAAAGAGATTCACAGCGACAGACTGTGCCAAGTACTTGTACCATCTAAAATAAATACCACTATTTGCACTTAACTGAATAAAATCTTATTACTATATGCAATACCAACAATTTAAAAGAATTAATCAAATCTTACTCTGACAGTTAATACTTACCCTGACAATAAATTGTGTTTGTATCCCTCTTCTCTTTTAATGTTAATTTTATGATGATTATTTATGTTTTGATTTGTTTGTATTGTGATTTTATTGTCTTTCTTATTCTGTAAAGTACTACTGAATTACTTTGTGTATGAACTGTGCTATGCAAATAATCATGTCTTGTCTATTTTATAAAACACAACTAAAATAACTAAAGGCTAAAATGTCTCAATAATTACTTCCCTATATTAGCATTATTAGAATAAAATGTTATATACAATACCACTTCAGATTAATTAATCAAATCTTTCTCTGACAGTAAATGCTTACCCTGATAATAAGTATATTTTATAAGCAATATTAAAAAAACTACAAGCTACGTAAAATGTTTCTACAACTATTTCCCTATACTTACTAATTTTAGTACTTTTTATGTTTTTTTTTTTTTTTCTCATTTATTTGGTATGATTTATTTTATACACTGTGTTAATTTATATTATATTGTGCCTACACTGTGCATCACTTGGGAGACTTTGTTTTGGTAAAATGTGCATTACAAATAAAGTTGGATTGGATATTAGCATTACTACTGTATTCTAATATAAATAAGAATACGCGCATGTGTTTTGTGAGAATATAGTACTTAAACTTGTACCATCCAAAATAAATATCATAATTAGCACTTAAAATGTTATTACTATATGCATTACCAACCATTCAAAGTAATTCATCAAATCTTAACAGTAAATACTTACCCTGACAATAAGTGTATTTTATAAATAATACTAAAATGTTTCAACAATTACTTCCCTATAATACCATTATTAGTACATGCTAATATGGTTTGTGAGAGTACAGTACTGACCCTGCTGATCTCATACTCTGGCACCCCTCTGAGGCGGGCGTACATGTGCAGGTGCTCTCTGCCCGTCAGCAGCTCATCGATGGCATCAAACTGAGGACAGTAGCCCATGTTCTGGTGCACGTCCAGAATGTTGGTCAAAATACTGCAAAGTTCATTACAAAAGGTTAATACATTATCTTCAAGCCAAAGTAGTTCAGTTTTTACACCAGAAGTATGAGAAAAATGTTCCTTTTAAAGACTCAAATACCACTGACCTGTATCCAGTGACGGATGCTTCTCCAGACGTAACATCGATGTCTCCTGTCAGCATTTTAAACGTGGTGGTCTTTCCTGCTCCATTCACTCCCAGCAGACCGAAACACTGAGAAGGTTCAGATAAGATTAGATAGAACTGTATCAATCTCCCAGAAGAGAAATTCATTTAATACGCACTAAAGTGGGGGTACAAAAAAATCTAAATGTCCATAAAGTCAAAATCAAGAAACATTACAAGGAATTATATTTTTAACTAAGCATAAAATACAAAGTCTATTATTAAAATGTGCCTTACTATTTGTAACTCAGGTTCATAGTATCAGGGCTGTTGCTAGTTTGTAGGGGCTCTATGCAAAACACTACTGGGGGGCCATATGTCCTAAACTGATATGGTGAAATACTATAGAGCAGTGGTTCGCAAAGTGAGGTCTAGGGCCTCATGAGGGACCTTAGAGGCATTGCAGGGGGGCCCCCAAAGATTGTTCACATAATAAGCAAAAGTGAAAAAATGAGTTTCAAATTAGCTTTACATCATATATTTCATTACATTTACAACTTTATATTAGTATTAAAACAATATAATAATGCCCATAGGCCTAACTTTCTTTTTTTTCTTAAGAAAGAACATGACATTTTGTATTAAATGCAGTGTAAATTATTATTAAGGGGCTCTGCAGACTTTGGGAATGGCTGCTATAGGGGTATAAGGACTTGTTATGAACATGCCTCAATTTGATAGACTTTGAAAATAAATAAACAAACACATGCACATGTTAAATCTAAAATATATAAGGATTTTTTGGGTTGAGCATTCACTTTTGAAGCTGCTCTTCTCCATGTGGAATGCTCTGTCTCTGCTTGTTTTGCTTGTAGCTTGACAGTTTAATGGCTCTGTGCTGCGTATTTACAGTACAGTTTGCTTTTACTGTAATTACCTCTCCAGGCGAAACTCCAAGGCAAATTCTGTCAACAGCCGGGATTACTGTTCCAGTGTATGTCTATAACCACAGAAAAACACAATAGAGGCAAATAATAGGATGAAGTAACCTTATACACAACTACTGGACTACACATTTTACCTTGGACAGGTCTCGCACTCGAAGAATATCATTTGTTTTGTCACTTTTATAAATCCTCTGCCTCTCCTCAGCCACATCAGCATCCTCATTCGCAATGTGGAATCGAGGGGAATCGGAAAGCCTGACAACAAATAAACCACAACTGACTGTTAATATTAAAAAAGACCACATGAGCATTTATATTAGTTTTAATGACTTATTAAAACTGCACTATGCCACCTTTCTGTTAGAGTATCTAACACCTGTCTGGAATGTTCCACAGTATGGCATTAAACTTAACCATCTCTATGAAGACAAGCAGGTGACACCTCTAAGCCAAGTTACAGTTCAGATCTGTGGAGAGGTGACGCCCACCCACAGTAAGAATGCATTTTTCAAGTATTTTCTAAGGACCTGTAATTGACTGAATGCAAGACAGATTAGATTAAAGCCATTTTGTGGAAAGAAATAACATTTTCATAGCGACAAGCAAGTGGTGGACCCCCTTCAGAAACATTATATAGTGAATTTTTAAATGCAATGCAAACATCTATTTAAAAAAGAAGAACTACTAACTAAAACATAAAATAATTAGTAAAAGCTCAAGTCATATAAAGTACTGTATCACGGGACTCACCAGTGATCCAAAAAGAAGCGATACTGGATCAGAATATTTACGACAAAGTAGATGAAGCCTTCAGCCGCCATACAACACATGTTCTTGCCCAAATAGTGCCAGCTGTAAGGGTCTGGACTGTGGTCTTCACCTAAAACAACACAAATAAATCCTCCCAAATTAAAATTAAAATATATCTCAATAGCACACTGTAAATGATACAGGCCTATACAGTAGAGCTGATAATATTGTGATTTAGATTTGAATAACATTTTGAAATTACCAAAGCGAGCAAAGACATCAGTTACAGCCTGGTTCATTGCCATGTCAATGAGTCCACGGCCCAGACAGTAATGTGGGAACAGGAGCAGTAAGGCTTTCAAAACTTGGTTCAACTTGTATAAGGCCTAAACAAAAAGGGACATCGCATTAGAATGAGATTTAATTTCTAGATAAATTTGTGTCACTCAAAGAGAGAGGGGTTAGGGTTAGGGTCATACCGAGTTGCTTTCAAATAAATCCAGAATAAATGTGATGGCGCTACTGTTGATGCCGATGAAAAGGTTTATACAGGACAGAGAGACATAGGCTGTGCTCGGGATGCTGAACAGATAGGACAGAGGGTACATCATGGGAGTCACTGACCACCTGGAAAAGAAAGAAAGAAAAAATGTGTGAAGGGAAAGAAAGAATTGGGGATTATAATCAGACATGCAAATAAGAGAGAAACATGTAAAATTGGTAGGGGAGTTTTACATATTTTACAAAAATCCAGTTGTTATTGTAATTTCAGCCCTAGTCTGTTCTAGTATTAATTGCAATTTATTCAAAGAGAGAGAGATACTTTAATGATTGATTATTGATAAATAAAACATTGTAACTGTAGGGCTCAAAATTTATTGCGTGAACAATCTTTGTGAAAGTTGGGAAATTTGAGTTTTTTTGTTTTTTTTTAAACACTACAAAACAAAAACAAAACAGACCACAACTACATGGATCATGAGAGAAATGGTTCAAGCTAAAGCAATAGTACCAAACCCCATTAAACAATAACTCCAAGAAAGAAAAGATAACAGCACATGAACAAGTTTACCTTTACTACTGTACATATAAGAGAGAAAATATAAATTAAAACAAACAAAACTGAATACATAATTCATTCTTTCCAGAGCTCTATATCTTTTAAAACATAATGCTTTATACTCATCACTCAGGTTGTTCCATAAACTAACTCCTCCAACAGAAATACAGTCACAGTTTTTCTTAGTTTTTATCTTCTTTTTTTTTAAGATGCCAGCTTTGCTTTGTTTTGTTTTTTTGTTTTTTGTTTTTGTTTATGGTCATACAAACTAATGCTAATGTTAACGAAGGCACAAACGTTTATCGTTTATGATCATACAAAATGAACCACAATGAGAAATTTGGCGAATTTTTGTTGAGGGTGACACTGTAGAGGGTGGCACTGTCTATTTAAAATGGTTTACTGGGGTTATCCTGTCTTATTGTGTCAGGGGCATAAAGTAGTTTCAATATTATCATTTATCAGAGTATATCTCTGTAGCAACATATGCCTCAATTATTGTGACAGGCCTCTGATTTAACACAGTTTGGAGGTTTTAATAATGAACACATTTGGCTGGCAATACTATTTTTTATATTCATTCCATGAACATAAAAAATACACACTCAATCATTTTCATTTAACACATAAAATAACCAAATTTATTTAAGTCTGAACTCCACAAACCAGATGCTTTTATGGACAGAGGACTGGCAGTGGAGCTCTCAATTAAAAATACATCAGGATTAGAAATAACTAAATCTCTCCTTGATTATAATGTGATTAACTACACAGAGCTACTTACCCATAGAGCATAAGAAGAGAAATCAGGGGCTGTAGATTTGTGGGTGAGGTGTAACACTTTTTATCGAAGATCTTGAATATTTCCACCACCAACACTGCACTGACGGAGTAATTCAACTGAAGAAAAAACAACATTTAGAAGTCAGGCAACAGTTTCTGAAAGAAGTGAGGCTGTCAATCTGTGCCGTGGACCTGTCAATCACCACCGATCACTCACTCACACACTCATACTATGCCATTTTGGTGCAGAGTCTTGCCTAAGAATACAACAAGAGAATGCACTAGAGACCCTGTTGCCCTATCATGGCACTTGAGAAAAGAGAGCCAAGTGTAAAATGTAAAATTGAGACAGAAACTCCACAAATTCAAATACACTTTTTTATTCTGAACACATCTTGGCCTTTAATCTGTCAGAGTAAAGGTTGCAGAGTCACTGTACCATGTCCCAGAGGAAGTTGGCGGTCCAGTAAACCAGAGGACTGACTCCGCTGACAAACTGCAGGTGTTTGGCCTGAGTGACCCGCTCCTGGATCAGATAAAGGACGAAGCTTGCGGGCACGAAGGACATGGCGAATATGACACAGATCGCCACCACAGCATCGACTGAAGTGGTCAGGCTGTTGAAGAAGAAAGGGGAATTATGTTACGCAAAACTGACTCTGGAGAGCTTTAAGACATGTTATAATGTTGTTACCTCCTCAAAAACATACCTGGACTTGTGTACTGTTTCATTCACACAAAATAATAAGAGATCAGAAAATATTGTAACATGGACCTTTAAAATAAACAATAACTAACTGTATATAGTAGAATGATAAGAGGTAGAAATACCCACATAGCTAAGTTAATGTTCTGAAAGTTTTTTTGTCTTACTTTGGATTATTCATTGTTTAAGTTACTGTAGTTATGATGCACACAATGTTTTAGTTTAGTTCCCAGTTCAGTCCTGACGTAGACATGGTTTAGTCCTGGTGTAGTCCTGGTTTCGTTCCAGGTTTAAAACTTGTTTAGTCTGAATTTCAATGTGGTATTTGTGCAAGTATGAATCTGGTGGTACCCAAAAGGACAAATATTTTCTTGACTGGTGCTAGGAGAGAAAAGTTTGAGAACCAAAACATTATTGAATATTAATAACAAGTTTATATTTTTTATGTTTTGTTGCCATATGACAGCACTTTTACTACATTCCCTGCACTCTTAACTTCCTCCAGCTCTGTCTGTGTAATGTTTTCTTACACAGTGATCTCAGACAGCTGTCCCTTGGTCAGATTCAGAGGGTGGTTAATGGCAGTGATCCCATATTCAGACAGGACTGAGGTTTTGGGAAGGTTTACTCGAAGAATAGCATTGTTTGCCACATTCAAGAAGGAGACCATGGAGTGCCAGCCCTTATTGTTGTACCACACCTGCAGGAAGAAAACAAAAACCAAAAAAAACATATATTATAGGGCTATTACTTCACTCTTTAGACTTGGACAAACTTTATTGATCCACAGGGGAAATAACTTGGACACAGTAGCTCACATATCACAATGTATTATAATGACAAAGAGACAAAATATAAATGGTATCTTGACTCAGTGGTACAGTGACTGAAAATATTACAGGACCACATTCATCCCATACTCCATACAACCTTACAATAACAACTCCCCCTTATGTAACAGATAATACTACCTACAACTGTACAACAACTCACCCTCTTCACACTATTTCTTTGTACCCACCTCTTGTATAGATATAGATTTACATAGATTTGTATAATTATTCTCATGTTATATTTGCTACTTATTTATTTATTATTACTATTTATATTGTTCCTCTTTGTTATTATATTATATTGTGATATGTGAGCTAGCTACTGTGTCCAAATAATTTCTCTTGTAGATCAATAAAGTTTGTCTAAGTCTATGTTCACAAGTACTAGTAAAAGCATAATTGAAATATTTACCATACCTTAATATTGTTTTCAGTCTCCATGTACTTAAGAAATGTCCCAATATCTTTCAGGGATTGTTTACAGTTTGGACCCTTCAAACAGTTGATGGATAACACATCAAAAATGTGCAAAATTTAAAACGATACAATATATAATACAATAAATATAATTTAATTTCTTACCCCTGTAACATTTAATAATCGTCCAAGTTGAGAAGCCAAATCCTGGATGGCTTTTGGGTCGATTTCTAAAACAGGAAGTTGTCCACCCACCGATATGCCTCCATACCTGAACAAGCATTTTAATAATTATCAATAAAAAAAAAAAAAACATTTGAATGAAAATAAAACAAGAGAAGATGTACCTTTGCTCATTCACCCAGTACTTGCTCTTTAAGCTGGAAAAGATGTTACAATAATGGTTTAAATACAGTAAATATGTTATGTTTTGCGAGAAAAAATGATTAATGAAAATGATTTTGGTGCCTGTAATTTATAATTTTAACTGAAAATTACCTGGTCCTGATGAGACTTGGGTAGGTCTTCACCAAAAAGTCGGGGATGTTCCTCCCAGTTAGATCCATGAGAACATCTCCTGTCGACTGCATCCTCTAAAACATAAAACAAGACTACTCTGAGTTTTGAGATGTAGACAGAATAATAATAAAGGATTACTTAGACATACGTGAATGAAACAAAACACAGCATGTTTTTGAGGAGGTGACAACATTATAACATGGCTTAATGTCACAAGAATCTATTTTGTGTAATATAGGACCTTTAATTGAGCTAACTAACTTCTCAATGTTCTCCCTCTGTATCCTACTAAATCTCAAAACTTCTCCCATTTTTCTTCTTTTTAGAAGTAGTACGTATTATAGACTGACCTGTGGAGGAGGCAGGCCCCCCGCCCCCTCGGGACACACTGGGAGCATGGTGAGTTTTTGGGCTGTGCTGCACTGACAGTCTGGAGAGGGTCTGATAGAGTCCCACTGTGGACCATCAAGCATCTCAATCAGAGCAGGATTGACCAGAGGCATCTCCCACTCTGTCGTGATGTTGTGACATGGGAAATTTCTGAACACAAAAAAGTAAAATAAATATAAGACAGAAAATATATACTGTACGTCTGAATTTAATTAGCCTTAATTAGACTGTATTTCATTACTTGTCAAAATATCCACGGCTACCTTTTGTCATTCACATACATAAAAGTAATTTCTACTACATGTTTGTAATTATCTTCGAGGTATTTTGGAGCAATATAAACTCCTGTAATTGAATATTTGGTAGATGAGTTGAATGCCATACCGTGGAACATTCTGGGAAAAGCAATATCATAGTGTACCTTTAAAAATTAGTCCAATTTGCAGTTTAGTTACTTAATAGATTTTACAGTTTCAAATTTATGTTTCTATATTCTAAGAAAAAAAATTTAAAGTGTACTTCTCCAAATACATACACAAATTAAATTAAAAAGAAATATATTTTAGGCTATGTTCATCACAAAGCTGACACCCCCTTCTGCTGAAGCTTATCCAATGTTCAATTAACTTTTCTTTTAAATTTCAAATATTTGTTGGTGCCTATTCAAGTCCATCCTGGTTGAAATTATGTATAGTTTAACTAAAATTACTACGTTACAAAATAATTAACTTACTCAAGTGGTTCATCCACCATGCATCGAGTCCCAAAGCCTGGTTTGTCGAGCAAAACTTCACCCAAATATCTCATCTTTGCATCTGTTGGCCGCTCATTACTGAAACAATGAAATCAATATTAAGCAGCAAAACTACTTTACATTAGATATGAGATTGTTTCTGCATTTTGAGTTACCTGAAAAATGTGTATTGTCTTTCATACATCCAGGGGCTCAGGGTCAGACTGGGATACTCTCCAAAAGGTGGAACTATCAGCGTGAATGTTAAAGCCAGGAAGACAAAGCTAGCCGGAAGCACAATCTAGAAAAAACATACTGTATTTTAAGTAACCAAGCATACTTCCTACATTAACGTGTAACTTTTCTGGTCTGTGAGCTGCTAGTGTCCATGAAGATGTTATTGCTCTGCCTGGAATGTTTTACAGCGTGGCATTAACCTTGTCAGTCTTCAAGGATACAAGCAGGGAATACTACCAGACGAAAATACAGACCGGATTTGTGTTTTTTTAAGCAAGAAAACAATTATAATAAATAAATTCATGGATTTCACCATTTTGTTACATGCAATGTTTTGAAAACTTTTTCCCATGATGTGATATTTTTTCTTAAATCGTTATGGAAATGGTTTTCATCTCTCATCATTCTGAAATCCCGGAATAGATTTGTTTAATGGAATATTCCAGGCAAAGCAATAAACATTCCAAGCTACTAGAAAAGTTACACAGTGCACCTTAAACTGAAACTAAAATTTTTACCTGTGCGAAAAAGTCTTTGTAGGACCTGGTTGCATGGTGGAGCCGTTTGATGAGAAGAGCAAAGAACTGTTTGAAGATCAGACACAGCCCTCTGACCTGGTATGACCCTCTGCCTCCATTTTCTTCATTAGAGAAACACTCTCCTGAGCCATTAGAGGGCACAGTCCCAACTTTCTCTGAAAAAAAAAAAAAAAAAAAAAAAAACTGTAAATGAAGCACATATTAGATCATTATGTATCAAACATTATAATGGGTAGAACATAAAGAAGCCAGCAAGCAAAAAGCCTGAGTCATTTGAAAGAGCATTAAGATTCCCTACTTCCACTACCTACTTCATATTTACCTCCGCCAAGGAGGTTATGTTTTTGCCGGCGTTTGTCTGTTTGTTTGTTTGTTTGTTTGCTTGTTTGTCTGTTAGCAACATAACTCAAAAAGTTATGGACCGATTTTGATGAAATTTTCAGGATTTGTTGGAAATGTGAAAAGGAAGAACTGATTTCATTTTGGGGGTGATCCGGAAGAACTCCTGGATTCTGGATCACTTTGAAATTTTAGTTAACATTGTGGTAAATGGGGCCAAAAATTTTGTTTCTCAATATCTCGGTTAATTATTGACCAAACCCCATGAAATTTGACTCAGGGATGGACAATGGGATCCTCTTTCATATTCCAAAGGCTGATCCGGATCTGATCCAGAAGACTGATTTTATTGCAATTTATATAAAATATGGAGGTAGTCCTTGGCGGAGGTCTGCGCTCTCTGAGTGCTTTTCTAGTTTCTTATTTTGTTGTTATTTGGATCTCAAGGCTCACCACAGTGTTTCTTACCATTAAATTTTAAAGTATGTGTACACATAAATGTTACTACTGGTAATGTCTTTGAGGGTAGTTAAAAATTCCAAAAATGGACATAAATGAAATCCTTGCATGCATAGGGCTGCAGTATAGGCAATACAATTTTGCATGAACAAGCTGCTACCTTTGTACACTATAAAGCTTTGAAGTGAATATGTTACGCAATGATGTAACAGCAAGCTTGAGTTTAAATAGATCTGTAGTTCAGCTTCTTTTGATACTTTGCAGCTGATGTCATGAACATTCCCCGAGGGTGTGACGCTAACTGTAAGCACGCTCTGTCTGATGCTTTGTTAGACTTTAATCTGTGCTTTATCTTAACACAGTCTGACCATAAAGAACTGACTTAGCTAGAACTACAACAGGTGAGCTGATTTATACTGGTAAACAAATCCCTCGCAAATAACATTACAGTCACAAGCATTGCATTAGCCAGCAATTTTTCAGTGACCATGAACTCACGTGTTGATCACAGGCTCCTGAAAATGTGTGTTTAAATCCATTCCGTTTGGTAGGGGTGTAACAATAACCAAAATACTGTGATATCACATCATCGTGTGTATCGTTGGGTCATCACAATATATCGAATCAAGTGTCTTTGCTTAAATTCATTGTTATGGTGCAGCAACAGCTAAAAAACAGAGGGAACTACAACAACCATGATTCTTTGCTCCATTTTGGTGCAAACTACATGAAGTAATAACAGTCTTAAGTCTTAGTTCTTTGGATTAAGTCTTGTCAAGGCATTTTAAGAAAAAAAAGGAGCATATTCACAATTTTGTCGGCCTCCACAAAATATCACAATAAATATCGTACCATGAGATGTATATCGTGAAAATATCGTACCGTGAGATTTGGATATTGTTACATCCCTAGTGTTTGGTAATCATTATGTCTTCATCGTAACTTGTGAACATTCTACCATACACATACACATAGAACCCCCTCAGCGTAATGTCACTGCAAAGTATCAATAGCAGTACACTGTATTGTTAGCTGCATTTAGTGTTTTACCATTTTCACCTTGTGGTTTATCACCTTCTACCACCACTCTGCTGAATCCGCACAGACTAGCTCGAGAAATCGCCTGCAAAGCTCTCATATCTGGGATTCGGAAGTTGTCATAAAAAAGACCACAAATCCAATAATAAAAGATGGATAAGACATCACAATTCGAAACAGATACAAATGTGTGTATGCTTATTACCTTGCATGCATTTCCTGTTGGTTGCACTTCCATCAGCAGTGACTTTTAGGAAAACCTAGCAGATGAAAACACATTATTTTTCTGTGAGGACATGAGATTAGCAGATGCTCTCATTAATCAAAGCAGTGGAGCAGCCTTACGAAACAAAACTTAATTGCTTCAAAGGTGAACGCCAGCCAGTGACTCTATGACAGATTGCCTGAGTTAATCTCTTGTTTTCTCTCACGCCCACGTCTTCAAATATTTGTTTTGCAATGAAAATGAGATATCTGCTCATGCTTTTTCAGTCACAGGTGATGTATTGCCTCATTTTACAGAATCCAAGGGTCCATAACGTTGGCTGTAAGTGGGGGTCTAGGCCTGTCACGATAATGATTTTGAAACACGATATATTGCTATTAAAAAAATTGCGATAAATAAGATTAAAACTACTTTATGCAGCTTTATACTGACAAAATAATAAAGCAGGACATTCAAAGTAAGTCATTTTTAAATATACTTCATCATTAATATACATAAGCTACAAAAAATAAATAACAGAATGAAGCAATAATTAGAACTAGAAGTTACTGATTCAACCCCATACTGCTTATTATATTAAAAAATAACCATATGTAATCAATATTGAGCCCCAAAATATATTGCTTCAGCTTTCTTATATATCGATAAATGGTTACATGTGGGTCAACGGATTTGAGTACTCAACCAGTGATGTTTATGGTGAGAGTGGGATTCGAACCGCCAACCTTCAGATCAGTGGACAACAATCTACTAACCCCTACGTTGAATTGAATGATAAGTCAGTATATTGACTATTTAAATCCAGGCTCAATCCAGTTCTCCTTAACTATGCATATGACTGAAAGATTTTTATTCCTCATTCTTCTCTCATCTCTTTTTCAAGTTAATTTTATGTTGATTATTCATATTTTGATTTGCTTGTATTGTGATTTTAGTGACTTTCTTATCCTGTAAAGCACTTTGAACTACTTTTGTATGAATTATGCTATACAAATAAACTTGTCGTGCCTTGCCTTGCCTTGCCTAGTAATTATTGTGACACTCTAAACAAAAATCACATAATGCATTCACCTCCTCTAGTGAAGTGTCCGATACTCCAAAACTGCTCAGTCCAATGTCCGTCAGGGTTTCCTCCAGCTCTCTGAACAGACTGGCATAAGCTCGGGGCTGGAAGTCTCGGTTTGGGAGCAGGAAAGTCACCTCCTGACCAATGGCCTCGATCAGACGAGCCTGTGGGACGTGATGGTGCACCAGAGCAGTGATCCTTTCAATGTTACCTGAAGGAGAGATGTTTAATTAACAGTAAAAATGGATGGATATAAAAACTTTTACTATAATATCTATCCACATCACAACTGCTATAAATTTAAACTTAAATGTTGACTTAAAGGTCCTGTATTAAACAAAATTTCCTCTTGTGAGCTTAAAGCCATGTTATAATGTTGTTACGTCCTTAAAAACATACCTGTAGTGGGGTTTTGTTTCATTCACATGTACTTAAGTAATCTTGCATTATTAGTGTATTTACATCTCTGAAGCTCAAAATGTTCTGCTCCATCTTGTGATGTCATGAAGAAGTTGTTTTAAGTTAACAGCTACCTTTTACCTTTAGTTCAGTAGGAATTGGCAATTTCAGGGCTGAAATTATCCAAATGATTCTAATGAAGGTGTATGGAATTCAAAAACACAGTGGAGCTCTTCCTGTATTACCACATGACATCACAAGGTGGAACATGGTGTTTGAGAGAATAACTCAGCCTAAATATGCATGATGTGAGTGTTAAACATGTGTAAATGAAACAAAACACAAGATAGATCAGAAAATAGCATAATATAGGACCTTTGAATGGTTTTGGATGACTAGATCTAGAAGGGAGTCTGCAATCTGAGTATCTCAATGGAGGAGATATCGCTTTTCCAGGAATGTTTCACAGTATGGCAATAAATCGAGCAATAAATGAATTACAGGTGTAAATTATTGCTCAAAAATACCTTGAAAAACATACATGATTCTTATTTCTTACTGCAAATGGATTCAGACACAGGTCTGACCTGTAACTTGGGCTTCGGGAGTCACTTGTCTCCATGGCAATAGATACATTGAATTGAAATCTATTCTCTATTTGAATGTCTCATTTGTATAGATGGTTCAATGTATAGGTACAAATAATGGACTTGCTTGACTATTGTGTTACATTTTCTCTACAGACAAGTGACAAGGATGTGTATTAATACTGTATACCCTTAATACACCCATAGCGACATGTATAATCCATATTAATTAGATTTTATGACAGACTGTGGACTGGGCCTCACCGTCCATCTGCCGCTCTGGAGCTGCACTCTCCTCCTGAGTCGCTTTATACTTGGAACATGCAGAGCATTTACAGGAGCAGTCCTCGGTACAATGACAGCTAGTCTGCAGAAACAAAAATAAAACAAGGTTATTTACATTTTGACTGTGTTCAGAATTGACTACATATGTACAACCACTTAATTAACAAATGAACAAAAAAATTTAAATGTAAATGGAACCCGATAATGGATAATCTAAAGAGATGCAGTGCAAATTTGAAAAAAACTTGTTAAAAACTTGTCTGTTTGTTAAAAGGCAAAATGTATGAATCATGCTTTAGAATACTGCTAGTATTTCTGAGTTATTTCTATAAACCTTAATAAGGACATGAGATGGCATTAATAAGAACACACCTTTTGAAGTTCATGTTTCATTTTTCGCACGAGCGTGAGGTAAAATCCAGCTCCAAAACAGTTCTTAAGGAAAATGGGAGATCCACAGCAGAAGAGTCGTCCCTGAGAGATGATGGCCACTCGGTCACTCAGCAGGTCGGCCTCATCCATGTGGTGTGTGGACATAATCACTGTACGACCTGGAAGAATAAAAGAGAGAAAAATGATATTGATGCTTTAAAAGATGCACGTTTTTGGGTAGAAATTGTTATAGGCTATAAAGTTGTTAAATGTTATAAAAAAAAAAAAAACACTCATTTATCTCCATGGGGACCAGCAGCAGATGCCACTAGGTTATAGGTCAAATCTGTGGAAAGGCTATCCAGCTCACAACAAGGTTTTTCAAGGAATTTTAGCAAGACAATTCACATATACTTTAATACAGGCGGACCTTTCCCCTAATGTTACATAGTACACCTTTAAAGGAGTTAGCTTGTTTGGAATGATAGAAATAAAGACTCACTCCTTTAAAAAACAAGTGGTAAGACGAGCCAAATAGACATTAAAGACACATAACAGCCATTGGCCAGAAGATGTTGATCAAACTGAAAAAAGGTGAACAAATACCACTATAAAATATGAAGATTTAAAATCTGTAGTGTAAATACAATTTCTTATTTATGTGGTACTGGATAAAACGTGACAGAACTGTTATAACATTGGCCAGCAGGTGGCAGTGTTACCTGCGCGATACTTGAGCAGCAGGTCCCAAATGGAGCGTCTGGAGTAAGGATCGACCCCTGATGTGGGCTCATCCAAAATCACAACTTTAGCCCCACCCACAAAAGCCAAAGCCACTGAAAGCTTTCTCTGCATCCCGCCTGGGAAAAAAAGTATAATAATATTTAATAAGATGCTAACACTAACTCCACTTTTAATAGCTTTAATAAACTGCCTCTTGTGAGATTTAAGCCAATTTAAAATGTTGTTACCTCATCTGTCTACATCTCCAAAGCTCAAAACACTCTGTTCCACCTTGTGATGTCATGTAGTGGTTAACAGCTATCTTTTACCTTTTGTTCAGTAGAGACAGGCAATTCCAGGGCTAAAATTATCCAAATGTTTCTAGTAAAAACACAGTGGAGGACTTCCCGTATTACTACATGAATTCATAAAGTGGAACAGAGTGTTCTCTTTTTGAGAGAAGAAGTCTAAGTATGCAATGTATGTGTGAATGAAACAAAGCACAACTCCAGATATGTTTTTGATGAGGAAACATTATAACATAGATCAGAAAATAGCATAATATAGGGCCTTTAATAAACTATTTGCTCATTATAAATTCACTTTTTGTTCATGCTTTATTAAGGTATTTTTTATAAAATGTCACTAATAACATTTACACATGAAATAAAAAAAACTCTTCTACTGACCTGAGAGGTTCTGGGTGAGTTCATCTCTCTTATGGGGCAAACCAAGGTCTTGAAGCATGTTTTCCACCTCCTCTTCAGCTTCTGCGATGGGACGACCTTTTAACAGAGCATAAAAGAGGATATGCTCTGCTACAGTCATGCTGAAGGAAATATGAAGAAAGAAAATGTGTTATAAAACAGCTACAGTTCTTCAATGAGTCTACCATATAATCATCACCATCTTATTGAGGACTGACAATCAAACAAAGGCAAAACTGAATCAATAAGAAATTTACAAACAGTTTCATGAATCTGTGGCTTTCCCACAGTATGATGTTCAGATGAATTCTTTATGTATTCTTTGAGTCTACATAGTTTCGAGGTTATGATAAAATACTTTGTTGAATAAAGATTATCTCATGTAAAATACTGTAATCTTGTTTTTACCAGCTGACAAGCAGTAGAGATAATAGTATCTGTTTACATGAATGGGAAGCCAAGTCAAAATGCCATATAGTAGCATAGTTACAAGGACTTTTTAAAGTTTTTTTGTATTTGTATATTGAAGTAGCTGTAACGACTTGACTTCTAATTAATTAATCAATATTTGGATTTATATAGTGCCTTTCAAGACATCCAAAGCTTTTTACAATGCATTATTCATTTACTTCGCAGTGGTAAACTATTATTGTAGCCACAGTTGCCCTGGGGCAGACTGAGTCTGATGGAAGTGAGGCTGTCAATCTGTGTCATCAGCCCCTTCGACCACCACCATCACACAGTAGCATCAGTAACTCAAAATCCATTCTTAAATCCATCTCATTTCTTTCTGATCATGGTCCCTTTAATATCAGATTTTGCTGTTTGCATGTCATTTAAATGATCTTAAAGGTACAGAAATTGAAAGAACTGAGAAAGAAATAAAAAAGCAATATGTAAATTATTTAAAATACTGTTGTTTAAAAAGCTATGCCTTGTGTCAGACATTCAGATGAGCTTGACTTTTGAGTCCCAAACAAAAAGCAGTATTGCCTTTGCTATTACAACTTCATGCAAACTCATAATAAAAGTATGCACATTAAGTATATTACTTCACAAATTTAACTACTATTATAAATCCTTGTCTCCATAAAACTCCATGTCGTTTTGCAGACATTTAAGAGATCCAACATAAATTCCTTTTATTATCACATCAACATCTTTTGACCAGTGTTTGTTGAGAATTTCAAGTACATACTACTGAAAAAGGATGTTGTGTTGGGGGCACATTCCCAGAGACAAGCGGATCGCGTCCATGTCCGAGCAGATGTCCTTGCCATAAATGGTCGCTGTTCCTGAAGTCGGTGGGAACATCCCGGTCAAAATAGACCTGGGAGAGAGTGAGATAAACAAAAAGAAGAAATGCAGCGATCAGGGTCCAGTGATACTGGATAACTCTGGGGTATTTTCAGCTGTTAGGACGTACATGGTGGTAGTCTTCCCAGCTCCATTTTGTCCCAGGAAAGCAGTGATCTGACCCTCGTAAAAGTTAATGCTGAGGCCGTCCACTGCAGGTCTGTAGCTACTGCCAAACACCTTCACCAGATTTTTGATACAAACGCCCTTCTCCAAATCAACTGGCTCTGTTTCGAAATACTGTTGACCTGAAACACAAATGTGCATTGAATATTGTGTTAAAAGTCTTAAAATAGGGGAATTATATAAACTTTCAGGACACACAGAGGCAATGATCCTTCGTCATCATGCAAAAGGATCTAAAAATATTAATCATTCTTCTGTTTTGTGGGGGAGGTTATTTAAGAAAAAGTTACAAAATCTCATCTGCGGTCTGGATCCTCTCCAACATGAATTGTTCACTCAAATTATTATTATTATTATTTATTCATAGTCTCTGTGATATAATAATCCTTGTCAACCATACAGACATCAACATCAGGTATCAATTAAACAATAAACACAAATTATTGAGATTTCTTAAAATAATTTCTGTATTAATTTTGGTAAACTGTTGTCAATATCTAACCATTAAAGGAATATAAAGGAATGTAAAGTAGGTATTCATTATGTTTTGAATAGTTGTGATTTTTATATTTATTTAAAGAGCCTATATTATCTAATTATAAACATTTTAATGCTCACAGGCTTTGTGATGGGAGCAGTTTGACTGTACATTGACCGAACACCCCAGCTTAATGTCACTGTTTGATAAAACTGTTGATGTACCAATGGGCTTGTGAGAGCTCAGGTTGAGTTAAATACAGACTAAACATAGTTCCTCCATTCACATTTTGAAAATCAGGTACCCCAGCTTAAAGATAATTTACTTTTCTCAATATAATTCATTCAAGAATAAGATATTTTGTTCCAGCCCTTTTATATCTATAAGGTTCTCCATTATGCATTAAAGGAGGAAATGGCTTCTGACATTATGCGATCAGAAGTCAGGAATGTGCCCAGAGTAAAGAAGCCATCACATATTAACCAAGCAGGGACATGAGAAACCACTAATGTGTGTGTTCCCATTTACCACAAAGAGTAAACACAGATCAAACCATTAGCTACAAAACTAGTGTACATACCATCTTTCTCCTCACTCTCTTTGCCTTTACTCTGAGCCTGGTGTTCACATGAAGTCGTCTCTTCTGTGCTCTTTGCTCTCTCTGATTGAAGCTCCTTATTTGAACCATTATCAAAGCTGTGTTTGATCTCCTGTTTGACTAGAATATAAAGATTTGTAGAGAATTGATATATTTTAAAGATAAATAAGATGTTATTATGTATTTCTGATGAGTAAATGCATGCTTATTATTATTTACCTGGTGCTGGAGCCACAGTGTTGAACCAATAATGAGGGCGCAGAGGAAAGTAAAACGGTTGGCCAATACCATACTGTCCTGAAAAGCAATATTAAGTCAGCCACTTGCTTGTCACCATGGAAATATTGTTAGTTTTATGGAATGTTCCACAGTACAGCAATAAACTTGTCTATCATTTATTAATTCGCAGTTGTTTTTATTGCTAAAAAAATGTAAACATGCATTCTTACAGTGAGTGGGTCAGCTCTCCACAGTTAGAAAATGTAATAAACATTCTAGGCAACACAATAATATTTCTGTGATGACAAGAAGGTGGTGAACCCTCCATTACAAAATTTACATAGTGCAGTGGTAAGTCTATATAACTGACTGAATAAAATATTTTGTATGCATCAAAGTCTACATCTTTCCATCAGTATGCCCATTTACACAACACCTGATTATAAGCTTATAATCTTGAATATATCTTGAATTGACTATAACAGAAAGCTGAAACCCATGAATGTATAGATGCAGCATAAAATATTAACTTCTCTGCCTGACACTGACTGACCTGGGAAGACATTGTCCAGGTACCAGGCCAGTACCCCATAGAGCAGAGAGTCAAGAGCCATCATACAGATAGAGTAATAGAAGGAGAACTCGTCCCCCTCTAAAGGACTGGTCTGAATATTGTCCCACTGAAGACCAAGTCCCTGCTCCTCGTAACGGGACAAGTACTCTGTCCCAAAGCCAAACGCAACCTGGGACAGCAGACTCTGAAAGGAAAAGCATACAGTCTATGTACTAATGTGAACAATAATTACTACAGCAATATATGTATGAATATATGAAAGAAAAAACTCAATACACAGTATATCTGGTACTTTTTCTTTGCACTAGAGAACTTTTTCAAATAAAATATGTAGTACAATAAGATATTAACTGTAATAATCGATTACGCCTATTATAGTGTTTAATAGTGCTACTTCTTTATTGCAGCTCATGATTTTAAGGATACTGTACATTTAGAGTAGGGTTTTTAGACTACAACTAAATTAAAAATGGTCACCAACAATAACACTGGCTGTAACTTGTAATTGTCAAAACTATTGTGTTGTGTTGGATACTATAAAAAGCTACTGACACTATAGTATGGCACCCACCACTAGTAGTTTCATGTCTTTGGTGAGGCGCTCCTGCCAGGCGAAACAGAAGATATGGGGCAGATACAGGGCGAAGTAGACGATGCCACAGCAGGCTGCAGCCAGATTGGCCTGATTAAAGAAAACACTGAGGAGAAAGCACTGCATGATGGTCGCCGTGGTGAACATGAGCAGAAAGAGGAAGAGGATGATGGGGTTGCTGTAGTTCAAAACTCTTCCTCCCTGTGAATAAGAGAAGAGACATGGGTATTACAGCAATCCACCACAAGAGGGCACTCTATCCTGCTTTTATCACTAGAAGAGTCATTCTAGCTTTTAAATAAAAAATAAAAAAATAACTACAAAACAGAACAATTAAAGGATTCAATGAGACTTAATCATGCGGTAAACTAGATTTAAACTAGGCCTGGATTAAGAGTTTTATTTAACACAGATCAACGAAAGACCCAAATGATCAACAAGTCTTAAATATAAACTCAGATCAGTTCAATAACAGACTTTAGAGTGCCAGACAGTAGAACATTACAAGCAAAGTAAAAATAAAATCTCCATGTAAATAAGCAGGTGGCAGACCCTAAAACAAGAAAGTCACATAGTGCATCTTTAAAATACTGTTCGCTTTGATTTTCAGAGCCATGTTGCAACAATCACATTACAGCTGTTAAATTTTAACAAAATTTTACTGAGCTGAAATTAGGACATTAACATTTTGCTGGACTTTTCTGAAAAAACTAACCATGTACCAGCAGGGGCACCCATACTGCAGTTATAGAAGCTGCTATTGTCTTTTACAGTGTACTTGTTAATGAGTGACAAGGCTATTCCTGAAACCACATTCATAGTATAACAATGATGTCATGTTATCCCAACACCATTCACTGATTTATTTCTATGCAAATATAGTGAGATAACCCCTTGAGTAAAAGATTTATAAATGTTCCAACTACTACAGGAAATCAATGAAGCCATAGTAATTAGCACATGACCAAATAAACTGGGGATGTGTCATTGAGGTACATTTGCCAAAAAAAAAAGGAAAAAAAAGAAAGAAAAGAGTCACAGTTACATAAGGATTCAAACATTGTGTTATTTCAGCTGTGTTTTAACCAGTTTTAAACTTGCTGTACTGACATTAAATTAAATCAAATGTATTTACTGGTTTAGTCCTACATACATATAACTACAGTTAACAAGTGAACAAGCTTATTCATTTCTTGTTAAAGGTGCACTGTGTAACATTTCTAGTGGAGGGCCTGCCACCTGTTCTCCTTGGAAATGTTATTGCTTTGCCTAAAATGTTCCACAGTACAGATTAAACTTAAAATCTATCACATGAAAGACAAGCAGGTTACAGCACTATGCTACATGTGTATGATTAGTATCCACACTTTAAACTACGCCCCTGCAGCCAGGTATTTGTATTCAGAAACAATAAACAATTAAAATTACCAACATTATCATTTATAGGGGCAGAGGAGCTCATTCTACAACAGGCTCCTACAGCTCTGCTTAAACAGTGAGAGATAGAGCACTACATTCATACCATACTCCCTACAACTGTACAACAACTCACCGTTATGTAACAGATAATACTCCCTACAACTGTACAACAACTCACCCTTATGTAACAGATAACCCTCTGTCCAGTCAATTATCATATCATCTTTGCACTGTTTTCCTTAGGACCTCTTGTATATAACTGTGAAATACTATATTAATATTATACTGTATTTCTGTTTTACTTTCCTTGTACATACATGTATATATATTTACAGTATAATTAACACCAGTCTCCTGCTATTTTTATTGCTAACTGAATTTATTATAACCATTTTTAGATTTTTTTTTTTTACTCTTTGTTACTGTAATACGATGTCCAAGTAATTTCCCTTGTGAATCAATAAAGTTTGTTAAAGTCTAAATCTAAGTCTACAATAAATAAGTAGACAATAAAAACACCATATACAGAATTTAGTAGCAAAAAAGCAGATTTCGTGGTTATTTCCACTTTAGCCTCACCATGATGATAGCCGTGAGCAGAGCAGTGCTGGTGCCCATCATGAGGAAGCTGTCAATGAACCACGTGGTCCAGATGACGCTGTTGGTGACGCCCGCTGCCTTCAGAGTCTCCTTCAGTCTCAACTCTTTCTCCAGGACGATGCTTTTCACCATCATGGACACAGAGTAGACCCAGGCCAGCACCATGAAGATGGGAAAACAGCGATTCAATGTCAGCATGAACCTGGACAAAAAGAAAAGCATGATTTATCTATATTTAGTAACACTGGAAATCACCAATGTTAAGCAGTAATGAAGCTCTTTAACTAAATGTGTATGGACTGAGAAGTTCCACTGATATTTGTAATTTTCAAGTAAACTGCTATCCATTGGTTTTAGATTCATGAAAATTTTGGACCATTGCCAGGGCAGTTATTAAAACTACTAACTTATTTAACAACAAAATCCTATCTTTTGAATGACAGGAAACTGAAACCCATGAATATGAGGTAAGCAACTGCACTGTAAGTCTATAGCTTGAGTTATTGAATATGAAAAAAATAGACTTTTAATTTCTTTATACCAAAATACTAAAGAGTACTGGACTGTTACTTTGTAAATACATTTTAAAAATAGGTCATTATTCAGTAATTATTTGCCTATTCCTATTCATTCTTCCTATACATTTTAGAATAAGGTAGTTTTTTTTATGGAATTATTTATTTAACCTCATTCAATTTGTAGAATACAAATATAACTAACTGCCTATAGTTAATCTTTAATGAGTGTTTTTATTTTAACCAATGTATTTTTATAAGCTTATGAAAATACAACGAGCAACAAAGTTATTTTTATTTTTAAAGTTATTTTGTTATGCCAATATATAGTCCAATTTGTTTTTAGATTATGGGGGGCCACCATAGTCTCCTGTATTAATGGGAAATACTGTATTCTTCTATAGCTCCACTAGATAACACTAAGGACAAAAGGTTACACTGAAGACACTCACAGGTCATCTACATAACAAGGGTAGGGCATCTGTTGAAGGTACACGCCCATCGACCACTCCTTTCCTGTGTGAGTCTTTATTACGCCGTGCTCTATTATGTCCTGGAGGTAGGCAAAACCACCCCAGACGTAACGCAGGTCATCCATGGGGTCAGCCCTGGGGCCCGGATCCCAATACCTGCAATTAATTGAATAGTTAACATAGCAAGAAGGAGCACATTGAAGTGATTTAACTTTGTAGGTATTTTTAGAGGTAGCAAAGGCTTTTTAGATCTGAAATGGTTACGTAACTCAATAGTGGATAATGATTTTACAAGCAACAAGACATTTAATCTAGGGATGCACTGATCCAGACTGATGATTCCATCTATTTCCACAAAAGACGTATTGTAAACAATTTTCCTATTGGTATTTATGATGTAAAGTAACTAGAGAACTGCTTTGAAAACATACAATTCAATATTACAAGGTGTTTTGGGCCAATATTGACCAGTAAATAGTCATACTACACCAATTTATAGACCAAAATGGGAAGAATCAACTGATCCGATCTAATCTGTCTTGCATTAATTCAACTACGTGTTTAAGTGTTCAAAAATAGCTTGTGGGGTCGCTTCTCCACAAATCTAACTTGTAATTTGGCTTGCAAGTATCCATGAAGATTGATACATTTATGGTCATACTGTGGAACGTTCTTGGCATATCTCCATGGAGACAAGCGAGGTGACGGACCCTCTACTAGACAAGTTACACAGTGCATCTTTAATCCTTGCTGTAACACAAAAAATTCTTCTGTCATAGTTTGAACTATTTGAACTCTCAATAAAAAGGCCCAAACGGATCATAAGAATTTTGAAACAACTTGATTGAAAATTAATTAAATGCACATTGTAATTTGGAACATTTCATGAGTTACTTCAGCCTAAAACCTGCACAAAACATGTCTTATATCACCCTCACCTGTCTTTGATCTTATTGGTGCGCTCCACTGAGTCGATGTCCATGCGTATTTTGAACATGACGTGAGGTGGGACATGATTGGTCCATGAAAACATGTTTGTGAAGACCAGACCTGCCCAGAATTTACCCTCCTCCAAAAGGTCCAATGCTCTGTGCGTGACGGTGTCTTCATCAGGCATGGGCACAAACTTATCGAGCAACACACACTGAAACAACAAAAATAATTTAAGTCCTGTATTACTTAAGGTCCTATATTATACACAAATTTGATTCTTGTGAGCTTTAAGTCATGTTATAATGCTGTTACCTCCGCAAAAAGATAACTGGAGTTGTGTTTTGTTTCATTCACACGTTTGAGTAATCCTAGTTTATTGGTTTGTCTGTATGCACAAAGCCCAAAATGCTCTGCTCCACCTTGTGATGTGATACTTCATTAGAGATGGGCAACTCCAGGTCTGAAATAATCCAAATTATTCTAGTGAAGGTATATGGAGTTTAAAAACATTGTGGAGCTCTTTTTGTATTACTACATGAAATCACAAGGTGGAACAGAGTGTTTTCTGTTTGAGAGAAGAACTCTAAATATGCAGGGTTTGCGTATTAAACATGTGTGAATGAACCAAAACACAACTCCAGGTATGTTTTTTATGAGCAAACACATTATAACAAAGATCATAAAATTCCATAATATGGGCTCTGTAATTAAAAATGTCTGCTATATTGTATTTGATCACAAGCAATTATAGTGACACAATAAAGAGGTCTGACACACCCCTACAGTACGCAACTGGTATAATGAGTCAATTTGGGTCAACTAGTTGAGAAACATTTATAAACTGAAGACTATTCACTGATCCCTGGCCCAGAATGTGTCATACTGTGATTTTTCATTCATACAAAGTTCTGTAGTTACATAAGAGATAAATAACAGCTACATGACACATTTCAGTCAGTTCTGTCTTATTTTATTTTGTTTTAAAGGTGGACTGTGTAACTATTTTGGGTCCGTCAAATGATTTTGATTGGAGATGTTACTGCTTTGTCTGGAATGTTTCACAGTATTTAAACACATTAAACCCTTATTTTCATGGAGACCAAACTGGACCAAGTTACAGGTCAGATCTGTGGAGAGGAAACCCCGCTCACAGTCAGAATGCTTGTTTTTGTAGTTATTTTTGAGTTATAAAACCACCTGTAACTGAGTAAAATGAAGGTACAGCTGTTTAATGCCATACTGTGGAACATTCCAGGCATACCCACAGAAACAAGCAGGTGATGGCCTCCCATTCAAAAAGTTACACAGTGCACCTTTAAGAAAATAAATCTTATTTTCTCTGCACTTGTGTCAGTTTATATCAGCACACACTAAAACCTATAGTAACGAAATCGGTATTGGAACTGAAAAAGATAGATCCCTACAAATGACTAAAACATATGCCATGACCAAAATACAGTAAACCGAAAGAAGACAAACTGTAAATGCCCTTTTTAAATTCCAACGCCCCCTGAAAGCCACACACATGCCACAAACATACAACTACTGAACCATCAAGCCCACTGCCTTTGTTAGCGCCCCATAGAGGAGTGTAGAGTGACAGCTGTAACTAATCGGCCCCAATCGTTCCCACTCTTCTTGTCAAACTCAAGTGCTGTAAAGCTTCAACTTGGACAAAAAACAAAAACCACCAACTATCCACAAATCCACCCATCAATGCCCACAGGTCTCTCCCGTGTCACCCCCCAGTGAGATAGGCCCCTCATCCCGATTAGCTGGAGCAGGCAAGGGGCCCAAATTTAACATTGTTTCAAATGCACTTATACACTTGTGCAGATATGACTGGAGAAGTTGTTGTTTTTTATCCCAACTACTTAATAAAAATAGATAGAAACTAGTTACTTTAGGCTGTACAATTAATTACATTTTGATCGCAATTTCAATTTGTGTGTCAAACAATCTCGAAACTCATATAATTGAGTTGAAATGATTAAGCTTAGCAAAGTTTATTTTGAGATATTTGTTATATAAATAATTATATTTATTTTATTTTTTAAATATAGAGATTGTAGAACAGAGGGATGTATATCTTATTTTTAATACATTTATATTTTTCTATGCCTTATTTCATGTTCAAAGTATATTTTATTCATTTTATGTTTGATACTTCGCAACACTGCTCTAAGGTACATATTTGTAGCCTATATTTATTTTCAATTTGAAAGTTTTGCGTAAATTATCAATAACAAAGTGTTTTTTTTGAGAGAGAAATGTTGAATATGCATTGTGTAACAAAAAATAATCATTTTAATAATCGTGATTTCAATATTGACCAAAATAATCGTGATAATGTTTTTCTCTATAATCAAGCAGCCTATATGATGTAAATTTTGAGACATCCAGGAATAAGAATTTTTTATTTTAAGTGAGTTAAATGAAAAGAACTGGAGTGCAAGTCCAGTTGTTCTTGTTTTAACTTGCTTCTAACACATAGTAGTTGTTTTTTTTCTGCATATATTTCCTTTTTTTAGAGCTTTTCTAAATTGTCACTGCACATTAGAAGCAGACAAGAGATACACAACCACGTATTAAAAAGCACTTATCCACTTGAACATAAAAGAGTAAAAACTGTAAATATGTTATTTTTGTTGCAGCCACTTAATATAAAAGATACAAAGTAGTTATTTTTTCTTTGGCAATTGCCCACCTGCATTTCTAAATGTTCACTTCACATTAGGAGCAATTTTGAGCACAGAAGAGTTACACAACCACCATTAAAATGCACTTATCCACTTAAACACTGAAGACTGAAAGCTGGGGTTTATGTTTTATCCCTAACAACTTTATAAAAAAGATACAAACAAGCCATTTTTTTCCTTGGGCATTTATGCAAGTGGGCAATTGCCAATTTTTAAGCACATTTCTACACATTAGGAGCAGTTTGAGCACACAACCACCATATTAAAATGTACTTATCCACTTGATCAGTACTAGTAGAACAGTAGACTGAAGTATTTGTTTTCACTTCACATTAGGAGCGGTTTGAGCACACAGCCACCATATTGTAATGCACTTGAACATAAAAGACTTGTTTTTATGCCAAACCACTTAACAAAACAGATATAAACTAGTTATTTTTCTTTGGCAATGTCCCACCTGCATATATTTTCTACTTTATGCACTTTTCTACACACATTAGAAGCGGTTTTGAGCACTCAAGAGTTACACAACCACCGTATTGAAATCCTTAAGGATGGGGATTATTTTGTGAATAGGTCTGCCCTTGAACTTGGCATTTTAGGTGCAGGGTGAAAAACAGACTGCATTCCTCACTGTCCCACATGATAAAAGATACTTAAAATGTCCAAACAAAGATCGTTCACGCCTTATAGAAACTCAGAGCTTTATTTCTGGGGCCAAGTTGGATGCTTCTGATAAAATACCACACATGATCAAGGAATTTCTATAGCCACAAGGAAAACAAATAAGAAGTGTTTTATTGTTTCAAAGGAACTATATTACACAAAATTGACTCTTGTGAGCTTTAAGCCATGTTATAATGCTGTTACCTCCTCAAAAACATACATGAACTTGTATTTTGTTTGTTTATTCATTCACACATATCTGAGTAACCCTTTATTTTTAGTGTGTTTTGGCAGTTTTTAAGTTAACAGCTATAGCTTTTTACCTTTAGTTCAGTAGAGATCCAAATGATTGTATTGAAGGTGTACGGAGTTTAAAAACACAATGGAACACTTTCTGTATTACCATATGACATCACAAGGTGGGACAGAGAGTTTTCTGAGTAAAAGCAAACATTATGACATACTATAGATCACAAAATACGTCTACAGAAAGGATATTTTCAAGACGTAGTAAATTTAAAATAATTATAACTTTAACTATATTACTATATAACTTTTTGTTAATCTTCCAAACAAGAGTATAAAATGCTATTCATGCAAATCGATTAATTATTTTATTATAAATTCTTTATTTGCTTACTTTTCACTAATGCAGATACTGTTAACTAGGACTCCTTTGTATTCATGCTTTGCACTGACATTACGCTGGGGGTGCTCCACATTTATCTTAACGTTGGAATGTTTAGGTGTTACCATGGCGACATAATACGCACATTAGCAAACAATGGCAAAAAAGGCTTAAAGATTGTCTGAAAATGCAAGAAAAAATATGAAATGGGTTTAAGCAACACATTTTCAGGAGCTTGTGAAACACGTTTGCAGCAATAAAAAATGAAAACGCTTATTACGAGCATTTAAGGTCCTGCTTACAAAACAAAAATGGTGAGAGTGATTAACTGAAAAATCGTTGGCTAATGCAGCTTGCAACTGCAAAATTATTTGAGAGAGACTTGTTTAACAGCACAAATCGGCTCACCTGTTGTAGTTTCAACTAAAGCAGCTCTTTCTGATCAGATTGTATTAAAATAAAGATCAAATTAACTTTAATAAAGCCTCAGACAGAGCAGAGCCTACAGCCAGCACCACACCTGCAGGAAATGATGAAAGTATCAATAAATAGTAGTTTTTCATAGGTTACCTTTTAGTCCTATACCTGAACATCAACCACAAATTGGTGCGCTTAAAATAGGAAATAATTGATACCAAAAATAGAAGTCATATATACATTTTTCTAAAGACTGCACACCCTTATGCCATTGCCATAATTATACTTACATCTCCGTACTGGTTGAGCATTCGAATGACTCGATCAATGAGGTGGAAAATGTCTCTCCAGTCAAACTTTGGTACGCCCTCAGGCCTCTCCTCGGGTGGGCCGTTGTACAGGAAGTTGAGGATGTGTTTGGAGGAAAATGGCGCCTCGTCAAAACTCTTGTCAATAAAATCCATCACTGAAGGATTGTAGATGGTGTCCTGGAAAAAAGACACAACATATTTATGAATTCAAATCCTGAGAATGTGGGAAAGAATACAATACTACTTTAAATTTGTGGAATTACAACAAAATCTGTATTAAATATAAATTGCTGTTGTTAGTTTATCTGACCAGCCAGAACCACACGCTTTGAAAAAACTACACAAAGACGAGTGGATCTGGAGCTGTAATCTGTCTCCATGATTTCAGAGGATGTGATTGACAGGTGGATTAACCAATCAGAAAGATGCAGGCTCTGTTTGAGTTCAAATAAACATAACTGCTTACACGTAAAAAGGAGAAAAAAACAACATAAAGGACTGAGAAATAGCACACATTTTTGCAGAATCAACAAACGAAGTATAAAACTATTCCTCGTCTCAGCTAAAAGAAGTTATCTATTTTGTCTTATTTGAGAGAGATGTTTCTACAAATTAGCAGCTGTGGTTGGATCATCTAAAGTTTGGATAGAGGATTTTCACTTTCTATTGTATGGTCTCTTCTGGATTCAAACTAAATGCAGAAGGACCTCGCTGGTCAGGCAAATTGTTAATATTAAATTAAGTTAGAATTTTCAAGTTAACATTTTGAATCTAACTAATTATTGAGACAGAAATGCTCGCAGTAGAAGGCATATTTTTCAAGTTACGGTATTACTTTAGTGATTAAAACACTTATAATTGACTATTAAGTAAGTAAATTAATAAATAAACCTGAACACCATACTGTGGAACATTCCTGGAAGTTAAACATTGTATTCTAGAAAAAATCAAGTAAAGATGTAACTAAAGCTGCAAGGTCATTTCGTCAAAGAACAAAAGAGACAGTAGGGTGTGAAAGTGTAAAAAGTCAAAAGTCAAATAGTATCCTACGTTGACAGGAAAAGGAGGTTATACGGTTAGAGATGAATACTGGAAAAACTGTGACAAAAATGGTCTGGTCTTAAAATAATTTGAAAAACAGGTCAATATGAAAGAGAACGATAAATTGAAAGGGGAAATGCTGACAGATTTGCTAAGATAAATGTATGTTCAAACTGGAAACCTTTTATTAAAATAGGTTTAGGGTAAAAGATCAGAGCAAAATAACAATCTAATCAATCTCTTCTGTGGGGAGCTATAGGTGTTAAGAAAAACAGCAAAAAGATCAGTTACAAAAGGTGATAGTTTGTCTCTTCACTCTAATTTAAATAAAGAATATATTACACAGAAAACTATTTGACATATTGGCTCACTGAAGTTAAATTGCCTAAAATCAAAAAAACATTATCTCAATTTAACTGCAAAGTTTGAAGTATTGTTAGAACTGCATGATGTGTGTCATACCCGGATCATCTTGACCTGGATGCCATCTTGGAAGAAAGTCCAAATTTGTGGAGCCACCTCCTCCCAGGCCTTCCCCAAAACCTTCAGTCTCTCCAGCTCCTCAAATGTGGTATTGGCCTGGAACAGATAATCACTTAATTAACTTCAACAACATTTATGTATGTTATTGAGTATTTAATTTAGAAAAAAACGATTTGTGTTTATTATGTGCAATTAGCTGGGTTCCCTCTGCAACAGAAAAGTTAAACCAAACTCTATGTTGTAACCTATATGGCTTTCTAGAATAGACCGTGAGAAAATCCAGACTAAACCAGGCTTAACCCGGACAAAAATAAACCTATTTTTATACGTCTTAATCATGACTAATTTACCAACATGTAAACCAGGAATAAACCAGGGTAGCTTGCAAATGTAACACTAGGATTAAGGTATAAATAAAATATAAATCACATCGTCACACCTCTAAGTATTGTGATTGTGATTAGATTTGCAATTTATGTTTTTAAATGAGTGAATGAATGTTTATTTGGACAGTAATACATAAAACATGCATAGGAAATGTAAATACATAGATATAATACAAAAAATGAATATGTCTTTTATAGGGAAGTAATGATATCCAAATCTCTCGGTATGATATTATCACGATAAGCATCTCACAGTACGATATTTATTGTGATATTTTTAAGTGGAAAATATAATTGTAGACAGGACACTTTTTTAGTTTTAAAATACCTTGACAAGATTTTGGTGAAATTATTACTGTTGTCTGTGCTGAAATGAATCATGGGACATGTAGTTCCCTATGTTTTTTAGCTGTTCCTACTAAAGAACAAGGCATTTAGGCAAAGGAACTTGTAATTTGATATACTGCGACAGCTCTAGATATTATTGTGAGACTTCTGATGATACGATATCATGATATTTTGGTTATAGTTATATCCCTAGTCTTTTATAAAACAAATAAACAAAAGCACTTGTCACAAAAAGCAGTGGGATGCAATCATAATTCAGTTCAAATTCTTCATTACAAAACTCACCCAGGTGCATTCATAATTAAAAGATTGAGATATGAACAAATAAACTAACACAAGAATCCCATATATTTCAGAACATAGTTGTAACGGTCTAAACTCCAGGATTAGCAGTTTTCTCCCCCTAAAAACACACAATAATTTGATGTTTAGAGAGCACATTCTATTACTTATATATATGCAAACAAATATGCTACCACACAATTTAAAGCAAGTATTTAAACTTTTACTTAATCTCAATTACTGTCAATCTCAATACTTAAGATTGATGGTTTTTGACATTGTTTTAATTCTAGAAAAATACAGATTTTCCCCAAAGCGCCAGTGTTAACCAGTATGAGTGATTGTACAAGAATTTATTCAAGAACCCTATGCATTTCAGAACATGTTCGTAAAAGTCTACACTACACAGTTAGCGGTTTACTCCCCCTATAATTTGTTTTGAGAGAGCATTCTACTATTTATATAAATGCAGCCTTTGCCATTTGTATTTTAAGATATTGTGCCGCCTCATCTCACCTCAGAACTACTGTATTTTTGAATGTGAGAAGGAAACACTGATAAAACCGATCACTTTGACCTTGTGTCCCTCTCAATGTCAAGCCCACAGACTGTCACACGTCTAATCTGCAGCTACATACCATTCCCACAATAAACCGCCGAAAAACAGGATTGACAAAGAAAACACACACATTCCCACACACAGAGCAGCGTTCCCGTGGGCCTGTCCTGATAACCACCAACCTACAACTAAATAATACAAACTAAATACTACAGACCTGATAAATATTTACAAAGAGGTGGAGAGTGGTAGAGTATCCAAACCTGTACTTAAGTTTGGCCAATGTAACGTAGGTAGAACTTAGACAAATTTTACTGATCCACAAGTGAAATGATTTGGACACAGTAGCTCACACATCACAATAAATATATTAAAAAACAGCAAAAATATAAATGGTAATAATTAATTCCAAATAAAAAATAGCAAGAGACTGGTGTCAAATAAGGCATAATTGTAAAAGTAGTAAGTACTATTATGTATGTAGTAAGTAGCAGTGCTTATCCAAACAGCTCAACACAATTACCGGTAAAAGCAACATCAAAGTTCTACTAATTGTTGAGTATTAGAAGGTCTCTGTGATCAGATAAACCAGTTTATTATAGGCTATTACACTATTTTCTGATCTTTGTTATAGTGTTTTCTTATCAAAAACATACCTGGAGTTGTGTTTTGTTTCATTCACACATGTTTGACACACAAACACTGCATATTTAGGCTGAGTTCTTCTCTCAAACAGAAAACACTCTGCTCCACCTTGTAATACCATGTGCTCTACTGTGTTTTTAAGATCCATACACCATCACTACAACCATTTGGATAATTTCAGCCCTGGAATTGCTTATCGCAACCTAACTAAAAGGTAAACGGTAGCCATTAACTTGAAAACTACCGCTTCATGACATCATAAGGTGGAACAGAGCATTTTGAGTTTTGGAGATGTAGACAGACTAATAAAGTGTTACTCAAACATGTGTGAATGAAACAAAACACTACTCCAGGTTTGTTTATGAGGAGCATTATAACATGACCAAAAATTCAAAAGAGTCAATTCTGCACAGTATGGGACTTTTAAAAGACAAAATACAAAAATCACAACAATTTTAAACAAAGCACACACCACTTATAGCTTTAAATATATAAATGTACCTAACTCAAACAATACAAATACTTTCTTTAAAAATGTTGTCTTTCTTTGTATATACAACCAACAAGTATCACCTTATAACTGACACACTTTGTATGTTGTAGCAGTACAGTGTTTTGCTGGGGCTGCATTAACTACTGGCTATTTTGGTATTCAGGCATGTGCAGTGGGGGATGAAAGTTCTTAAGAGTACACCCAATTAAACGCCTTCCTCTTGTGTGTGTCTGATTTTGGGTGACAATGAGGACAATGGGACCCGGGTGACAATGGAGGCGGTTGGTGAAAACTGGGTGCAGTGCATTCAGCGTGGCCACTGAATCCCAGGCAGGTTCCCACCACACAGCGCTTCCTCATTCCCAGAAGAAGTGGTTAAAAACAGCAAAGGCCATAACAACATTATAGAGGGTTTTTGACAGTAATTGGCTCAAAAGGGCAACTCAGGCCATTCTGTAGAAAAAAAGTAGTTTTAGGGCTGCGTTTAAATGTTTGTGTTGGAGTTATTGTTGTAATTTGAACATAATAGAAAATAATCCATTTTGAGGATGTCTTGTGCTTGCTGTGTTCCACCTTGTGATGTCATGAAGCAGTAGTTTTCACGTTATGAGCTACCTTTCATCTTCAGTTCAGTACAGACACACATTTCCAGGGCTGAAATTATCCAAATGATTCAAGTAAAGGTATATGGAGTTTAAAAACACATTGGAGCACTTCCTCTATCAGAATATCACAAAGTAGAACAAAGTGTTTTCAGTTTGAGAGAAGAACCCAGCCTAAATACGCAGGGTTTGTGTGTTAAACATGTGAGAATGAAACAAAAAACAACTCCAGCTATGCCCCAGTTTTAGGTGATAAAACAATATAATAATGAAGATCAGAAAATAGCATAATATGGGCCCGTTAAAAGTCCACTACTCTGAATTTCTTGGATTTTCTCCAAGAAGATGTTATTACTTTGTCTAAAAAATCCATAGAATGGCATTAAATGTATCTATCTCCATGAAAACAAGCAGATAGTGTCACCAAGCCAAATTACAGGTCAGAACTGTGGAGAAGTGACCCCACTCACAGTAAGAACACAGTAACAGCTAGATAGATATGTTTAATGCCATACTGTGCAACATTTTTAAAGCAATAATATCTCCACAGAGACAAGCAGCTGGCAGGCCTCTAACTTTAAAATATTACAAATATTGGCAGGAAATATGGTTAAAATGCATATTTCCGTTATATTAATTAATAATTAATGAGATCTATGTTGTAGTCAGTAATAAAAATTTCAGGTTCAACATTTGTACACTGGATATCTCATGGCGACAGTGCAAACTTGCAGTGTTTCAATAAGCATAAGAGACGCTATATCTGCACTATTTTCAATTTGATCCTTCATACACCTTTTGTACAATATTTGAACCTCAGTAAAGTCATTTATATTATTTACACATTTTAACACATTTTTGATGACTTGCCATAATGTCAGTTGAATATCGTCATTGGAAAAATCCCCCAATATAAAGATATTCATTTGTGTCAGCATCGCCTTGGCCTAAGTGGTTTCTTACATAACTTTTCCTCATACCTCTCTCTCCACTGTATCCATTAAAGGCAGCCGAGCAAGTAAATAAATGACTGTTTAAAAGTGTGTGATAAGAAGCAGTGATAAGATGAGCTGCTCTGTATCACAAGAGCAGCCCTATAAAAAACAAAACATTATATAAACCAACTGTAGCTATGTAGATGTTGCTTATGAAAAAAAACAGCAAAAACAAGAATCCATGTTTTATAGCTCAAAAATACCTAGAAAAACAGGCATTCTGACTGTGAGTGGGGTTGCCTCTCCACAAATCTGACCTGTCACTTGGTCTGGCTTGGTGCAGATAGTCCATGCAGATAGAAAGGTTTAATAACATATGTGAAACATTCCAGACAAAGCAATAATATCTCCACAGTGAAGAAGCATTTGACAGAACCTAAACCAGAAAAGTTACACAATTTAACATAACAGATTAACCTCTCAGTCACTACATCCTTGGTGCAATTAAGATCCCAATCTCTTCTTTAAATCTTGGAGAGAGAGGGGAAAACAAAGAGGGCATTACAGGTCGGAAAAGAGGAAACTTGAGTGTGTAGATTTCTTTGTGAGCGGGGTCTTTTAGGACAAACTCCACTGCTTACATAACAGTGAAAAACTACGGCGCCACTAGTCACTACAGCCGATGAGCTTGTGTGCCTCTATAGCGACTTAGCCATCCATGACTGGCTATCCCCTATAGACCATTGAGGGGCACGTATCAACATCCACACACAAAGACCTGGACACGACCGGAGGAAAGCTGATCCTCTTTTTTGGACAAAATGTGTTGAAGTGTGGCTTTAACTGAAGCAAAGTTGGAGATAGCTTTGAGCACTATTGAGAGCTTTTTTTTATTTATTGACAATATTAGAGAAGTTAACTTGCTGATGTATAGGGTTCCAACTCTTTTTCACTGACAAAATATCAAAATTTTTCCATGAATTTTTCATGACCTAAAGCGAATTTACCATTACTTTACGGCACCCTACATGTGTAGAATTTATGAGAATTTTAGGGCTAAATATGAAATGTTAACCCTTTCCACTCACCTTATGGTTTGGTATATAGTTTTTTAACATTCAAAATACTATCAGTGCATTTATTGTAGTCTCCCATACATTCAGAAATAATCATAATAGACTTGTGATAACTTAACAGAATGATGTAGAGAGAAAGAGATAAAAAAAATTCCATGACCTTCCCAGGCCTGGAAAATGACATTTTCAATTTCCATGACTTTTCCAGGATTCTCATGACCGTGGGAACCCTGGATATAATAGAAGAGATTTAAACAAGAGAGGTAGTCTATGTTAAAGACTAAGTCAAAATGTAATTGTGCAATAAAACAGTAAAATAATGAAAATTGCATCTACAAATACAAAAGATTTTATACAAGCAATTAAGGCTTCAGTTTACTCTCATTAACAGTTATATTTAGGTGTGTAAATGAACAGGAAACATTAAAATTAAACAATTTCTGTATGATCTGTTATTCTTAATAGCCATAGAATTATTTTGGGTTAAAATACTCAAAGTAATTTGTTCATCTTTCAATTTTATGAATGATATTGCTATCCCTTTGCCCCGTACAGCTGCGCTCACCCTTGTCCTGGTTTGGTCCTGGTTTGAGCCAAGTTCAGTGATGTAGATGTGGTTTGGTTTTGTTCTAGTCCTGGTTTAGTTCCAGGTTTAGTCCTATATTATATGGTGAATGCACACGTTTAAACAGACTAAGATTCAACAGCCAAATTTAAAACTACCACACAAGTAATACACCAATGAAAATTTGAGTAATTTAAAATTGTACAGTCACAATTTGACACTTACATTTTTGATGATCTTTCTGGCAGCTGGTGAGTCTGGTGCATAGAGGATCTGCCCCATCATCATCGGCTTCACTAAGTTCCACACGATCCTGGTTGCAGGATCTGACTCCAGTTCTCTCATCATGTCGTTACAGAAAGGTGCTGAAAATACATTTTATAAAGAGCTTTAAGGGTGGTTCTTAAACTGGTGGTGCAAAATGCTTAGCATACAGTTCAGAATCCTGCAGCTTTAGGCCTGCTCTGATTGAGTTTAGTCCTGGTTTAACTGGGTCATAGTTTGCGGATTGAATTTTGACCCTGTTTAGTCTGGTTGTAGGCCTGGGTGTCTTATTATGGCTTGTTCAGCACTTTGGTCCACTGCGGCTATGGTTGGTGGTCAAAGTTGTATTATGAAACTTTTCTAAGCCAGAGCTTGCATTTTTACTACAAGTGGGGTCATCGCTCCACAAATCTCACCTTTAACTTGACCTGGCTGAGTCACCTGCTTGTCTCCATGGAGATGTTATTGCTGTGTCTGGAGGGCTCCACAGTATGGCATTAAACTTATCTATCTCCATGGAGACAAGCAGGTAATTCCACCAAGACAAGTTACAAGTCATATCTGTGGAGACAAGACATGGCTATGCTCACAGTAAAAATGCAAGTGTTATAAGCAATAAAAACACCTTTAATTGAATAAATGCAATTACATCGCTATGGAGACAAGTTGGTGATGGACCACTGAGCAGAAAAGTTACACAGTGCGTCTTTATGTACGATTTACATTGATTTAAACCCACTCACTTGTGCTGTTGTCATAGGCGTATTGTCCCTGGTTGCTTCGGCTGCTGATGCCCAGAAAAGCTTTATAGTTGTTGTCTTCGTACCAGTTGTAAGAGGTGACTCTGGAGAAGGCGCCCTCGCTGTACCCACAGACCAGGCTGGAGACTGCAGATATCACCTCGCTGAAGGACAGGTCGCTCTGGAACAGAGGGGTCAAAACCTGGAGAAGCTCCTGGGAACTACTCCTCTGGAACAACTGCGGAACAAGACAAAACATTAAAAATATATTAATGTTGTTATGTGCTTTTTAGTCTAATTATTGATAAAAGTTAAAGTTGCACTATGTAACTTTTTGATTGGGGTCCATCACATGCTTGTTTCAATGGATATTTCAATGCTAACGTACACTTCCAGTTTACTAGATAATAACACACTTTATAATTAGACTATTTAGAGTTACTGCAACTCACTATATTCACCGTGCAGTACTGTGCAGGAAAGTCAGTTCAAAACGTTACATTATCAAAATGAGAAAGTTTTCTTCTTAAACTATTGCAAGCAGTTGAACATACATTTACCTTCCATTTACAAAGATATTATATTATCATTATACAGTAGTATAATAACATATTTTTCTTCTAATGCTAAACCATTACTGAAGGTTACCAACAAGCTTGTTATCGCATTAGTACATGAGTACAGGTTTTACATTGGATACCCTTCCAAAACCAACACTCCCCTTTATCAAGGGGCAAAACAAGCAAGATTATACAAAACAAGATTATCTTGGCTTGAGGACTTTTGGAGTTCACTGGTTAACATGTATATTGATAGTAATTTTCGTGGTAGGATTAAAAAAAGACCACAAAAAACAAGATAACGAATTGTCTTAGTAATTCCTCAGTCGTTCAGGTAGCTTCAATTGTAAGAAAAAAATAATAATTCTGTCTGGAAAAATTGTAAAAAAAAAGTTTGGAGTGAATACGTTTTGTAAAGATCACAGATTAGTTACATAAATATATTATCAAAATAGCAACTGTACACCAAAACAAACTGCATCCAGGAAGACTAATAGGAAACCCATATTTAAATTATTATTGAAGATTTCACTTGTTTATTTTAGGCACTGGTGTTGTTTCCATTTGATCCCATATTGTTGATGAATCTGTTTTGAACATGACTGAAGCCAGCTCTGGATTTAGCCTTCCTCATACGCACTAAATATGCCCCCACTGTCTGCATTTGCGTAAAGACCCCGTAGAGAGGAAGCAACTGTTTCCTGTTCATCTAAAAATAAACCAAGGTGAACTTTTGAATGAGGCTGCAATGGTTCAAACTCACCTCACGCAGTTTTTCAGACACAGCAGAGATGACACGCACCCACAGACGAATGTCGATGCCGTTCGAGTGGTTGTCCAGAACGCGAGGAAGCTAGAAAGATAAAATAAAACAATAAGTAACAAAAGTCATTATGTGGGACTGTCACGGCCCCTGTTGTGCTCTGTTTGTATTAATTATTGTTCTATTTTGAGGTGACCCGGATGCACAAGGGCCCAACACATCCAGCTGCCTATAAAAGGGACCCGCCTCCTACACCCATGGCTGCTCCTCTAGCTCAACTTCCACAACACACTTTAGAACTATTTGCACATACTTATTGTAACTTAGTAAAAAATAAATGCTTCAGCAGAGAGCTTAAATCTGTTGTGGTAACTGAGTCAGGCCGAAACAGGGACATACCTGAAATCAATTAAACAAAACCAGACTGATAAAAAGGTAGGACTGTTGCCATAGTAATTAACAATTCTAAATGAAATAATATTATATCTTTTGAATGGTTAACAGTCCTCAAAATGGCACCATAAAACAGGAAGCTGGAGCCCATGAATAGGTCATATTTGTAGTGGAGTTTGAATAGATGTATTAATATCTTTTAGTAATGTTTAAAATTTTAGCGTTTTTTGAGGGACAGAACAGTCACCCATATTAGAATTAGACCATCACTGATTGTTATAGTAATAGATTTCAGCCATAACTGCAATAATAAATTCCAGCTAAATATATAATAAACTTTGTCAAGAGTATTAGAGAGAAATTTATATTTTTTTCCCAGTGAAACCAATTGTCATCCCTAGTTGTTGCTATGGTTAATCTTAGTCTAACACTATAAATAAAATGCACATGATACAAGTAATACAGTATTTTCATTATAAAAGTTGATATCAGTTTAATATTGACAATAAATCTGGGCATTATAACGTCACTAAATCAGGTGCAACTTGAGTAATTAATTAAGATTTTTCTTTTTAATTAACATAAGCAGACCAAAAGAGCACAAATACAAAATCTATATAACCACCTAGACATCTAAAATGGGCATATTATACTGTATCCACTGTATGTTTATCCAGTCAGACAGCACTGGAAGGAAATGACTGAATCGCTCCATTCATATGTGCAGTGTTTGTCACAGCAGCGGGAAACTCTATCTGCTGAGTGTGGCTTTCTCCCGAGGATCTGCAGGTTTACTCAGAGATCTTCCATTCACCACAAACACAATGGGCTAAAGGTCCAGGAAGCAGTGCGAGGCCAAGGAGCACGGACCAGGAAAAGACATCCTTCCTCCTCACTTCCTCACTCTCCGAATATGTGGGAAAGACGCATCACGGACTACTGCTTTGGGATAATATGGAGTTTAGGATGGATGGAAACTACAAATACAGAATATACTAAAAAATATCTCAAATATTATCTCTATCTCCATACTCATAAAAAGGGCACTAGCTGATGTGACTCCGGCTCCAGTTGACTACATTGAAATTGTCACCCCTCTCTTCGCAACTGCTGCAGTAAGCATCGTCATTTTGGTCTTAAAAATGTTTGCATTAACTTGCTCTACATGACCCTGGTGTTTTTATTTTGCCGTTTTGTCTGTAAATAAATTCCTATTCCTAATATGCAACTGAAAACTGATAGCCTCGTGAGCTTCATTTGACAAGAGCTGGAGGCTATGGGAGACGTCACACTCCCTTTGTCCATTTTCTTTATAAAGTCTATGCCTGTACGACATGTCTTACAAAATTTACCTCTAAGCACGTTATTATATTGGAACTATTTTGATGTATTTTCTTTTTACAACAGATTCATTTGCATTAGTCTATTGTTCTTAAGATGAGTAACTGTGTCCAAGCAAATTCCCTTGTGGATTAAAAGTGTACTGAGTAATTTTTCCGGTGCAGAGCCTGCCATCTGCTTGTTTCCATGTAGAGTTAATGCATTGCCAATAATGTTTACCTCCATGCAGATGACACCAGCAAGCCCAGTTACAGGTCAGATCTGTGAAGAGGCGACCTCAGTCACAATAATAATGTAATGTAATAAATGTAATTGAATAAATAGGTATGTTTAGATTTGATTTAGTCCTAGTTCTTGGTGTAAATATTTAAGAGGAACTTGTTTAGCAGCGTAAATCATCTCACCTGTAGTTCCAGCTAAGTCAGTTCTTTATGGTCAGATTGTGTTAAAATAAAGCTCAAATAAAAGGCTAACACAGCTTCAGACAGAGAAGTGCCTACAGTTAACATCACACCCCCAGGCAATGTTGATGACTGCAAATATTAATATTGGGTATAGATAACTGTGAGGCAAAAGATAATTATATCAGAAAGAAAAAAATGAAAAACACATTCACAAGAAAAATTATGGGAATGAACATATGTTTGCCGTACTGACACGTCAAAAAAAAAACAAAAAAAAACAAAAAACTAGAAACTGATCATGTAACAGCACTCTCATACTTTCCAGACCTTCTGTACATCCGCCATAATAAGGTTTAGGTTAAGCTACATATCAAGTGAATACAGCCAGATGGAAAATACTAGACACTGTTTTGGCTGGGTGCCCTCTTATTGTCTCTGCGGCTAGAGTGATCCTGTAGCCGTGTTTACTTATAGTCTTGTCTACACCAAACAGAGGAGTGTGTCTGTGTTGAGGAGCTGAGCTAATTACAGAAAGAGGTCACGTCTGTCTGTGAGACTAATGCCAAAGTTTCACAAGTTCACTATCGCTGAAGGCTACATAGGCAACGCTGTTAAAAAGGTGAGTCTTAAAGGTACACTATGTATCTTTTTGGTTGGGGGTCCGTCATAGCTCTACCTTACATTTACTCAATTACAGGTGGTTTTATAGCTGAAAAATACCTAGAAAAAACAGGCATTGTGACTGTGAGCGGGGTCGCCTCTCCACAGATCTGACCTGTAACTTGGTCAGATTTGGTCTCCATGAAGGTATAAAGGTTTAGTGCCATACTGTGAAACAGTCCAGGCAAAGCAATAACATCTCCATGGAGAAAAAAGTTACACAATGCACCATTAAATACTTGGACAATATTTGAAGTTTTACCATTGTGTATGATAATATAATTTATTGACTTTTAAATATTTGAAAGACTGGTAACATTTTATATGATAAGTAACTGTCTAATTGCAAAGGGTTAAGGTACTAAAATATTCAAAATGCACACAGATAAAAAAAAAGCTGAGAATTAGATAATTGAAGACCTGAGGCCTCTGCCAAGGCATTGTCTAAGATGCACAGGACAGTAACTGAAAGATCTTCCAAATAAGGGGTAAATGGTATCTCTGCTACAGCACAAACCCACTATAACTCAAGAAGAAACATACTAAATTATACAAATATGAACACAAAAATGAACATTCCTTGATATGATATTTTGTAGTGAAAATAAAATAGATTTCCTTAAATTCAGGACTTCATGATCTAAAAAGTGATCAAGAACTAAAACAAAAACTGTGGTTGTGTTTTTTGGAAAAGACATCAAAGATAACAAAAAACTAATTAAAACTACAATTCTGTTTTCATAGTAAGTCTTCAACTTCTTTATAAAGGAAATACGTGTCTTCTCACGTGAGTCATGAGGCAAAACACCTGTGGCGGTTTTTATGTGTCTCTTGGCCTGGGCTAAGAGCCTGTAGCAGCTAGTTCAGTTTGACACAGTTGACAATATGACATGACCTCAGACCCAATCCAGCGTAAATGCTGATAGAACGTTATGTCCTCGGTCTACAGCCAAGATGATACAATATCTCATTTACATATTTTTAGCAAAGCTTAAATAAAATACAAAGGGTAATGATTTTAAATGATCACTCTGCTTTGACATCATAGTCTTAACTGCCAACAACTGAACGTGTTGAATGTTATGAACTCCGCATATGCAAAGCAATTGTTGCCATATGCTGTATCTGTTGTCAGTATCATACCACATGCTGCATATTAACCCATTTGGCCCAGCGCTAAGTGAATGAGCCAAAAAAGATTTTTGCAAATTGTCCAAAAGTTTGGACTGCACATGGAAATACCTTTCTAGCAAAAATCTTAGCCAAGAATCAGATCACCTGATTTATTTTCAAAACTGTTTCACTATTTACTACTACCACTATTACATACTACAACAATTAGAAGGCATTCAAGTATTGCGCTATTATAAAAAAAATTGTACTGACCAACTTGAAGACCTTGAAAAAGTCCACACTGGCATAGAACTTGTCTTCGATGATTTGAAGTCTCTGTGGGGTGAGGATGCACATGGCGTTGCGGGCGGCGTAGAGACCTCTGCGACTCGAAAACACAAGAAATCGCTCCAAAAGGTTCAAACTGCAGGCAATGTCTTTCAAATGGACATCAGGAACTCCAGAAGCAAACTGGATGTAAACAGAACATGAAAAAGTATAAATTATGACATTACTATTCAATACATATTCATGAGTTTAAGCTTCCTGTTGTAGGTCGACATTTTGAGGACATTCAGTAGATACAATGTTTAGGTGTGAATAGTGTCAATTGTAAATAGGTATACAATAGGAATAGAGTGCATAATATATCATCAATTAATGAATGACACTGAGAGAGAACCATATTACAAATGGGTTATTAAAAAGCATAATTTGATAAAACACAATTACATGTACATAAGGTAAAAATTGTTGCCAAACATAACTTTAGAATTTTTAATTTACTTATTTAGTTTACAACATTACATGATTTCCTGTGATGTGATTTAACGGCCTGAACAACAAAAACTATACGTACAAATTACCTCCTGAACTCTAAATACAAACCTAAACGTAGCAATTTGAACATAGAGGACATGCGTTGTTTTGTCTGTGTTGTATAATGCTACTGCTGTTATTTGTGAATGGGCTCTCTGAGTGTACCTGCTCAGGCCTGATCTCCGCGGTGACCAAATGGTTCACTACAGTCTGCGTCAGGGGGATGTCTCTCAACAGAAATGAAGTCAACAACTCGTCATCTTTCAGAATGCTTTCCACCTTCACTCCACGACCTGTTCAAGAGAATTCATACCGGCAAATTCTTAATTCAGTTCAATAAAACAGATAGTTGTAAAAAATATATGAATAATGCCTTGTAAAATGCTTTCAGAATTGCATAAGTATTATAATAATTATTAGGGATGCTAATGATACTAATATCGGATATCAGCGTGGATATTGAAATATTTGATGGCTTGGATATCGGTTCCAGGATATCGGTTCAGTCGATGTAGTTTGTATATTGTGTATCAAGAGATTTACTGAACACCCTGTAATAGTTTACAAAGGTGATCTGTAATTACTTTAAATGATAAGTTACAATTGCAAAACATAAGTGAATTATTTTTTACCACATTCCGTTTGTGTTTAAAGGAAATAAATAATTTTCGGTTGTATAGGTTGATATCGGACACAAGCAGATACGTAAAGGCAAAGTATTTCTAACATTTCTTTTCTGTTGGGGGAAATTGGAGTCTTAATTTTAAACAACATTTTACCAAATTTAGCATGAACTGCTCAGAAAGTGGACCTGGTTTCTCAGAATATCAGAATATTCCCATTTTATATAACTGCTAGTGATACTATTTAAGTCAGACTTGCCCAGCCTTTTAAGCACACAATACTATTTTAACAGTTTATTTGCAGTAAGACCCCTTGATTTGCTGGTGAACTGTGAATGACATTTTCTTTGTTATAGTTGTGAAACCCGCAGTATTAAAGGACTTAGATGTAAATGACAGGTTGGTTTGTTAAAATGCGTCATAGTTTCCCCTGGCAAGTCTATGCAAGAAAGAGGTTTCTACTGCCAGGCAAAGTGCTCCTATGGCATTTATCCAGATACAAGACCTGAATAACAGTATTACAATGTTTCTGTGCTCTCCAATGGCAACAACAAAGCACTGGACACACAATAGAAGAAAGTTGGAAAAACATGACGGAAACTAAAAGGAAAAAGCTGGAGATTTATGAAGACTTTATAAACTGTGAAAGACCGTCTTTCCTGCAGCTGCAAGACACAAAAATTCACTTCAAACAATAACGTGCTACAGAAATACTATTAAAAATAGAACATTGTTGTATACTTTGCTAATCTTGACTGGCTAACGTGTTATATACCAGAATAAAGAATATAAAAGCTTAAAGGTACAAAGAATTCCAGTGAAGGGGATTCCACCTGCATCACTCCATCAAAACATTATTGCTTTGCCATGAATGTTCCATGGGATGGCATTAAACTGATCACCATCACCATGGAGACAAGCAGATGACGCCACCACACCAAGGAGACAGCAGATCCTCCAGCAGAAATGATAAATGATAAAAAATGATAAAAAGTAGCATTTTTGAGTGTAATAATAATGTTTTAGACAGTGTCTTATTTTCCAGTCACATTGAAATTACATAAAAAGGAAAAATTTGCGACCCAATAGTTTTTTTACTATATCAAGTAAATGTATACAGTTATATAACTCCTCTTAATTTATTTTTCTTCAGGAAGAACTAAGGAATGTGTGTGGTTATCTCCCTGTTAACTCTGTTTGTCCAATCACATTTTAAACTATTTGAGTGTAGACAGACTTAATGATTCACAGACAGGAATGCACCAAGGGCCAGTGTTAAGAGCCTCACAATTTATTTAAACACCAGAGAAACACATGTCAAGGCAAATAAATACAGAAATAACAAAACTGATTCTATATTTTCTTGTTCTTTGGGGAGAAGCGGAGGGTGATGGGGCGTGTGAACCGTTTTACCGCTAAATAAACAACGCAGAGTGGCAGAGACTAAGGAGCTTTGGTTACGAGCAGCCTTGCTTAAACCAGGTGATGTAATCTTGTTACATTGGACAGATATACAGCCAAGCAGACGGGACAATGACAATGACAACACCAACTGGAACATGTGTGTATCAAAGTAAGCTATTCAGGGAAGTTACGGCATTTGTAAGACTGTAACGTGGTAAAGACAGAAATTTTGAAAGGTCACTTGCTTGTTTCGATGGATGTCATTGCTCTACCTGGAATGTTCCACAGTATGACATTAAACAGCTAAAACCTGACATTTATTAAATTCCAAAAAAGCTCAAAAACACCTAGAAAAACAGGCATTTTGGCTATGAGCGGGGTCGCCTCTCCACAGATCTGACCTGTAACCTGGTCTGGTTTGGTTTGCATGACGATAGAAAGATTTAATGCCATACTGTGAAACATTCAAGACAAAGCAATAACATCTATATGGAGAAAAAGCATTTGATGAACCCTCCACCAGAAAAGTTACACAATGCACCTTTAAAGATAGAAAGAGTTCTTTTAAACACAAAACACAAAAAATCCAATCTTTAACTGACACATTTCACCTAGTGTTTTTGATAATCACCTTTCATAAATGCATGCAAAAATCAGATCGACTAAGATGGTTTTTCCATTTATTCTGTTTATTCTGACTGTGTTAATGCAAATATTAATCACTGCAACTTCAAGAAGGTTGCAGTAAATTTTTTGAAAAAAGAAAATATTCATTAAAACAAATTACAATGATATAGTTTTCTAATTTGCTGAAAGATGAATTGAGTGTCAAGAAAAAGCAACAGTTCAGCCTCCCCCATATATAATTGTATATAGACCTGCAACGACCATTGCCATATCGATATCAAACAATTTATAAAAAAATAAATAAATTAACAAAAGTCCTCAAAAAAAAGCTGAAACCCATGACTAGACCCATATAAGACATAAAACAATTTACTAAAGGCAATTAAAAATAAAAACATCAAAATTATTTTACAAACACCATGACTGGGGCACATCTGTTTTAATGTAATTGCTGTTTTTGTAAATAAATGACTGACCTGAGACTTGCTCTGGATGTGTGCGCAGAGTGTCCATGAAGTTGCTCATGGCGTTGAGTTCTCTCCACATTTGTCCGAGCTTCTGGAACTCTGGGTCTGAGAGCAGCAGATCCTGGGCATCTGAGTACAACCGGGCCAGACTGAGGAGGTACAGCAGGATTTAAGTTTTTGTCATTTTATTTTTTATATTATTGTTATTGTAATAGAAAAACTACAGAATTATGTTATGTTAGAGCATCAAACACTGCATAGTTTTGTTGTAAAGTGCAATACCAAAGGTGCAAGACCACATGATCCAATAATCCCACAAATATCCCTGTTTATATTAGCACAATAATGACATTCAGTAAACAGTAACAGTTTTAGCAACAGCATAATACTGTTTAGATGATAGAAATTGTGATAGAACAAGATGGAAAAAGTGTTTAGCTTTTCAAGACTAAACCCAGATGAACTCAACTCAATCAAGTCTAAACAGGCCTAAACGTGGACAAAAGCATGCCAAATTGTGAGTCACTGAATTGAACCCTGAGCAACGAATGGATTCTCTACCCTAGGGATCTCCAACCTGTAGCTCGGGAGCTACCAGTACCACTACCACCCACTTCCAAGTAACTTGCCAAGGGATTTCAGAATTAACAATAACAAAAAACTGTTTAATTACATGCATATTACCATTGAAAATGTATAATTTTGAAGCCCAGCTTTATGCACAGATAAATGGACAATGGTTTATGTTTTATAGGCATCGATATGCACCCAAAGTCTTGCCCTCTTTCTTATAATCGTCTCAATTTCTTCCGGCCACTAAAATGAGTAGCTCTCTAGCATTTATGTTTTGTAAAGGTAGCTCACCGAAGGAAAAAGGTTGGAGTCCCCTGCTCTACCCTCTCTAGGAATTAATAATTTTTTGCAACATCCTTATAGCAGAACTTTAATCTTCCTCTGGTATTTGGTATAGTTGTAAAAATGAAAATAAATATAACATTCAAACTCCTGTTTGACTAATTTTGTTAAGGAGTTTTTGTATGATTACAACTGAATGTATTTCCATGTACTTCTCTACACTGAATCACACAAATAGAAAGCACTGACAAAGATTTGAACTACCTGCACAGTCCCTGAACATCAGATTTGTTTCTACATTCGTGTCCTGGAACATTAGTACAGGCACAGTGGTGTGTTTACATGGAGTTATTGTAGTTGGACACGAGGCCGGGAGACTCTCCGCGGGTGGGAAACTGGAAACACGGATTGTTGGCGTTGCAGAAGATTCCCTGGATCCACGGCAGGACCCCAGCGGATGGCATGGCTTTGTTTGGGAAGTGGCCTAAAGTACAGGACATGCTATCAGTGCTGGCTAACTGAAAGTATTCGTCAACAAAGGGTCACACAGGCCAATGCATTTGTTCCTGTAAAGGCTGATTACTTACATTCATGTTGACGGTAAAGAGGATTCACTCTTCTGAGCCAAACTAGTCCCATAAACAGAATCACGGGCCACATGATCTCCATCAGGAATCGCACCTAAAAAATTTAATTAAGAATCAAACTTTGCATTCACTTAAAGGTGCGCTGTGTAACTTTTTGATGGAGGGCCCTCCACTTGCTTGTCTCCATTATATAAGTTTAATTCCATACTGTGGAACATACAGCAATACACATGTCAGTGAATTAAAAGCAAGAAAGATATTGTTTATTATTTAATGCCATACTGTGGAGTATCCCATGCCAAACAATACCGTCACCAGGGAAAAAAGCACACAAAGCAACACAAACTGATATTTTTGGAGGGGTGTTCTACATGCATCTCTATTGGTGGAATGCTCAGCAGTTACCATGGACATAACAGACACATTAGTAAACACAAGATAACAAAAATGACTTAAACAACTAATTTTCTGGAGCTTGTGATGAATATGAGCATTCATGGTCCTGTTTAGGTGTTTGAATTAACCATGTCAGCTCTTTGTGGTCAGATTAAATCAAACTTGAGTAGTGCTTTACAGAATAGTACTTTCAGATGGTTCACACTCCCAGGGAATGTTAATGACATTAGCTGCAAAGTATCAATTGGTCTATTTGAAATGTGGTAATCTATTTAGCCCACTACATCTATCAAATAATTGGCAGGAAACTGGTTAAGCCATGTTGTTGGTTGTTTTAAGCATTATTTGTATTGATTTAATTGGCTATACTATAATAGCTTTTACCCTCTGTCTCCTGCGGACAGTCCAGTTCTTCCACAGCAGGAGCCTGATCTGCCCGCTGGCTCCCATCGCTGCTCTTCACCCCCACAGAGGCTGGCATCCACCGGGAAGCAACCTAAACATCCAAGACTCTCATTAAGGAGCCCATATGATGCTTTTTTCTGATCTATGTTATAACACTGTTTCCTCATTAAGAACATACCTCTAGTTGTGTTTTATTTTTGCTCTTCTCTCAAACAGAAAACTCTCTGTTCCACCTTGTGATGACATATCAGGTATACAGAAATGCTTCCACTGTGTTTTTAAACTCCATACACCTTCATTAGAATGATTTGGACAATTTCAGGCCCGGAATTGCCAATCACTTCTGAACTAAAGGTAACAAGTAGCTGTTAACTAGAAAACAAGAGCTTCATGACGTCATAAGGTGGAACAGAGCAGATTTTTAAATTTCAAAACTGGGACACACCCGGGTTGGGATGTTTTCCTATGAATAAAATTGTGAAAAGAGCATGTAACATTGTTCTTTCTCGACTCACTTGTGGGTTACTCATAATCTGGGGTGCATTATTTTTTGCCTTTTGCTCATTTTCAAGCACTGTTTTCTGTAATTTCGTCAAACAAACCACGATAATATGTGCCTCTCTTTACTGACTGGGTCCAAAATCAGGACACATGGGATATTTCTTATGTAAAACTGGGACAAATCAATAATTCTGGATAAATGTGCTGGAACAGGGGACACAGGGCTCAAAACTGGGACTGTCCCGAGGAAATAGAGACATCTGGTCACTCTGATTTTGATCTCTGGAGATGTAAACAGACTAATAATAATAAAGGATTACTCAAACGTGTGAATGAAACAAATCACAAATCCAGGTATGTTTTTGATAAGGTAACAACATTCAAACATGGCTGAAAGCTCACAAGAGTACATTTTGCGTAATATAGGACCTTTAAAATAAACTCTAAAGTGCAGAAGCTAAAGTTGTAGTCAGCCTTATATGTCTCAATAGTCCAGAATAGTATAGGTTACACTTCTCTGAGTAAATATAGCATTTCCCTAATGAGCTCAAGCTTCTTCTAGCGTAACTATTCTGAGCTTTGTTTGTACTGCATTTAGAAATATGTAGCAAAATAAATAGTTTAATCGTGCCAATTTGCATATTTGCTAGCTACCAATACACACGTGAGCAATTAGCATGATTAGCTCATTTGCTATTTAGCCGATCAGTTCAATTGTTATGCAAATGAACTAACAAATCTCCAAAACCAACAATCCAAAAATAAGATACAGCAATAAACTACCTGGTAAAACTGAAGTAGCTCACCTCAAATAAACAAATATATCGCAGTTTCTTGAGTATTTTCTGGAGTAGCTTTCCTCATGTTGCTGCAGTGGAGTTTGCTAACACACAGCGAGTTAATAAGGCAGACCTTGTGAATAGTTAAGCAGATTGATTTAATCTCCTTTCCCGGTTGTTGCAGTCTCCTAACACCTCTCATCCATCCAATTGTTGAGACCTACATGACCTAACCAACTGCCCTTCCTTTATGCTTGTGCTTACTGCCTGTTATAACCATACCCAGGTAAACTACAGGTTAAATATGTGACCTGCACACAAACCCAAAACAATAAGACATGCATGCTAAAACTGGTACACTGTGTTATATTTATATATTTAAATAAGATAAGATATTCATGTCACGGAGACAGGTTAGCAGGTTATGCCACAGAATAAAGTTTTGAGCCCTGTGTCCCGTCCTATCAGATTTATCCATAACCATTTTATCTCAGTTTTATAAAAGAAATGTCCCAGTTGACCAATATGATACATGCCAACAGTAAAGAGAGGCATGCATTTGTTTGGGTAAAATACAGAAAAGCTGCTTAAAAATGACCAAAAGACAAAGAAAATGTGACTATTCTGATTCACATTAGTGCCAAGTGCTTAACAGTTTTCCTTAATTACGCACTCGTTTCAATATTTTATTATTACCATTACCAACCACCAAAACCAGAGATGTCCCAGTTTTTTATTTTGAAAATCTGGTCACCCTACCCCAGTAATATTTCTTGCCAGATAGGCCTACATGCTTACAGTACAGTGGAAATTTCCAAGAAAGGAATAACATCTCTGTGGAGACAAAAAGTTGGCAGATTCTGCACCAATACATTTATCACCTTTAACAGTTATGTGTGTTGCTCAAAAGCACAAAAACAGTAACCTAAGTACCTGAGTGGACAAACATTGAATTAGGTTTGAGCAGACCTGTGCATTGTACAGCTTCACCGCCACATATGGCCCGTTGGTTGACTGATCGGACATTTAAACTAATTTGGAATTACATGCCTCATGCATGGACTAAAGCTGCATTGCTTTTATTTTAGAGGTGTTTTTTTTTTTTTTTTTATGAAATTTTTTGTAAGGCAATCTCACTTTTTCATTGCTTAGTCATAACATATACTCTTACCAGTCTTACCAGCTCGTCAAAACCATGCTCTTTACTGCTTTTTATAAAGAAATACAGTTATTATTACGCAGAATTGAGTTAAGCATTTTGGCCTCCACAATATTTTCTGTTTTCATGTGGCCCCATGTGAAAATTAAATGCCCACCCCTGAACTAGAGGATGACTGGGATATTCTTGTCTCATATCAGTTAACTCTATTTCATTATTTTATATTTAGTAAGGCATATAGTTATTGTTAATTGTCTTGTTATTGGCTGGAAGCCTAATAATTAGCGGCTGCTCTTTGTCTGTCTGTCCCAGGGCAGTTGTGGCAAAGAAAAGGCTTAATATAACTGTGTGAATAAAGAGTGAATGATGTGCAGATTAGACCTATTACTATATACAGACATAACAATATAAGTTAGATAGAAAATAAAAAGACACATTGGGCAAGAATTAGTCAAAGCCTTTTTTAATAAGTTACAAAAGGGTGTATATTTTCATGTACCTGTTTTTACATAGAACATTTTAACATTCGGCCAAAGCTTGAACAATTTCTTTTAAAAAATCATCAGCAATAAAACAAATATTGTACTTGAGATTACTTACAAAAATCTGTAAGGTTTGTGTTGTAAAACTAGTGTTGAACGCAGTAAAAAAAAAAAAAAAAAAAACTTTGGCTACAAATGTGTAAAAATGTGCAGATGAAGCCCATTGGCAGTTCTACAAAGCTTGTTCAGTTTTAGCTGATTTACAAGTTCAACAATAAAAAATAATGTATGAATTATAATGCCTTATGCTTGTTCCTTAACATGAAACTAACTCAACAAAATGCTATAAAATGTTTTGATGTAATCCAGGTGTAACAGTTAAAAATACTATTGGAAAAGTATGGCAGGTAAGTGCAGTGAACATGTTTTCATATTTTACATTACATTACAGCTACATGCTCTACTCTGATGATTCAAACATACTTTTTGGTATATAAACAAAATATCATAAAACCAGTGAGCTTTTACACAAAATATTGATACAATAAAAAGTAATTGCACAGGTCATTAAAAAAAGGATTATAAATATGCTGACAGTCAATGTGCCAGTGTGTGTAATGTAACAAATGATTGGTAATGAAATGGATAGAGTTAAAGTTTCAGCTTAATAAGTGCATCTTGTCTCTCGAGAACCAATGATACAATATTTACACATAACACAATGCCCACAGTTTATCTGGCCTTTTCCATCATGATAATACTATGCACTGTTGCCCATTAAAGGTGCACTGCGCAACTTTTCTGGTGGAGGATCTGCCATCTACTTGTCTCCATGTAGAGTTACTGATTTGCCTTGAATGTTTGCTGGTATAACATAAAACATACCCCTCTAACATTAATTGTGTTTCCATCACTCAAAAATACAACAATTCCTTCTGTGAACAGGGGCAACTCTCCACAGATCTGAATTGTAAAGTAGCGTAACACTGTAACCTGCTTATCTCTCTTGTGATAGGTAAATTGAATCTATACTGTAGAATATTCTAGACAAAGCAATAACATTTCCATGGACGCAAGCACTAGAACTGTTATGTAGCGCACCTTTAAGTTGGAATAAATGTTTTTACTTGTTTTTTTGTCATGAATTGCCAAAAATGTTTAATGATAAATACTGGTGTGGATAAATGAGGACCTAAACTGAAAACCACAAAATCTCTTATATGGTTGTCTAGATATCTGTACTTGGATTTTAATTTGACATTTCAAGACTATTCAAGATAAATGAAAAATTACCTTGTAGATTGAAAGTACTCAACTAAAAACCAGTCCAGATTAAACCCTTTCCAATGTTTTGTGATTATAGGGAGATGTACGCAATTCAAAAGTATTCCAACTTGATGGGCAAGACAGCGTATTCCCAAACTGTCCATAAAGTCCATTTTCGATCACACAAAATGCGCCTCCCTGTGCTCTACTTCCTGTAACCTTCTTGTCCGGAGTCTTGGATAAACCGGTTTGGTCTGGTTTGGACCTAGCTCCTCCGGACTTGGACTTAAAGACTCTGAAGAGGCCGCTTGGTCCCCCTCAGTGTCCTCTTCCTCCTCTAAAGGCTCATCCACAGACACCTCAATCTCCAAACCTAACTCTTCCTCCTCATCATCATCGTCATCCTCGTCTTCATCCTCTGCACTGTTTACTGAGTTGAACTTTTGCAGCACTTTCGCCACAGATGGAGGTTTGTAAAAAGTTCCTGGCGGAGGTTGTAATGTCCTAGGTGCCCTGAATCCACCAGAAATAGGGCTACCTTTTACATTGTCCTCTCGTTTTAAACTCCGATTGGGTCGAACTGCGATCGAATATGGTCTACTTGGGTAAATAATGCCAACAGTTTGTGATGAATCCTGCTTTTGCTCATCCGAGGTTTCTGTTGCAACAATTTTAACAGTCCTAGTCGAAACATCGTGGTGCTTGTACTGTTTGTCCCAAGTTCTCCGTAAAGTTTGAGTGTCAATAAATGTCCTACGATAATGCGAAGAAGCAGAACTCCGGACCTGCGTAGTTTCCATTTCGTCCACTTCTTCAATAGACTGGCTGCAGGTACGATCCTCCAGGTTCTCGTCTGGTTGTATTCGTTCGGGGGGCATGCTAACAGGGCGAGCCAAGATTCCAGAGGAGATCTTGTGGCGCTGGTGGCGGAGCTGGACCCTCGTAACAGTGACATGATGGGAGCGGGAGAGACCGTGAGCTTTTGGGACATCAGGGACACTTGAAGATAGGACGCCGTTGAAGGAATCCATCTCGTCAGCTGTGAAAGACAAAAATAAATATTGTTAGTCAAAAAATAACTACAACAGACACTTAATTATTACTGGTTTTAAGTAATTATTGGATTTAATGGTTTTAAAAGGTGCACAGTGTAACTTTTCTGGTTGAGGGTCTTGTCTCCATGGAAATATTACTGTTTTGCCTTGATAAATTTGGTAATCACATTGAAGAGAAGTTAATGGTCAGAGAAGCAAGCCTGGACGTGGTAAGAATTCATGTGTTTTTCAAGGTATTTTTGAGCTCAGAAAACACCTGCAATTGAATAAAATGCGAGACAGATATGTGTAGGGCATTAAGCCCTACTATGGAACATTCGTTTGCAAAGAAATAACATCTTCATAGACAAATGCAAGTAGGAGACCCTCCACCTTACAAGTTACATGGTGCACGTTTAATTGGTATGACATAGTTGACAAAAAAAAAAAACTGTAGAAAGAGGATATAAATGGGATAATGGGACCTTTGTGAGAGTGTGAACACGTAACACGTCTGTGAACATGTCTTAACTAATTCAACTTATTGCTTTTATTCGGTTCATTAATTTCATAATTACCCAGAGAACAGACACAGTCTTACCACCATAATGTCTCAAAACACTACGCCAGACCAAACTTTACAACTTACCGCAAATATTTTGTTCAGAGTTCAGAGCTGGAAGATGTGCTCCTGCTCTCTTTGATAAAGTTGATAGTCAGTGTTTGTGTGGGGTTTTTTTTTGTTTGTTTTTTCATTTCTTATTTTTTCTTCTATTTAATTTTTTTTTTTTCTTTAGCTGGTAGACAATCCAATCAGCGCAGGTAGTCTGTTTTTATCCTCTATTGATTGACTGTGGACACGCAAAATAGAGAAGATACAGAAGAGCCATACATGATAAAGTTCTAAATAAGAAATAAGCAATCAGAATCTTAAGTCTAGAAAATGTCTTAAAGGTGCACTATGCAACATTTCTGGTGTAGGAGTCCGCTATATTGTTCCCATGAACTTGCATTGCTTTTTCTGATCCACAGTATGATATTAAACCTGTCAAGCTAGCATTTATTCAATTACTGGTGTTTTCATGCTCAAAATATATACTGAAAAAACATGCACTTTTACTATGAGACCTCGCTACTCCACAGATCTGACCTGTAAACCCACCACCTGCTTATATCTATGGAGATAGATGTGTTTTATGTTTTACTGTGGAACACTTTAGGCAAAGCACTAACATCTCCACAAAAACAAACAGACTCTGGAAACCTCCACCAGAAAAGTTACATAATGTACCTTCACGATCAAATTTATGAAATATGTTCCTATCTTCAATAATAGGTTTCAATCGATCAGTAACACATAATTAAGAGACACACCCTCGATTTAACAACAGCAGTTTGAATGCATTTCTTTGATAACAGCTAAAACATACCGGGCTCAAAGTCACTCCCATCGGGGCTTGGCATGCTCTCTTGAACTTCAGCCAGCAGCTGTGAAGAGGGAATGATGGAGGAATGCCTCTTGAAGACCTTGGAGCTTTGCTGTGGACAAACAAAGAACAATGTGTTTAAAGACACTGAGTCAATACAAAATGTTCTGTTCTGTAACATTGTATTAGCTTTCAAAGATTTATTAGATGTCCATTAATCAGTATTGAAGCTATTAAACTGAACTACAAATCCAGATGTCATTGAAAGATTTGAAAAGGCTTTGTTTATTTCATTTATATAGTTTTCATTTTGTTTAGTTAACACTCTAACCACTTTTGTATTGCAAATAATTGTAATAATTGAGTCAACAATGGAAAGTTGAGGTAAAATGTTGCTATTTCTACATTTTATTTAAATTATTTGTATTACTTGAATGCCAGTATTACCTAATCCTCTCATTTATGCCCTATAAATCTTAACCAAATTAACTAGTTCACTATTTATTTATTGTGTTTTTGCTTTTTAATATATATATATTTTAGGACTGTTACGAAATTAAATTAAACCTTCTTTTTTTGTGCAGCACTTTGGAAACTGGAAAATGACTGTTTATGAAATGTTCTATATAAATAAAGTAGATCTGGATTATAGAAATAACTTAATTGGAGTGCTACACTGGATCACTGGATAGATGTGGATTATATTTATGTTAACGCAGTCTTGATTTGCCCAAATGCAGTTGAATGCCTCTCCTCCTACACAAACCACGTTACCCAGGTCTCCATTTAGAGACAATAGCTGTTTAGTAATCCTGTAATAATCACAGTATGGTACTAATTTGGATTTCTCTACACACATAAACAATAACATAAACAGCCTTACCTCCTTGATGTCTCCCATAGACTTTGAATGCCTGCTCAGTTGCTGTTCCTTCTCCCTTGCACTTAGTCTGGGTCTTGCCTTTATCTCCATGGGTGAGCTGCTCCCCAGGGGGCTGAGGGGGGTGTCAAAAACCATCTGATAATGACGGATGAGGATCTCCACTATCAAAGCTTGGTACGGATAATCCACCAGGGAGGACAGGGACACCTCTGCGTCCGCCTGCCTGGGTTTGATCAGGGTGGGGCCAAAGATGATACCGAGGTTACTGGCGGTCATTTTGTTTTCTTCGGACTTCTCTGTGACACTGTAAGGAAAGAGAAGAAAGGAATGGATTAGAGTCAAATAATATAAATTTAACTACTGCTTTCTTAAATGATAGTCTCATAAAATTAAAGGTTCACTGTTTAACTTTTCTAGGGGAAGTGTGCCAGCTGCTAAGTATTAGAAGTACAAGTCTTTGAAGAAGTAGTAGTATATATATATAAGTATAAGCATGTATTGAAACACTTATAGCTTGTATTCTTCAAATATTAGGTTCACTTCTCTTACCGGTGCAAGTGCTCTATCAAAAACTGCAGTGTCTTGTAATGCGTGGGTGGCAGCTGTCTGAGAAGGTCTTTTATTTTGAAAAGGACCCTGTTGAGCTCCACGCTGACTTGAGACGGGGGCACAGGGGTAGGACTGAGCCTCAAAGCCTCCAACTCCTCCACTATGATCCTCTGGCTCTCCTTGGCCAAACCGATGAAGTCGTTATAGTAGCGAAACAGGATGAGCGGCTCTGGAAGCTGTGGAGGAGATTATGTGAAAACCAATAAGCAAAAAAGTGCAAAATAAACATGGATTACCAAAACTGAGTAAACAGACGAGAGGGACAGAATAAGGAACAAGAAACAGTTGAAATATTAGTTGGGGCTTGTAGGGAGCTTCTAAAAATACACAAATGTAACTTAATTAGTTCTTAAGTCCATGTAACTTGTGGTTTTATGCCTTAAAACAAACATAAGTAGAGAAGTTGGCCACTGTGTCAACTTCTGTGTCCAAGTAAGGATACTGTACCCAAGTAATTTCCCTTGTGGTCTTGGTCTAAGTTACTGTGAGAATAATAATATATGGCAAATATTACAATGTTTGCCCATTTAAGTACAGATATTCATGTTGTCTGCTGTCAGTAATGCATGAGAAACTTTGTGTTTTGCCAGTTAAAAGGTTCAACATTTTTAGTATTTCTATAACATTTTTTATTTTTGACCAGAAAAACAATGTAAAATGCCCCAAAATACAGAAATGACAGAGGATAGATGCTGATCATTTGCTATAACTACCCAAGATGAAAAAAAGTTAAAAAAGATAAAATATCATTTGATGTTTGTGTATCTTGTGTTTTTTTCGTGTAGTGTATGAGTGTGGAGAGAGGGGTGGGGTGTGGGAGGGTTTTCGTTCTGTTTATCTCAATTTTTGTTTTGTTTTCATATCATTTCAACATTATAAAAGAAAAAAGAGAAAGGTTAAGTATTAATATTATATTAGCTCACTTGTCTCAAATACAATTTGAGTACGTTGCTGATGTCATGTGGATAGAGTTCAGAAAGCTCCACCAGATCTTTGCCATTTTCAAACGCTTGGCACAACTTCTCCACTCTGGATTTGGCACCATTGACCCGATAGATGCCCTTCAAACACAAAATCAAAACAGATTTAATCCTAGCTAAATTTTAGAATCGTAGTCTTTGCATTTTGAGCCTAATTACCTTAATATTGAGTGCTCTGTTCTCAATCTCAGAAGTACACTTTTTAATGATGAAGGGAATGCCGCCTGGACTGTTTTTCGCTGCTTGTGTGAAGTCAATACCAAAAAGATGAAGTCTTCCCTGGAGTTTCTTGTGGCCGCATTGGATCGCCAGGGTTTCCAGACACTTCTTATGGCAAGCCAATGAGCACTGTACAAGAAAAAGAGCATTTAAAAGTTATGCAAAACAATGAAGACATCGTATCTGAATGCATAGTACGAACATTTACATATGTATAGCCATAGTCTGACCAAATATAGAAGACTTCATTAAAAGAGGTCCAGCATAAAAATCTCCAATGAATTTAGAATTATTGATTCTTTTTTTCAGACATAAGAGTTTGTGTGCCTGCTTTACGTGTTTAGGCTACTTCCTGGTAAACAAACTCTCCTGTCTGACAAACATATTCAATAATTCTAACTTTAAAACTGAAGACAGAATGGACCTTTACCAAAGAATATCTCCAATGTTTACCAATAACAAAGTTTGTATGATAAACAATAATGCAACGTAGCAATTCAGAAGGAGAAAAATGGAGTTGAAATTTGGCTGTGAAATGGTCAAATGATTTAGTCACTTAGATAAAAATGTATTAGACGTAATTTGACTATCTTGCAATAAAATAAAAGGCCAACATAAGTATGCAAATAACTGGACCCTATGCTATTCCCCCAAAAAATATACAAGAAATTTTGAATGTCATAACATTTTAATATTTAAATCTAAACTCTCTTGGGTTAAACTTTTGAACCACCAAGTTAATTTAAATAGATAACAAAGCCATTGTCACATTCCTGTGTCAGTCACTTGTCAGCATGTAAAGAGGCCATTACATAATCTCAGGAATTCCAGCTCCATTTTGTTATTGTCCATGAAATTTGGACAGAAACTTGAAGCTAAAATAAACATTCGCAAAGGGACAGAAGAGGCATTTGGGAGATGAACAAAAGGTCTTCAGTTTCCCCTGCTCCTTCACTATGCTCAGACTAGTGGGTGAGTTTGGGTCCCAGTATAGCGCTAGTTGCCAGATTCAGCTTTCTCTTTTATTCGGATGTTTTGAGGAGACGAGAGGTGGTCCTTGCTGTTTTGTTTTTGTTTGATTTCTGCTCAACATGAATGATAAAGGGCCCATTGTGTGGAATTTTGGCAATGTCCAAATTAAGCTTGCCATGGACAGCTCTGGAGGCTAGACAGGGGATGTAGACACTTTTATAGACATTATTATGCATAATGCTATTCACTGGTAATGATAAGAAATTTTCAAAAATGTTATCTTAATAAAAACAAATAAATAACTTTATGTTTGTAATGTTTTAAAGGGCCTGTATTACACTATTTTCTGATCTGTGTTATAATGTTGTTTCCTCATCAAAAAACATACCCAAATTTGTGTTTTGATTAATTTGCACATGTTTAACTCACAAACCCTGCATATTTAGGTACAAGGTAACTACCACTTCATGACATCGCAAGGTGAAAAAGAACATTTTGAGCTTTGGAGATGTAGACAAACTAATAATAAAGATTTATTCAAAAACAAGTGAATGAAACAACTCCACACATGGCTTAAAGATCAGAAGAATCAATTTTGCATAATATAACCTTTATATATGATTGTATTTTTAGTCATTTTTAGTTATGTTATATTTTTAAACACCGTAATGAAAACGCATGCATATTTTCCTATAGGGACAAACCAAGCTACATCCTACTAGTAATATTATGTGTGACAGCAGTGGTCCTAGCTCTTTTATTTTGATTTCTGCGCAAAACGAATGAGAAAGAGTCCATTGTGTAGAGTTTTGGCAATGTTCAAATTACACTTGAGATGGCCTCCTCTGGGGTTTAAACATAGGATTCTTTTATAGCTTTTGGAAATTAGAAAAATAAAAAAATCCATGGTTACCTCCTCGCACTCTGCCCCATGAAACACCACCAGGCCATCACATTCTCGACACTTGGAGGGAGCGCGTAGTTTTCGGAGTTTGTGTGTTTGGGCTGCTTTGGACATCTGTGCATTTCGAAACGGTCCCGGGGAGCTGGCGGTCTCTGTTACGATGTCGTTCAAGCCTGCAGGGAGACAGAGAATACAGCACTATGATCTTTTGTCCCTGAATTACATAAGAAAACATGGCAACAATGTAGTATGTACATAACAGTGAGCAGTCATGCGCGGGGCAATAAATAAGACTGCTGTGAAGGTATGTTAAACTTTATGAACTCTAGGTTTACTCCAGTACAGTATAGAGAGCATTGATGGTATGGCTGATAATATGGGAAGTAACAATAATTGGCCAGAAGATATAATTTTGGAAAATGTCTTGAAAACATTTTAAATAACTATTGTACAAATCATAAATTGTACCTAAACAAAGCTAGCAAAATCAAGAACCATGTATTTTACTTTAATATGGGAGTAGGCTTCAGTCTACTCCTTTGGGGCTACATATGCTTCTATTTAATGTTAAGTATCCAAAAGTAAAAAAAAAACAAAAAAAAGGTTTTAAAAAAGCCAAATAAAACAAAACAAATGCTTTTTTTTTTTTTTTTTAAACAAGATTGACTAATAAAGTAATAAACTATGGTTACTGGTGATGGAAAGATAGTAAGTAAAACTATTATTGACTAAATATTGATACTAAAAGATACCACATAATTAAGACAATATTTGACCTTTGCTGAAGTTCAGTTTGGTCTTGATCTATAGTATAGGACCACACCATTTTATGTTGTATTAAAAAGAGTGCTTTTTTAATTATTGTAGTATTAAAACCAGCAGTAGAGGTAGTAGTAGTAGTAGTAGTAGTTATTTCCTTGGTATCAAAGTCACACTTTAAATCTTGGCATTATGATACACTAATTGATGTAAAATAAAGTTAAACAAAACACTTATAATTATTATAGCATGTTCTATGAATTAATCAAACAGTTTTTAATTAGAATGAATGATGATGAAACTCAGTCAGTATCACTCACCGTTGTCAGATGGGGACGGTGGCTCTCTCTCATCCAAATCATCAGCGGATGACATTGTCCCGGTGGAGGGGGTTCTGGGTAATCTCCTCTTGAAGTCCCCTGAACAGTAGGGCACAACACATAAGTACGTCCATATTTCGATCTTCATTTTGACCAAAAAATCCTCAGAATCTCTCTATGTCTGTCTCTTTCACTACATTTTGCTGGTTAATAAGAGAAAACTGACCGTCACTGCAGGTAACTTTCTGAATTTAAGCCAAATACAGGGTGTGGTCGATGTAACTTTTGTTGTTAGTCAAATTTTAGGAGATGGACATTGATTCACACTTCCATTCACAAGCTATTGATTTGTAAACTGACCTATTTTAATACGCGTTAAAGGTGCTCACCCCTAAATGCCAGTGATTGTAAATAAGTTTGGGAGGGGATTAGAGACTTTTTTAAATTAATGAATGGCTGTTAGTCTACTACAGTTCATTTCAAGTCAAAATAAATTAAGTGTATGTATTGATAATAATAAGTGAAAGAACAATCTGGTAAATTAACAGCAAATATTAGAATATGATGGCAAGAATGTTTTAGCTTTTTATTTATGTTTGTACCATCTAAAATCTAAAATGTTAAAATTTACCATTACTGTCAAAAAAGTGAACTAAAAAGAATGTAACTTCAGATTAACTGAGTTTAAAGGAGCATTATGTAACTTTTGTGGTGGCTCCACTACCTGCTTTCATCTAGAATGTTTCATAGTATGGCATTAAACTTATTTGTCTTAATTGACAAATAATCAAGTGACTTGACCAAGCCATGTCAGATCTGTGGAAAGACAACCTGGATCACAGCAAGAATCCATGATATTTCTGAAATATTAAATCTTGTGTATTTAAATAAATACAATATACATTTAATGCCATACTGGGAAATATTTCAGGTAAAGCAATAACATATTCATGGGGACAAGCAATCTCATTAAAAAGATACATAGTGCACCTTTAAGATAGGACTAAAGAAAACTAGTGATTTACAAACTTCAGTTATTTCTCAATCAGGGTGGGACTAGCACAGGAATGTAACTCTAAAAATGTTAATCCGCATTGACATCACTAAATGAAAACTGAATACCTTTAATCGATTGACACATCAAATTACAATGTTAGCAATGTTGTTTTAGTCGTATAGTGTTGCTTGATATTATACAACCTGTAACTTGTTGCTATGTAGTTAGATTCCCAAATAACATGGTAACGTCTGGATGAACACCAAGTTCATTGAAAATATGTGGGCATGCCTCTGGAGCACGTACACAGTATGCAATGTCCCTTTTATCAATGACATCAAGCCAAAAGCCATAATATTACAGATTAGCTGTGTGACAGGTTTTTGACAAGTCTATGCATGTAAAAGAATTTGGAAAAACCTCCAACAGTGACATTAAGCAAGATTAAGTTGATAGATGATGTTACTGTATAGGAAGGAACTCAATTATGTATGAGTGATTGCGTAATAGACGTGTCTGGAGTTTATCAGATTAAATGTCAAACAGGGATTTCTACCTGGGCTGGCGGTTGGGGAGTCCATAGACCGAGACTCGCTGCTCCCTCCGGCGCTTTCAGAGTCGCTGCACATCCCGCCGCCCTGATTCGTCGAATTCCAGGGGCGATAAGGTGTCTGGATTCGAAGAGCTATTAAAACAAAAATCCCCCCCAAAAAATTAAAATTGGAATGAGACAAGATCCAACTACTCCAAAATATGTTATTGGGTTCATAATACAGTACCACATCTGATTATCTTGAGAGATAATTTGCTTAATGGTTCTTAATGCTTCTTTTAACTGCTACTGATTTTCTGAGTTTGCATGACTTGTAATGTAGAAAGTTAGAAATATTTGTCAACAGTTATGCATAACAACCACTTTTCAAATAGACATAACTGGGAGAAAGTTAGTGTGCATTATATATTTTTCAAAGAAATCCCTTCAACATCAAATTAATAAAATAAAATTAGATGTAGGTGTATCTGTTACCATTACTGCTAAAAAATATATTTGGTACAAAATTTGAAAGTTTATAATGAGAAATTATCCAAATGTGTCTGTATTTCTAGACAGGCAAAATGTTCATATACATATAATAGACTAATAGACATTTTATTAATTTGCTTCTATTGTCCTATTACAATGCAGTACTCACGTGTAAAAAAAAAAAAAGCTTTTAGTGATAGTTCAGATAAAATACATAAAATTACAAACTGTCTACCTTGAATGTCTGTGCTGCTGTTGGACCTTCTCTCGGCAATCTTGGGATGCTGGGCGCTAGTGGGACTGTCCACGTCGTCTGGACTGATGAGGTCAGAGGTCACGGAGTTCTGGGACAGATTACTATGGGACGAATGGCTGCCAGTGAGAGATCTCTTGTTGAAAGTAACACTGGAAAAACAAAGAAAAACCATTTTAATCAACATTACGCAACTCAATGTTTGTAGTAAATAGTAGCTCATCTAGTCCAGCCAGTATTTGTTAGTACACATAGTGGTAATACACTGTGATTGCAGAAAAAAATATCTTGAAGTATGTACCTGCATGTTTAAATTAGTTTAATTTGAGATAGTTATGCACTTTTCATATGTCTTATCATGTTGAACCTACTGTTGATTATGACTTAAAGGTCTTACATTATGCAAAACTGACTCTTGTGAGATTTAAGCCATGTTATAATGGTGTTACATCATCAAAAACAGACCAGGAGTTGTGTTTTGTTTCAACCAAACATGTTTGAATAAGTCTTAATTATTAGTCTGCATAAATCTCCAAAGCTCCACCTTGTGATAACTTGAAAAATATCACTTCATGACAACAGCTACCTTTTATCTTCAGTAGAGATTTGCAATTCCAGGGCTGAAATCACTGAAAGGTGTATGGTGAAGGTGTATGGAGTTTAAAACACAGTGGAGACCTTCCTGTATTACCACACATCATCACAAAATGGAACAAATTATAGTAAAGAAATTAGTCTAAATATGCAAAATTTGTGTGTTAAACATGTGTGAATGAAACAAAACAATTCCAGGTTTGTGATGTGGAAACAACATTATAACATAGAATGGAAAAAAGCGTAATAGGTCCTTCAAACTTGCTTTCACATTTTAAGCAAAATTTCATGAAATGTAAATATATTAGAAAAGTTATAAGTCTACTCAGGAAAGTCATACAAGTAAAAAATTTACTCAAAACCAGAAATAATTTCAATAATAGTATTTTTTTCATGATCATAGTGGTGAGCTATTCTTAAAATCATCCCTAAATCTTTGAAATGTTAACATAAAAGCACAAATATTCACTTTTCCCACATAAAAGGGGTCCTGAAACTACCCCGCCTCTCCATCAAAGCCTGTGGTTGATTAAGGATCAGTGCTGATTAACAGACGATGATAGATTTGGAAATGGCTCATGTACTGGCCCCTCTTTGTCCCAGGTCACGTGTCACTGTAAAGGTTTTAAAATATCACGCAGTATGGAGAATATAGGTCAGGGAGTCTATATTTAACTGAAGACCTGATGTGCACGTGTTATTTTGCCCAAGTTTCATTTCCTCTCTCCCAGGCTCAGTTCTTTTGATCACTGAGATCAGAGATGGGGGCGGGAACAAAAAAAGAGAAAAACTATGAAAGAACAAAGCTCCTTCTCATAAGCATCTGTTGTGTGCATGTGTGTGGTACTGCAAATCTGCCCAGCATCTCCAAAGGAAAGTGGCAATTTTGAGTAAATGCCAAATAATTGTGTTTAGGAAAATACTCCACACTGTGACTTTTCTGGCGGAGGGTCTGCCATCCATGGAGATATAACTGCTTTGCCTAGAATGCTCCACAGTATGACATTTAACTTAACTCGCATTCATTCAATCACAAGTGTTTTTATCGCTCAAAAATACACCATACACCATACTGTGAAACACTCAAAGCAATAACATCTCAAATTCATGTCTTTGTAGAATTTTTTACATTGTTCAGACTATGTACAGTTCAGATTTAGACTTGATATATATTTTTAGATCAGAATTTTACCTGGTTCAGATCGCTCAAAATATCCTGGTTTATTTAATGGAGTTGGATTTGTCGGGTAAACCTTATTTTAGTAACCTTATTTTGACCTGTTTTTGGTGGCACTCCAAAACAAATCAGTCTCCAACATCTCAAAAAACAAAGTGGCAAATTCATCTAAATGCCAAACACCATTGTTAAGTAAATACTAACGGTGGCCTGCTGTTGTAACCTAATTTGAAAAGAAAGGGTGATATTGTAGAAAAACATCTAAAAAGGTCATTTTGAAAAGGTTTAGTGACTGCTCCTGCTCCTCTCTCCCGTGACCAGGGTCATTTCCGCAGGAAGTTCTGAGCAACTCAATTGTTTTACAGTTTCCAAAACAAGCTGCCACACTCAGTCCCTCCACCTCTCTTAAGTGGACTACAGCAAAGGCCTAAAAACACAACTCTGTTACTTCCTTGATCTGATCTCACTCATACTACAAAAACATGAGTAAATGAGCTGGAAATCTGGGTGTATTTTGTGCGATAATGTTTACAAATCGTCACATGCAAAAGTGTTTTAGCAATACGCAATAACGCAATGGAGTCATGGGGCAGATTTCATATAAGTAATTTGTCTGACAGATCCAGTTATGTTTTTAGCTGGTGGGCCTCACTCACCCAGTGTTTTGTGTGTTGGTTGAGTCAAATGAGTGGCACTCCAGGCGAGGTCCATCGGTGGGTAAACTCTTCACAAAGTCAATATAGCGCTGCCCAGGCTCGTAAAGTTTGGCATTTTCACACAGACTCTGATGGTTGACCGGAAGAGACACCACCTGGGCCTGCTGAAGCTGGAACCAGTTCACTGTCACCTGGAATTACAAAACAAAATTCATTTACATTTCATTTAAAAACTTCCTGAATAAAACTGGGTCTCACTGATGGACTCACAGCTTTGAGGGTGAGGTCACATTGGGAGATCATTTCTCGGAGTTGGGTGACGATCACACTTTTGGTGTTCGCCAAATCGACTCTCTTCACTCCAACGTCCACCTGACAGGCTTTGCAGTGCTCCCGGGCCTCTTCAGCCTGAGCAAAACATCAGCAAGTACTTAACTTACTAAAAAGTATAATTTCAAATGCATTACAATTAAATACATTGTCAATGTAAATAAAATCATGCAATGAAAATAAATATGTGAGATAGAAACATTTTGCAATGTCGTATCTTATGTTCAGATCAGTATAAAGGGAGAAAGAGGATAATACAGGAATGTGTCAAAAATGGCCAAAAATGGGCAACTGTCCATTAAAAGTATCAAAGAATTAGACAAGATTTGCTACTCTTGACAGAACACTGAATGCAAATTATAAGGGGTGACATGGGGAGAGGAATCCCAAAACATGAGAAGTATGTATTTGTACATGTGACTATATACATCTTCCACAGATCATAGTTTCTCACCTTTTGCAGAGCTTCGTCCTCCAGTCTGCGTCTCTTCTCGAGCTGTTTGACCCCTGTGGTGCCCCCTGCCCCACCCTGCTCCTCCTCCAGGCGACTCGTGGACACTTTGGCCTTTTCATACTCCTCCTGCCGCTGAGCCTGCAGCAGCCGGGCCTTCTTCAGTGCACTGTCTGCCTCATTCTGAAAACACACAGTTGGTCCAGTTTCAGGTCCACATACTGTAAAGAACCATCGTCAGAGCAACTTAATGGATATGATAGTTTTGTAGACTTATATCTTTACTCTACTGGTACAGTGTTCTTGGATTTTATGATTATTTATAAGTAGTTCAATAGTTATTTATCTTAATTTTGTGTCCTATTCTCCTGCTTTTCTTGAACTTTACATTGCAATAGTGGAATTTCCCCAATGTTGGATAATAGTTTCTTATCTTATCTTACCTTATCTTACCTTATCACAAATATGCAATTAATTATGCCATAAATGACACAGAGACAGTTTATATATCTTCGCATACCAGGCTTTGTTAGGTAGTTTAATTTAAACCCTTAAAATGTGAACTAGCCTTCTTTCCTTAGAGCTGAAAGATTAATTGCAATCGAATCAAAAGCGCAATTTGAATGGACACAGTTAGAAAACCACCAAAGTACCATTGTTTCCTCCACAAACAATACAATATCCTGTACTATTCTACATAGATACTGCTAACCCTGTAGTCATGTTATGAGATGTATTAATCTGTCAATTCATTTTCATTCTCCTGGATTTGTTATAAATGTAAACTTTAATTTAATTGAAAAAAATCTAAATCACTCTGACTGCATTAAACCTTTAATGTATAAAATGACCTTGAATGTATAAAATAGGACTCACTAGTTTGTTTATAAATGAAGTTTTTCCACTGTGATCCAGATGAGCACCTGGCCTTACTGAAGCATTCTTGTTCCTCTCTTTAACTGTAAACTTTTTATGTTTACCTAAGCTCTTAAAATTTCAGTCAACTCACCATTTTCTTTAGCTCCCTTTGCCACTGCTCTTTGACCTCTTTTCGTAGTTTGTCCAGCTCATTCTTTCGTGCCACAAGAGGCTGAAAAACAAACAAAACCACACTCAATAACCCTAGAAATTGCCAGTCATGTCTACAGTATATGACATGTTTAATCTTATTTAGAAATACCTGGATGAACTTGTGGGTCTGAAGTATGGCGGCTGTTTGCAGTACCAGCTGACTGTACTCAATGTCATTCTTGAAGGCAGTGGTGTAGATCTCACGAAATGGCATGAATTCCTTAAACAAAACAAATAAGTCAATCCTTAAAAGTGCACTATGCAACTTTTCTGGTGGAGGGTCTGCCTACATTTTTGTCTCCATGATGATTTAATGGCTTTGCTTAGAATGTGTCACTCTATGGTAATTTAACTTAATTATCTCCATGGAAACAAACAGGAGATGCCACCAGACCGATACCAATCAGATCTGTGCAAAGGGTGACAGGTTGACTGCAGTTGTGCATGTTCTTTGAGCAATAAAAGCAACCATAATTGAATAAATGGTAGATGGATTATTAAATTACCTGTTGACTTGCCAGCGTCTTGGCAGACTCGGCCATTTTAGCATAGCTCTTCGCACACTCGATGTCTGTAAAAGGCCCACCAATAGTTAATTCATAAACATTATAAATCACATAAACATATTATACATCACATATACACATTATTGAAGATAGAAAAAGGAATTATTCTAGGGATGCACCGAAAAGATACTGGAATCAGATATCAGCACAGATACTGATAAATTTGCTGGATCTTCCATCTATAGGTTCAGTCGATATCCTGGTTGGAAATATAAATTCATGTATTAAGACTAACATTTATTTACATGGATCTATTTTGTAGTTACTTTAGGGATAAATAACCGCTACATAGCACAACTGCAACTAAAGGTAAAGTATCGAAATCAGTATCCTAACTGAAAAAGCTGGATCGGTGCATCCGCGGATTACACATTTTTTAGATTTATGTGAATCATGTATTAGTTTGTCAGTTAATTTCTTTTTTTTTTTATCAGTTCTTCGGGACACATTTAGAATGAGAACTGAGAACAAACTGCACTTCAGAAAAATTGCAACCATGTATTTTACCCAAATAGTTCAGCCCTACTGGAAATTATTTAGGCATAAACAGATGGGGCAAGTTTAAAATGTAATCTAAACAACCTTGACCACTAAAGATAACAAATAAGAAAACAGTATTAATCAAAATAGAAAATATTTGGCTTTATCTGATAACACTAGACAGATAAACTGAACACTGGCATGAGACAGTAGTCATTCATAAAAAAAAAAAAAAAAAAAAAACCCAACCAAAAACAACTGTGCATCCTACTGTACTGATGGCAATGGCAGCAAAAGAAGTTAATATTTTTGCCCCCTGCTCCCAATAAATTCCCAAGTTTGCACTATACTAGTACAGTTTCATTCTTGCCACTGTGTAAAACCATACCATAAAGATAGCATTATCCACAAAAGTTTAAATACATGACTTCTATTGTAAAAAGAATGGCCTTGACACCACTCTTCAAAATGCCACCACCTTACTGTTATGCCCTACACAATACAGTACTATAAAAAGTTGCTACATATTTGTTCTCCTTAATCCTTACCCATACTGAGCCTCTTCTCCACCCAGGCCAGCAGCTCCTTGGTGTATTTGGACCAGGCTTTGGCATAGAGTAGAGCAGACTCCACCCCGCTGTCCTGTGTCTGCAAAGTCTTGTCCACTTCTTCAGGTCGGACTGGTGGAGATGGTCCTATGAAAGAAACAGTAATATTTAATACTGTAGCAAGTAAAGTCAGGCTTGTGGAGATGCAAGCCTGCTACAAGGATGGATAAATGTTTTTCGATAGAATAAAAACATTCAAAGCATCTATTTTTTGGCTAAAAAGTCACATAGTATTTATATATAGTATATTTAAATACATTTTTGTTGAATGTGGCTGTATTCATTTTTTATGAAGTAAGAGATCCTAACTTAATTGCCCTTTTGGAATAAATACATCGATTAATTGATAAGCAGAACAAGATAAAAAAAAATTACAACTTCCTACTTCTTTAACTATTACGTCTTTTACAAATACTCTTGCCAACCCAATCAATATAAGTACTACAGGGCAAGTATTTTAATAGTTATGATCTTGATTTTGTTGCATGTTTCCTATTCTCCTGCTGTTCTTGAACTTTGTGTTGCAGCACTGAAATTTTCCCATTGTGGGACAAATGAAGGATCTCTTACCTTACCTTATCGTGACACAAATATGCAATTAATGATGCCATAAACAATCTTTTTTTAAACCTTTTTGACATCATTTGCTAATGTGTGAATTGCGTCTCAACGGTAACTGCTAAACATTCCACCATAGAGATACATGTAGAATACCCCCAGCATGATGTCACTCACTGCAAAGTATCAATTTTATTTTTTCATTCTTGCTCTGTGACTGCTTTGTTCTTAGACATATTCCTGGATTCGTCTCTCCTCAGGCTTTTCTCAGAGTTGGAGTACAGTAACTCTGTGTTACAACAACAAATCGTTTTTACCTGGAGGATCATCTTTCTCTGGACCGGATACTCCAGATTCCACAGAGAGGTTTTCAAAAGACTGGAAAAAGAAAAACACAAATACAAGGAGTTTGATTTCCCCTTAAAGGCTCAAAACATTATTCAAAAACACTTGTTAAAATTAGCTTATCAGAAATTCAACTTCCTCAAAGCAGTTACACAACACAGAGCCGGAAAACAACAATATATCAAATCAATTCAATGCTAGCGGAAAACATTTTAAGAACATGCGTCACCTGTTAACAGCTCACATGAACTCTGACCTTAAGGCTATACATTGCTTGGGTACAATCTATATCATAAACCTAAACAATTCAGGGTTTAGGTCATATCCTATGTTAATTTCTGTCTATGGATAAGAAGTGGATGCAGCATTCAAAACAGTATTCTGTGTATGGAAAATTTGGAAAAACAAAAGTAATCAGTATTATTACTTGAGTACAACTACTACTACTACTGCTGCCACTACCACTTGCAGTTCTTATATTTGGTAATTTTAGAGTCAGTTTTATCCAAATTTTGTCCTCCTTTGGGATAGTGTGTTTTTAGATTGTAGCAATGATGTGGTCTTCTGTTAGATCTGATATTTGTTTCTTTCATTTAAGATAAATATAGAATAAAAACAATGATGTTACATAGATCAATGTGAAAAGAAGAAGAAAGAATTATAAACGTGTTATGAAGATATAGCCCTTGTTTAGACTTGGCTTAGATCTGGTGTAAATAATCTGAGAACCATAAGGGCAAGATGCAAAATTCTGAGTGTTTAAACCTTTATATACCCATCCACAATAGCCTAATTTAGAATGATTTAAGATCCACTATTGTATTGTCCCCAAAACATGCATTTAGTGCATTATTATTTTGTTATTTTCTATCTCCACTACATGACTGCAGGCCAATAATTACTAAATCGACTTAACCTTCAGTATATGAAAGCTGGAAGAATATTTTTGGGGGGTCAGTATTTATCGTGTGTACATTTTCTTTGCACTGCTGGGGATTTTTTGTTTATTCTTTGTTTATTTTTTGACTATATGACAAGATTTAAGCCTTAAAAGTTTTAATTAATGACTCCTATGACTCATTACAAACTAAACTAAGTACTGCATTTGATTCTGTTGTTTTTATTTCTTTTTTTTTATTTTATTTTTTTTTTGTTTTTACGTAGCTTGTAATTTTTTAACAATATTAAACATTTAGAATAGTTTTTGTGATTTAAATCTGCTCTTGGGTTTTTGTGTCATATATTAGTTGGGATATAATAATTTCTAGTCTATATTTATTTCAGCATAGATCAAATTTCAAAATTAGTTATCGTGCCAGGCCTACTTGATTGCAATCTTAATACAGCTCTCCAGCACACCCAGGTCAACAATGTAAAGCATTATAATTTGTTCTTAATGTTCTTCCTGCTAAAATAAAGGTTAAAATTGCATTGAATGAAAGTAGAGGTAATTGTTTTGATTGCTGCGTTAGCTCTTACCCTTCTTTTAGTCAGGGGCAGCCCCAACACTGATCCATTCTCTACATCTCCCATAAGGAAGTCAGACACACTGTAAGTAAAACACAGATAGCCATTTACAAAGCGGGATACGGAAATTAGTGAAAAAAGGCATATAAAATTCAATGGAGAAATCAAAACATTAGCTATAAAGGAAGCTGGCTCTTTGCATTGTACTTACACATTGCCAAAGGTGAAGGCCAATGTATCAATGGCTGTGTAGATCTCTCCGAATAATTTCTGTTTGTTGTCCTCGTTCACCTCCTTGAAGTTCACTCCTACAGGGAAAAGCAAGATTTATTAGTTTATCAGAGTAAACACAGAGCACATATAACAAAACAAGTTCTTTAAAGTTGTCCACACAGCTGCAGATGGAACAGTAACTGAAATTCATGACCAGATGTTGAAAGGTACACTGTGTAACTTTTCTGGTGCAGGGTCTGCCATCTGGTTGTCTCCATGGTGATGTTATTGCTTTGCCAGGGATGTTCCATAGAGAGGCATTAAACAAATATATCTTGTATTTATTATTAATTTACAGGTGTTTTTATTCTCAAAACTACCACGACAACATGAATTATTACTGGCCTGCTTCTCCAGAGATGTGACCTGTAACAAAGCCTGGTGTCCTGGCCTTGTCTCCATGGAGATAGTTAAATTAAATGTGATACTGTAGATCATTCCAGGGAAAAAAAGGAGTCAAGCAGGTGATGGACCCTCTAGAAAAGTTACACAGTGCAACTTTAAGATTTATTCAAATACTCAACTAAATTTTTTATTATTTCAGAATTAAAATGTTATAGTTTTTATATTTATTTCACTTTTTTATATATATTTTTATTTAATATTGTTAAAAGGTATAATATGTAACTTTCTGGAGGTTGCACATCATCTGCATGATTCCATGGAAATTTAAAGTTAAAACCATACTTCAGAGATAGATACATTTTATGCCATACTGTGGAAAATTATTGTCATAGGAACAACATGTTTGTTTCCATGATTTCCAAGGTTATAATCATGGAAACACAAGGAGGAGGCCAAAGTTTATGGAGATGCAAGCCCACTCACAGTAAGGCATGTTTTTCTAGCTTTTACAACCTTTTATTTTAGTCTATTTTTTGGACAAAAAAGTTACAAATTATGTAGAGATGTAACGATATCCAAATGGTCCCCATGTCTATAAGCTGTTGTTACTATAAAACCATGCATTTAAGCAAAGGAACTTGTAATTCGATATATTGCAGCCCACGATATTATTGTGAGACTTTAGACGATACAATATCACGATATTTTGGTTATTGTTACATCCCTAATAGTGTGTCTTTAAATAAAAGGGTGAAATGGTGTATTTTATCAGGCCTATATCTACAAATCAAAACCAAATCACTTTTCAATGAACTAAGCATTTTTATAAATTATAATACGGTTCAATAACTATCAATGTAACTAACTAGTTCAACAGAAACAGTTTCAATGCTGTTACTTCCCTCACACAATCAAAATGAAAAATCATGTTTGTGTTAAAATCCCCATAGTGGAATCCAACAACAACTTTGTACCTTAATTTGGCTCAGATAAGACATGTATGTTTAGGAGTGTAATCTAGACAGGCAGTAGTTTCCTTTAAACAACAACAAAGTGGACAAAATGAGCCCAAATCGCCAGGGTAAATATGTTCGTAATCAGACTGGACAATAAACTTCCTGCTTCGTCCAAACAACAGGGAGAATAAACAAGACAGGGAGGGAGGGAGGGAAAGAGAGATGCGCCCAAAACTGGACCTAACCCGTAAATCAGTGATGTCATTAGGCTACCTTCGTCATTTCCTCGGCCCTTCCTTTGCACGAACAATAGACTTTTCTCGAGTTCAAAGACTGAGATTTTGAATGAGAAAGCTTAAGTAGGATTTCAACTATTAACCTGTATTTTAAGTGTATATGTCAACTATGGGTATTGGAGCAACAAGCAGTAAAATCCCAAATAATCTGCCAAAAATGCTAAATGTGAAAAATATTTCTTGAAAAGTCCACTCCTGATTCTAAGCTTGAAGACTGAGGATTTTTTTATGTTATCAAAACATTTTATCCAGTAGAATTTGTATTACTGAAATGGTTGTGGAGACCAGTCAAAATATTGGAAGTTTTTTTGTTGGAGAGTGATGAGTGATGCCAAAATTTTAAGGAGGAAAAGGAAAATGGAGCCAGGTTATCAATTCAAGATGTACCTGTAAGAGCCTATTTTATTGCAGATAAAGATAGCATAATAATAATAATAATAATAATGATAAAGTACAATGGATACCAACCAAGGACTGCTTTCTTCATCAATAAATCCAGTTTAGAGAAGAGAAATTTCCTTTTGTATAAAAAACTATGACGACCAAAAGTGGCCAATGAGATCTTGGTTCAAAACTCCAAGCTTAAATGAAAACAGTTCTTATCATTAGATGAAATATTCCCAATAAATCCATCTTGGAAAAGCTTCTTCAAATCTTCAGATATATTTTGAATAACTTGAAAATCCAAAAGGGCTTTGGAGCTAGTGTCCACCCAAACCAATGACGGTCGATTGTACCATTAGAAATCACTGGTCTACCATCTCCCATCGCCCTCCTCTTGTCCAGCCCCTATACCCCAACAGGACATCCTGAGGCTAGCTTCAACACAATACAGCTCTGGCCCAGGCCCCAAGCAGTGGACTCAACATGGAAGTTACATCATGGAGGAAAAATGGTATTGTTTCACTGGAAAAGCACCAACTACTCTCCAAGCACGCATCATCTGCAATATAAGGAGTAACCTCTCATTTACTGGCAAGGAGGATACGTGACTAGATACAAAGGGCTAAATCATGTGAAAATTTCCAATCACGAAGTAGGAATGTAAAATTAGTCACAATTTTAGCATTTTTTGATGTACTATTTCACAATTTCCTCCTCAAACAACAAAATATCCTGTCTTATTCTTCATACAAACTGCTCATCCTGTAATTTATATTTGTAAATCTGCCCTACTTCAAAAAGGTAAATGTGATCCAACTAACACTGCAAAGACACGGTTAGTTTAAAGGTGCACTGCGTAACATTTCTAATAGAGGGTCTGCCACTTGCTTGTCTCTATGAAAATGTCATTGCTTTGTCTAGAATGTTCCACAGTATAGAGTAAACTTATCTATCACAAGAGAAACAAGCAGGTAACAGCACTATACTACATTACAATTCAGATCTGTGGAGAGTCGCCCCTATTCACAGAAGGAATTAATATATTTTTGAGGAATAGCAACACCCGTAATGAATACATTTTAAATGGATATGTTTAATGTCACACCATGGAACATTCAAGGTAAAGAAATAACATCTCCATTGAGACAAACACCCTCCACCAGTAAAGTAACGCAGCTCACCTTTAAATCAGCTCATTTTAAACTGAAATCACTTGGCCTAGTTTGTAAGTGTTGTATTATGCATTTTCTATTGTGCTATTTTGTTCACTCAATAGCTATAGAAAACTGATATCACAAAGGCCCCTGGACATATTTACTGTAGTGCTGGCCCCCTAGTGGTGAACAATGTATTTGTCAAACTACTCTTCAAAACATCTACTGTAGATCTTGACAAATACTGGAAATCTTGGAGAGCATTTAACTGATTGTGATCTGTTGTAATCACTGTATTTTTATTTACTATGATTATCCTTTTTTGTTTTGTTATCTTTTAAAATAATATTATTATCAAGCTTTTTTGTTCAAACTTGATAACTCTTGTAACACATGTACAGTAACTTAGATTTTTTGGGGGGAAAAAAGGAGAAAGGGAACTGTAGATGAGGAGTTGTGTACAGCTGTGTAAGTGTACAGTATATTGTATATATATGTCCCTATGTTTCCAATAAAAATGTATTGAAAAGAAAAGATAAGAATCAAGATCAAAGATTGTTTTAATGTTGCAATAACTGAGGTTATTAAGATATAAGCAATTAACATGCATTTGCGTATTGATCTGCCAACGCTTGACAAGTTCTGCCAAGTATCTTAAAATGCAACTTTGTGTTTGAAATTCATATGCAAACTAGGCTAAAATTGTGGCATATACTCAAATATGAACCACACTATTAGCATATTAAATGTCTCAAATTGTCAATGCCAAAGGAAACTAACTTGGAAAGGTGCATTGTGTAATTTCTCTGGTCGAGGATCCGTCAAATACTTTTCTCCATGGAAATGTTGTTCCTTTTTCTGGTATTAAACCTTTCTATCTTCATGGAGACCAAACCAGACTGAGTTACAGGTCAGATCTTGGAGATGTGACCCTGCTCACAGTCAGAATGCCTGTTTTTCTAGGTATTTCTGAGCTATAAAACCACATGTAATTGAATAAATGTAAGGAAGAGCTGTTTAATGTCATACAGTGGGACACTCCAGGCAGAGCAATCCACACTCCTACATCCATCCTCTAACAGAAAAGTTACACAATGTACCTTTAAGACCAGCATCTTCAGTCAAATTACAATATGCTTACTTACTTTGCAGTAATAATCAAGTTGCAACATGGCAACCACAACAACATACATGTACACACCTTATAATTATTTATCAGGGAAGAAAGGCAGCATACACCCAAAGAGTTCATGGCTCTGGTCCAAATATTTCAGTGAATCTAAACCACATTTAAGAAGTTAATCCGGCGAGTCTTTGTTCACTTTTCATGCCACGGTTTCTTATTAAATGAGAGCTTTGAAAGTTCAGTACAGCCCCTCTGAGACCCTCTTCTTTACCATGCAAATTGAGAAGAGGTATAGGGATTCTTGTGTGGCAGCCAAGTTAAGAATTGACCTGCATGCCAGATCATAATCTCAAAGAAGAGGACCCTCTCAATAGGATTCCTCAGTCAGTCCCTTCAGACAGAAAGCACAAAAGACACCCTCTGCTTTTTGAACCAGGTATCTGACTCCCAAATATTATTTTCACAAACTATGAAAATGAGACACACGCTGGTGCATTTCAAAGCAGTGATTTTTGAAGTGTTGAGCAAAAACTCCACAGGACATCTTTGAGAAATTTTCAAAAGAAGGGAGAACTTTTGGATAACTTTCTGGCTGCTTTTTGAATTAATTAGATATCAAAACAGCAACAAGGGAATGCACACAGAGCTTTTTGACTAAATTCTAGCAAAATGCAATCCATACATGTCTATATATTTTGATAATGCCATTTCTATAAATAAGTGGACTAAGGGAGTGTGACGTCACCCATAGCGTTCGGCTCCAGTCAAACGCAGCTCATCGAGGCTTGCCGTTACAGCTAATTTGGTGCCGAGTTCCATATTAGGAATTGGAATTGATTCAATTGGGTTAGCTATGTCCATTTATACCTTATATCAGGGTCTGTTTACACAAGTGTATGGGTAAAAACAACTAAGTATTTTATCTGAAGTGCCTTTCGTTAAGATGGTGGCGGGGTTTTGGGGCTTAAAAACGCAAAAATCTGGCACCACCCTCCAGAGTGGAAAAGTTGACTATGCTCCGCTGTAGCGTTTCCATCTACCCTGCCCAAGACGCAAAACTCTGGTCAGATCTGCTCACGTTGCGTACACGTTTATGTCACATACATCACCACATTTGCGTCACCGTATGTAGATTTCCTCCTGAAAACGCTTGCCTAAACGCGGAATAAAAAGTGAAGACGCAAAGCCACTTTTGTGTTTTTGTGTGTCATCAAATAAACGGAGCCTCAGATTCTGACTGAAATCCAGTATTACAAACTATTGCTTAGAAGGTCAAAAATTATGGATGCAGGACAGTTAATAAAGGTGCATTGGCCACCACCTGTTTGTCTCCACGCGTATCTGATTGTTTGCCTGCAATGTTCCACAGTATGATATTAAACTTGTGCATTTTGCATTTGTTCCATTTAAGGTGTTTTTAATGCTTAAAAATACCATGAAAAATAATAATTCTTACAATACACTGAGATGCCTCTCCACAGACCTGACCTGTATCTTAGCATGGTTTAGTTTCTGCTCATCTTCAAGGAAACAGAAAAGTTGCACAAATGCACCTGTAAGTCTAATTGCATAACAAAATTTTAAAAGAAAAAGCAATCTTCATGCAATCTTTGTTTAAAACTGCATTTTTTTCCCTTGAGTGGACAACCAACATTTACAAAAACAACCCAACTGTTCCCATGTTCATCTAGATTTATATTATAAACCTTTAGGCTGTTAATTAAATTGCATATCTCTTATATAACTACAAACTACTCCTTAAATGTCTGAGTTTTCAAACAGTACAGGCCCCTTATAAAATAATGGTTTTGCCCTGCTCTAAAATATGTTCCATAGACCTGCAGTTTAAGTCCAGGGGTGTGTGAGAGAAAGTGTGCAGTAATAGTCAAACCCTGACAGTCTCTGATACAGATAAAGAGAGGGGGAGAGATAAGCAGAGACACAAAACAGATGCACAGAGGAGTGAAGGACTGGGTAGTATAACTCACTAGGAGGCTGTAGATGTTTTAAAACAGCAGTGTCAATGTTTTTCGTGAGGACTGAAACCTAGATACAAGAACTGGCTGCTAGAGGCTGCACCTATTTTAGGGAATAAACTTTCACTGTAAGCAACGAAAAGTATTCTGTCTCCATGGGGTGATACTATGTTTAAAACCTGCTACCCCTGTAATCTATAATAGTCTATAATGTGTTTTAGCCATAAGTAGTTCAGTCTTCTCTCAAATGTTAATGCTTTTGGACTTTTGACTTTAAAATTTTAAGACAAAAGCAATATTTGTCACAAAAAAAGTGTATTAAGTAGTAGTAAGAAATAAAAACAATTGGCTATTTCATCTTATTGAAAAGGAGACCAAAATCCAATCAAAAAATGGCTCAAAGGCCATGCAACTTTTCTTACGAATTTCTGCTTGTAAACCTAACCCATGGAGATTTGTTTTGCCTGGAATATTTCACAATAGGCATTAAAAATAGCCATCTCCATGGACGCAGGAGAGATGTTACCAAGGCAAGTTACAGGTTGGCTCTGTGAAGAGGAGGGCCAACTTACATTAAGAATGCATGTTTTTGAGTGACTGAGTTAATGGAAAATATTGAAGTTTAATACAATACTACTATGGAACATTTCAGAAAAATTAGGAATAAAATCTCCATGGAAACAAGCAGAAAAGTGACATAGTGGACCTTTAACCTCTGCACCATAGCTCTTGTTTCAGTGAGAGCTCGTTGCACTGTCTCACCTTTGACAGATGCGATGACGGTTCCTGCTGTGCTCAGGATGTCCACCGAGTTCAGACTCTGGTGTTTGTTGATGATGGCCTTTAGGACCCTGAGGAGCTCCCCCAGACGCTCGTGAACCGCGTGGTGCAGACAGTCCTGGTGCTCTGGAAGATACAGAGAGACAATGGTAACTCTTTATCTGCAAACAACATTCATTCATTATCTACTCACAACAAAGGCTGACATACATCAAGATAATGTTTTGTTTTATTCTTTGCAATTCCACCCAAATACTAATAATTAGAAATGTTATGTGAAAATACAAAACCTTAAAGGGCCAATAGATTTAAAACATTTTTTTTAATCTATGTTATCATGTTGTTTCCTTATCAAAAACATACCAGGAGTTGTGTTTTGTTTCAGTCGCACATGTTTAACACACAAACCATGACCGACCAAGGCCGAGATGATAGACGGAGTTCTTCTCTCAAACAGAAAACACTGTTCCACCTTGTGATGTCATATGGTGATACAGGAAGAGCTCTGTTGTGTTTTTAAACTGTATACACACTAGAATTATTCCAATAATTTCAGCCCTCTAATTGCCAATCTCTAGACAACTAAAGGTTAACCTGAAAACTACCACCAGCTCTTTCTGGTCAGATTGGGTTAAATAAAACTCAGATTAAATTTGATTAATAGGGGGTTTTAACAGAGCAGTGCATTCAGTTAGCTTCTCACCCCAAGGAATAGTGATGACACCAGTGTATGCTGCAAAGTATCAATCTAAAAATCAGGGCAGAGCAGGTGTAATTAGCCATAGCTTTCGTGAACATAAAAATCTTAAGGTACTAATTATCCATTCCTCAATGATCACGAGTCAACACAAACATGCAAACATCTATTGCAGTAAAATTATAATAACATCCTGCAAAAACAACTATTTCATGAACCCAAACAATGTCGCTACATACTTGAGAAGGCTGAAGCTTGGGGGCACTTCTTAAATGCCCCTGCCTTCTTCCCCGCTTGTAGTAAATAGTGGATGGTCATTGGCAACAGGATTACTACAGGGCATACTCGTGCTCTGTTGGTTTAAACACGTTACCATGGCAGCGATGTCAACCCACGCCATCCATTCAGACCAGTCAACACTGTAGCAGTCAATGGTCTGTCTAGGCAACTGGACCACCAAACAAAGGGTAAGGAAATAAGAGTACAGGCTGTGGTCGACTAAAGAAATACTTGTTCGATTAATAACATTTCCTGACGATTGTTTGGTTGATTAAAAAATGGGGTGTGGCAAAAGCTCTCAAAACTATTACGTATTTCAATACACCTGACCAAAACTGCAAAAACAACTATTTATGCAGGAAAAAGTACTACGAAACAATGTATTTATATAAAGACAGATTAAATTGGCTCACTTGTGCTTAATCTGCTTTTTTTTTTTTTTTTTTTAAACATAAAAATATCAAAATATACCAAATCTTCAGCTAACTCACTCACTAACTTCTCCCTTCTATTGCTGTGTCATACAAATCCTTATAATACAAAGTAAATTATTAGTCAGACAATACAAATTTCGTGGCTATGGAGACAGCGCTCCTCCATACTTCTTCTGTTGTGCATATACCTCCTTATAATTAAAATAGAATAATTAAACGACTAATGAAATTGTTGGTCCACTACCACTGACTGATTTATCGATGAAAGGAATAAAGGACTAAAGCTCTAGTAAAAAAGAATGGGCACATTAAACTCCCAAGAAAGCCACTCATCTACTATACACAAATCTAAAGTGACCTACTTTGTAACTAGCCCTGGCCCGTATAAGAAAACTGTCTGTTTGTATGTGTTATTATAGCACTGACTTTTATGGAGTGATTCATGCACACTGTTTACGATGCTTCTGTGCAAACCTGGGTCTCTGTTTCATCGCAATGGAATGTGGTCATGATAAACATTTTCTACACTAGTAAAACGCAATACTGTGAATGCTGCCAATCTTACATATTTTAAGTATAAATGCATACTTTAAATCAGGGGTGGGAATTAAATTTTTCCATGGGGCCACATGAAAAACAGAAAATATCGTGGAGGGCCGGGCCAAAATGCGTAACTAAATTCTGCATAATATTAATTGTATTTCCTTATAAAAAGCAGTAAATAGTATTGTTTTGACAAGCTGGTCACGGGTAAGAGTTTCTGTTATGACTAAGGAATGAAAAAGTGAGGTTGCCTAACAATAAATGTCAGTAAAAAACACCTCTAAATTAAAAGCAATGCAACTTTAGTCCATGCATGAGGTAAAATTATAAAATATGTTTATTTTGTTATTCCAAATTATCTTAAATGGGCCAGTCAGAGTCGCTACAGAGAAATATAAAAATATAAGATAATACTGAAACTATACTAACAAAGCAAGATAATCTCAGTACAAAAATTAAAATAAAAAAAAATTGATAGTATCATTAAAAGACAAGAGCAGCTATGAATAAATAACAGAATGGACCATTAATTTGTCATAGAGGTCACTTACTTAACCTCAAACAGCTCAAATGTTATTCTGTTAAAACAAGAACACAAGTCTTCTCTCTTTTACCAATAAATTCTACAAATGATAAATATTGAGCTCCATATTGTTCCAGCTTTCATATATTGAAAGATAGGTCAGTATAGTAATTATCATGATAGGTCTAATTACAAGAATTGTGCAGTCATTCTCATTCTATTCAAACAACTGCAAGAAGAAACATCAATGCATTCTTTATGGCTTAGAAAAGTACACTTGTAATGTGAAATGTTACAATATATAATTTGTTTTTCAATAATCAATACATCTTAATATAGTAATTATCTTTCTTTAATTTAATTATTTTCTTTACTCTTTCACTCTGACTCTCCACCACTGGCACCAGCAGAAGGCACACACACATGTTATGTCAAATGAAACAACCTTCATAAGCTGTAATCACCGTAAACATACCGTCTGTTGTTTAGTTTTATATGGTCAAATACCAGGCATGCGTTACTGTCACGTTTTGCTCCTCGTTTTTCAAAATAAAAGCTGAACCTAATTGTCCCCCAGATGTGTGTGGAGCGGTTGGAGAGTTAAAGCTACAGTTTGTGCTGACGATCGGGCCGGGATTAGCTCTTCATGCAAACAGGGATCAACAAGACTTTAGCTGGCCACTACATTCACTCTTTATTCTTTAGGCTTACTTTTTAACATGGGAGGCAATGGACAGTGTCACCAAAGGGGCCAGTAATGCTTTTGGCTCGTGAGGCTGCTGTGACAATGCAGAGAATGCGGAAATCCAGCGAACTAAAACTAACCAGCAACAGGTCAAAACATCACAAAAACAACAAGTAAAAGAGACATTAAAGGTGCACTGCATAACTTTTCTAGAGGGTCGGCCACCTGCTTGTCACTAGGGGTGTGCAAAATACTGCAATGTCATATCGTTTAATGTGATGATAGTGTATCAATATTGGGGACTGCTGTACCAATATATCACCTAGAGTATTTTTTGGTAAATTTTACTAAAATATTTGTGAAGGAGCTACAGATTTGTTCCTTTTTTAGAGGAAAGAAACTTGCTTTTGCAACACATTTTCATTTTAATGTTTTCACTGTTTTGGTTATTAAAATGGGTGAGGTTTATCAAAGATTTTTAGTATCACAGACATCGTTTAGCCATTATTTTTTATTGAACCATATTGAATCGATTTCAAATATATCATATTGAATCGAAAGTGTACTGTATCGAGATATTTATTGTATCATGGCCTATGTATCGACATATGTACTATATCGTGGCCTATGTATGAAGATTTGTGTCGTATCATGGCCAATGTATCAACGTATGTACAGTATCGTGGCCTATGTATCGAGGTATGTAGCACATCGTGCCCAATGTCTCGAGGTATGTATTGTATCGGCAACTTCTTAATGATACACAGCCCTACTTATCACCATGGAGAAGATAATATTTAAATGTACAGTGACCGGTGAGCATGGTTAGAGGTCAGATCTGTGGGGATGCGAGTCTCCACATAGTAACAATGCATGTTTTCACTCACTCTTTAGCTGTAAAAACACCTATAACTGAACACATGCAAGATAGCAAACTTTGAGGCCATGAAATAACATCTCTGAACAGAAGCAGATGGTGAAACCTGCACCAGAAAAGTTCACCTTTAACAAGAGATTCTAAATAAGTAGGCCAGTCTGTGCCAATCTACAGAGGACCACACTCGTAGCAACACACACTATACGTCTTCTTATAGGACTGTGCTGGCGTCGCCCTGATTGTAAAAGACAAAGGAACCATATATTCTTGTGATGCTATACAGACATCTTCAATACAAGCAATCAGTGAAGCCTAAATATTACCCATGCACCACTGAGCCCAAATTCAAAGCCTGCAGTTGCTGGCTCTGGACTGGAAAATAGCGCTGTAGCAGGGGTCAGGAGGTGGCTGCAGCTCAGGGCCAAGCACGTCCCAAAATACCAGACTATTTAACAATTAAACGCAATGAGCCAAAATGAAAGGGCTTAATTGAAGTGTGGTTATTTGGTTCAATCTGAGCTAAAAATAGTTGAACAAGACAGAGATGCTGGGAATTACTTAACCGATTCTTGTCAATACCAATCAAATTCTTAATTTTCTTATGAATTCTGTGTATTTATTTTTGTTTGCTGAAAACCGAAGCCTGAACTCAAAACCTTTAGTCAGGATGTTACCACAAACAGTAAAAATAATGACTAAAATCAAATGAAAAGTACTTTTTACTTTTTTGTTTTCACCATTTTTTACCAGTAAGCCATTTTTTACTTGGTTACAAAACAATCCAAGCTACAAATCACTGCTGGCTAAAGCATAACTCCCCTTTAATCTATTATGCAAATGGGCGTCTAACTAATTGGGTGTGAAATGCAGAATCCCTATACACATCCTATGAGATTGGACATTAATAGATTTACTGTGGTCTTGCTGCAGAATAGATAAATGAGGTTGGCAGTGAAACAGAAGAAAATAGTGCAACAAAAATAATGGCTTTCAAATTGCCTGCAAATGACGAAATTTATCAAAAACATCTTACATAATTGCACAAGTATACAGGCTAATCTGTTCTTTAAAAACTACACTACCTCCTC